GAAATACTGTAAATACTCAGTAAATACATATAAAATAATATAAATAAATAATATAAAAGGAAACAAATAAGCACCCCAAAGACCTTTAAGGAACCAAATACCCCAGCTACATAAAATTCTAAAAGTATAATGAAAAAAACATACACATACATACATAATAATATTATATACCTATAGCTAAAATTAAACATTTAATTCAATTTTTTTTATTTCTCCTCTTAACCTTCTTTCTTTTGCCCTTCTTAACCAATCTCCAATTCGTTGCTCAGCCTCTTTGTAATTAATTGAATGCTCATATTTCTGTGCACATTCTGAAATAAAAATTATATTGTTAAGAAAAAGTTTCCAGGTAACTACCAACATAGAAACACGACCCACTCAGCTGCGGGTTCGATGCTTCTATAGTTTGATAAAAAAAATTGGAAATATTCTTTTATTTTAAGTGGGGTAAAAAAATATAAAAAAAATCTGCAAAATCAAAAGGGGTTGGGTTTAAAAGTCTATTTTTATTTACCGACTATCGGTTTGCTTAATGATAAGCTTCCAAACATAGTTTTTCCTTTTTTCCCTAAGAAGGAGAACTGTTCAGCTAGACTATCTGTAATTATGGGTGCGAGACATCATCTTATAAATTCATAGATTCCAAGTTGTGAAAAAACTGAACCTATAAATCAGAATAAGAAACTATACTCACTAATGTAACTACTACTGTATATGAAAATTCTAGGATAATAGATAAAAAAGAAATTACCAATGCTGAATAATTTTCAGAATCTGAAAGGAAGTTTTCAAAAACTTCCTTACGATATTCTGCTCCACATTTTCCCACTTTGGAATTAATTTCTAACAACAGTGTCTGTATATAATATATATTATATAACAGTTGTGGATTGCAACAACAACTAGTACGTGTTTTGAATGTTTCACCTAAAATGCATTCATTAGGTACACTAACAGTTTTAAGAACAGCTCAGAAAACTTACCTATATTGTTCTTTATTAATTCTAGGGCGCTTTTCGAAGTTGATGGAATAGGGCTCTTTTTAGAAAAATTACTGCCTGCTAGCAGTAAGCTTGGAAATCTGTAACAGTGAAATTTAATTAGTATTGACATAAAAGTAATAAACAGAACAACATTAATTAAATACATTATAAATATTATTATACCACCTTCCAAATTACTGCACTTTTCTTCAACAAGCTAAGAGGATATCTAAGTTGGTGGAGGAGGTAATTTTTTGGATTTTTGCCTAGAGGCTCCTCGTTTTCCTAGTCAGAATATTATAATAATCCAGCGAGTCTGAGAGACTCCATGTCACTGTTAAAGTAAAACTTTTTCATGTCACCAGTTATACATACATACCTATAGGTATATATAGGTACATTAAACATTAACATTTATATCAGAATATTATAATAATCCAGCGAGTCTGAGAGACTCCATGTCACTGTTAAAGTAAAACTTTTTCATGTCACCAGTTATACATACATACCTATAGGTATATATAGGTACATTAAACATTAACATTTATATCAATCTTTATAAAGGTATACCTTCTAAACAATTTACTTGGTAAAATTGTCATAAAACTTGTTATAACTCCTTTCATAATATATAATCCAATCTATACATGGCAAAGCAAAAAACTAAAGCATACCTACAGTAGGTAACCTACTCCATACAAAAATAACTCTCCATGAGTCCTGGATAACACCAAGATACACTTAAATGTAACTCACAATAGGTATGTGTATATCTTGCAATTTATTCCAATAATTATTAGGTAGTGTCTCCCCGACCGTCGGACGGACGTAGAAAAGTGTGTGCTCGACCGTCGGACGGACGTAGAAATGTGTGTGCTCGACCGTCGCACAGTGGATCGAGCTCATATATGTTAGTGGACATACAGCAATTATGCAAAATTAATAACTTGATATCATTTTTTTTTAAATGTCTCCCAAAAACTTCAAATTTGTTAAAAATAAGCATAACAATTTTTTTTGGCAACATACTAAACAGTACAGAAGGCGTTTTTCGTAAAGAATGTTTTTTGTTATTTTCCTTATTAAACTGACTATTACAAATTAAACAGCATAACTTCATACCTTAACAAAAACTTATATATTTTTTTATAGTTTTATTTTATATGATAACTAAGCTTGCAAATTGCCCGGTTAACTTAATACCAACACGTATTCAGTAACAATAATTTTTAAAATTTTATTGTTATACAATGCGTTACACAAATCTAAACTTTATCTTGAGTTTTAAAAAAATGCTTAAATATGCATAAACTTCTTTTATGGCTGTTATGGAGTTCAAAGGTTATTTAAAACAAATGTACAGAGATTTGCCGCCACAAGGCGCCACTTTGGTAAATATAGATCATAGAGTGTCATGGAGCATATAGACCAGTGCAGAAGCCTTTAAAAATGGTAAAAAGAGAAAAAAAATAACAGTAGGACGAAACCCATTGGAAAAGGAGGGGAATATAATAAAAATTAAAGGAAAAATAAATTACGGGCGATCTGAGTTCGGGAAGTGGGAGGGGGGGGGGGTTTAAGGGTAAAAAATGGTTTATCTCGATTTCCGGCAAAACTACAAGTCCTATGGAAAAAAGTTAAATGTCAAAGTTGTAGGTAATAAAAAGATCTACAACTTTTGTATTTACAATTTTTTCACATAACCTCAAAATTTATGTGAAAAATTCAAAAATCCAAATTTTTGGTTTTTTATTTTTATCTTTTTCAAAAAAAAAATTTTTTCCACGAAATTTGGTGAAAACTTACCTTTTTATGTCCCAAATACACTGTAATTTATTTGATTTGAAATATTTATTATTTCGCCTTATTTTGACTTAATATCAAAAAAGCACCCTAATTTTCAATCGAAAATTCTCGCGTCAAAATATCAGCTTTTTTCAAAAAGCTTTTTGTTCGATGAACTCTCTACTTTCTGATGGTGTAAAAAAAAATATACATTACTATGGTGAATGTTCTCAGAAAATACAAAAAATATAATAAATAACGTAATCAGAATGAAGTATCTAATTAGATTTAAATTCAATAGTATGATTTACATGTATTTTTATATATTATGAGATTTTCTGACATAAATGTTATTAGAATTTAATAAATAAACTTTTTAACTAAAAAAATTGCAAAAATCACATTTTTTTGATGAAATTGTACATAATGATTAAAATAAATTTTCGAATTTGAGTTTTTTTCGTTATTCATTATAATATTTTTTGCATTTTCTGAGAACATTTACCATAGTAATGTATATTTTTTTACACCATCAGAAAGTAGAGATTTCAACAAACAAAAAGCACACCGACTTCTTGAAAAAAGCTGATATTTTGACGCGAGAATTTTCCATTGAAAATTAGGGTGCTTTTTTGATATTAAGTCAAAATAAGGCGAAATAAGAAATATTTCAAATCAAATAAATTACAGTGTATTTGGGACATAAAAAGGTAAGTTTTCACCAAATTTCGTGGAAAAAATTTTTTTTTTGAAAAAGATAAAAATAAAAAACCAAAAACTTGGTAAACCTTTTCTATAGTGGACCTTGGTGTATTAAAACGCCTTGTATATCAAGTAACTAGACTTTATATTTACTTTTGTAAATAACAACGTTATTTAATTGATAAGTATTTATTTTAAACCTAAAATGTCCTCATCTTCTCACACTTTGGTGCTATGTCCACAAATTCCTATCTATCGATCCACTGTGCGTCGTCTTGGTTATGCAGGTACACTGCATTGTGCCATACCAAACCAACCCAAACTTAACAACCCAACCCAACCGACCCCGCCCCATTGGGCCCCTCCCGCCCCATTGAGCAATAGAGGTATAATATATCTAAGGGCAGGCTGGATTGTGACAATGGGGCGGGAGGGGCCCAATGGGGCGGGGTCGGTTGGGTTGGGTTGTTAAGTTTGGGTTAGTTTGGTATGGCACAATGCAGTGTACCTGCATAACCAAGATGACAGCTATTTGTCATAACCTTGAGGAATACTTTGCTACATTTACCCTCTAGTTGAAAATGAGGTTAAAATATGCGACGGTTGAGCACACACATTTCTTCGTCCGTCCGACGGTCGAGCACACTTTTTTATACGTCCGTCCGACGGTCGGGGAGACACTACCTAATTATTATTGTATATTTGTATTTTCCGATATTCTAAAAAAGGGGATTTTATATTTATCTGTATTTTTGTTTGATGCTGCTTTGGCAATGGAATCCACCCTTTCATTCAAAATAATCCCTGAAGGACCTTTTCCACCACAATTTTTAATTTTGCATATCTGTTTCAGAAGTACCTACTTTACTTTGACCGAAATCTTGTATGAACGAAAGTAGGTGAATCTCATTTAAGAAAATAAGATTTTTTATGAAAAATGTGAACGAAGCCTTACGCCTTTGACGTTTCAAAAACAACGTTGCCACACATTTTAGACCCATCGCGCTTTTAAATTTTAGACCCATCGAGTTTAGATCTCTCGTGTTTGGGTGTCACGAAGCGTACCCAATTTTTTAAGTAGGCAACCACCTAGACTAGACTAGGTCTAGGGGCAACCAGTTATCAAGTTTGTAAGGTTGGTTACATACCCACATAAATTTGTTAAAGCGTCATCTATTTTCTTATCACCATTTTTTTAAAATTGGTTTAGAAACACTTGGATAGATGGCGCTATATGGCGATAATAAAAATTTGTACTGAACGTTTTTCTATAAATAGAAAAAGAATATACAGAATTGTATAACTCAAACAAACCAAGTGTTCTTGGGTTCTTTTAGTATAGAAACCAAGAAGACAGTACTGACAAAACAGTATATACCCATATATCTATAATCTATACTGTGGCTTTGCAGGATTCTCTATACCTATCCTCGTCTTATTCGCTTTATTTTCACGAAACAAACAGAGACGGAAACACCATGGGAAATGTTTATTATTTAGCAGGAACGAGTGCAACAATGACAGAAGCTTTGGCAGCACTTTTTCCTGCTTAATCTTGAGTTGAACGTGTATTCGTTATGGCCATGACATCATTTGTTCAACATTTTATAGGTTTAGATAGGCGATTGTTTGCCGTTAAGAAATAAGTCCTGCGTTGTTTAGTTGTTTTTTTAAACGTTTTGAGGTTAAGTGTTTATTAAATGAAGTAGGTAATCAAAAAGATTTTTTAAAATGAGTGTTAGTAAGGTGACAGATATCGATAAAAAATTAGACAATACGGGGATTTTTAGTTATTTGTTTAGTGCAATTAAAAAAGTAAGTAAATTTTGTAGATGTGTTTTTTGTGGACCCTGGTCATTTTTGCACATGTCCGTTTGTCTTCTGTTTAATAAATAATGATTTGGACTTCTATTGATTTGTTTACAGTTACCTTCTTTGTCTCTGAGTTGCGGTAAAAATAAAGTCATTAAAAATAATGGATGGTAATAAAAAATGAATTTTATGTACTTAATAATATTTATTTAAAAAAAATAAACCTAATTCTTTATTTAGAATGTTTTATTTTAAAGTTCTTTCCAAGAAACAGTCTTTCCTGTGGAGAAAATTCGTTTAAGCTTGAAAATTTGCCTGCAGGAAAAAATGCTTTTAAATTTAATTTAAAAAACAAACTAATTACCTAGGTAGGTAATATGTGTGCCATAAAAAAAGAAATCAGCAAAATAAAATTATAGGTATATTTTTTTATCAAATCCATAAAATTAGTCAACAATTAAGATTTATTTATTACTTTAATGACCTTTAACTTTAAAAATTTACCAAATTAATAAACTTACTTTGGTTTAAAAAATAAGTTATATATTATAATAATATTATAATATATTATAGCTTACATCATCATTTTTAATTTATCTATAATTGCAATTAGGTAGTATAATTATTTACCAATTGTGCTAAAAATAGATGCTTTGGTTTGTTTTTGTTGGTTTTGTAGGCAATAAGTTTACATATTACAAAAGTTATTTATAAAACTAAAATTTACATACTACTATGATCATACTATCGATATATCAATATACTATTATAGTATGTAAATTTAGGTTTTATAGGTAGGTATATTAATATACTGGTGACCGTTTTTCGAGGCTATAGTTTATAGAGAACTTCTCAATATACAGTGTGTCCCATTTGTTTGCGCCTCACCCCTGTAAAATCTTTATTTATTGTGAGATTTTAACCGGATTTGTTTTAAAGTGTAGATCTTGATAAACTGTATTTTTAAAGCAAAAAACGCCATATTGTTACAAAATACAAGGCCTACTATGTCAGTTTTTAAAAGTTAATTTTTAAGAATTCATATTAGCGATTTTTTTAAACAAAATCTAAGCCCGGCACTGGATTCACCACCCCTCAAAACGACCCTATAATAAATTTTATTTAAAAATTTTAAGAAAAAAGCACAATACTACAAAAATTTATTTTTTCAAGTTATCCATGAAAAAAACATTTAAATAAAATTAAATTAATAGTAACATGGTACTATTAATAGTACCATGTTACTATTAATTTAATTTTATTTAAATGTTTTTTTCATGGATAACTTGAAAAAATAAATTTTTGTAGTATTGTGCTTTTTTCTTAAAATTTTTAAATAAAATTTATTATAGGGTCGTTTTGAGGGGTGGTGAATCCAGTGCCGGGCTTAGATTTTGTTTAAAAAAATCGCTAATATGAATTCTTAAAAATTAACTTTTAAAAACTGACATAGTAATTACTATAAGTTCAATTTTATTTCAATGTTTTTTTCATGTATAATTTGAGAGAATAAATTTTTGTGGTTATTATTGTGCATTTTTTTTCTTAAAATTTAATATAGGGTCGTTTTGAGGGGTGCTTAGATTTTGTTTAAAAAAATTGCTAATATGTATTCTTAAAAATTTACTCTTAAAAACTGACATAGTCGGCCTTGTATTTTGAACTAATACGGCGTCTTTTGCTCCAAAAATAAAGTTTATCAAGATCTACAATTTAAAACAAATCCGGTTAAAATCGCACAATAAATAAAGATTTTACAGGGGTGAGTCGCAAACAAATGGGTCACACTGTATAATATAAACCTCTAATGAATCAGTTAGGTGAATCACCCTGTATATTGATGACATAATACAATAATGAATGAATACTGTTTACTATTTTACCATTTTATTTACTACCTATACAGGAAATAAGTAGGTAGGTAAACAAATTAACAAATTATTGACATTTTAAAATACCGGGTGTTCAGAAAATAATAACTGGGTTTTATCGATATTTTATCGAATTTTGTAGAATGAAACCTGGCATAGGGGCATTCCACGTTACTCGGTAATTTTTGTCCCGCCCGTCACAATTAAAAATTGTGAGTAAAAACCACAAGTTATAAAATTAATATTTTATAATATTATTTTTATTGTGCTTATAACTTATTAAAAGCATAATAAAACAATATTTTTAAATAAATTTTATAACTTGTAGTTTTTACTCACAATTTTTAATTGTGACGGGTGCGACAAAAATCCCCGAGTAACGTGGAATGACCCCATAGTCAATATATAATCCACAAAATAATTTGTAAAATATTTCAGGGTAATTTTACATTTTTTAATATTAAAATTTTACTCTTTCTTGTAAACAAATTTAATAAATGTTATTTCTATAATTTTGACTATTTTTGGTTGTTGTTTCAGGCCTCCGTAGTCGGAATAGTGTACTTTGCAGGCTATATGCAATGGTCGGTGGGGTGGTTTATGTGCCCCATTGTTCTACTAGTGATAAGAGACCAGTGGAAAAAATCAAGCGACAGAAGGAGGGCTACTGCTAAAAGTGCTGCCCTGTCCAATGAAGAAGATGTGGTTTTAGCTAGATTAAATGACTTACCAGCCTGGGTGTTTTTCCCAGATATTGAACGAGCTGAATGGTTAAATAGAGTAAGAAATACTTTGCAAAACGCAAAAACAATTTTATCAATTCATAAAATTATTTTTTTAGATTATCAAGCAAGTGTGGCCCAATGTGAATCACTATGTCAGAGAGATAGTCAGAGATTCAATTCAGCCAATTTTACGAACGAATCTAGAAAAATATAAGTTAAATGGTTTTAAATTTGAACGTATTATATTGGGAACTGTCCCCTTCAGGATTGGAGGTGTAAAAGTTTATGATAAGAATATCGATAGAAACGAAATTGTTATGGATTTGGATATATTGTAAGTTAGGAAATGACCCGTTTTAATAATTTATATATTTAATAATATTACTTATTTTTTTTTAGCTATGCTGGAGATTGCGATGTAACATTCTATTTATCTGGAATAAAAGGTGGAATTCGAGATTTTCAGGTAAATAAACTTTTTTCTACTCCCACCTTTAAAACGCCCATTATCGTACATGAAACTCATAAAGCGTTAAAAATTTTGCGTACAGTGCCCGTAAAACATTCTCTTCTCTTTTACTGTGGAAAACTGATTCTATATCAATGTTAGTCTATTTTCAAGGGAAAAATTTTGATTTACACAGAAAAATTTAAGATTTAAACCGCGGGAATTACAATAAATACAACTGTCACTTTTTGTACCTTTAACATTTTCCGTGTAAGAATTTTGAATACTTTTTGATAATATTTTGCAATTATAGTAACAAAAAAATCAAAGAATAAATTAAAAAAATAAACCAATTTTTATCACAAACTTAACAATCTTCATAAAAAAATATTATGTAAGATAAACACAAACTTTCAGAAACAAATTTTCTTGAAAAATATATTTTTATATTTTATTTAAAAACCTAAAAATTTAAAAAAAAATATCACAAACTTAACAAATTGATTTAAAAATAAGTATAAAAACTGTACAAAAATTAACTTTTCTGTAAAAAATATAACAATTATTTTTACTTCTTTCTACAGATTTATATTTTTAAGACAATTTGAGAGAAATGAAAATAAATGCTATATTTTTTTAAGAAAAGTATATTTTTTTAAAGTTTTAACAATAATTTGTAAGGCAATTTGTTAAGTTTGTAGTATTTTTCTTTTAATTTTTTGGAAAGTTTTTTAGGTTTTTAAATTTTCTTAAAAAATATTATATTTTTTAAGAAAATTTGTGTTTATCTTGCATAATATTATTATGTTAGAATAAAATAAACATTTATCACAAATTGTCTTAAGTATTATAAAAACTATAACTATAACCTAAAAATATTTTTTTTAAATGAAAAAGTAATAGTTGTAGAAAATGTATTGCTTTATAAAAAGGGTTATTTGGATTTTTTTCGAAAATCCACCCATTTAAATCATATCATTTTCTGAATTGTATTACTTACTAACCAACAGATATACAGCAAATTTAAATGCATTTAAGTATTTCCCCCATTTTAATAAAATGAAAAGTCAAATTTGCATTTTTGTTTGTCGTTTTAGTTTTTCAAAGACCTGTATAATAAATAGGTATAATACTTATAAAAACATAAACTATAAATTTTAGTTACATGGAATGCTGAGAGTGGTAATGAAACCTCTTATTACATCCATACCTTTGGTGGGAGGTCTGCAGGTTTTCTTTTTGAATAACCCAGATATCGATTTTGATTTGGTTGGTGTAGCTGATGTTTTGGATATGCCTGGGTTAAGGTATTCATTTCAAAAATATTTTAACAATGTTTTTTATGTAAACAAATTTCAGCGACATTTTAAGAAGAATTGTGGTTGAGACTGTGGCATCCATGATGGTTTTACCCAATAAATTCCCTATAAAATTAAGCGATGAAGTCGATGCTGTCGAGCTAAAGGCGCCTGAACCAGAGGTAAGTTATTTGTAGAGCGGTTTTTGGAGTTAATTTATCTTAAAGCCGCCAGTATAAACGATTTATAATTTGGGTTGCCTACCTACATTCGAACAAACACTCTCATTGGCGGCTTTAAAAGTTCTATATACGCCAAAGAAGTATCGCTAGTAGCGCCACCACTCGGCTGTTATCATTGTAACAAAAGTACGACTTTTAATAATCAGCTGCCAAACGCTTATGTCAGTGTTACCAGATTCTGTCAAAAAAAGACCGTACGTTTCGTTCGAATTTACCTTAATTACAAAAATGACTCAATGGACAATATTAAATAACGTTAACTTGACATAATTGCATTTATTTGCATTGTTTCATTGTGTCATTTTGTAATTAAGGTAAATTCGAACGAAACGTACGGTCCTTTTTTGACAGAATCTGGTAACACTGGCTTATGTTACAAACAAGTGTTTTTGAGAATAAAGCCGGAAAATGTTAATAACAACAATATTTTTACAGGGTGTTTTAAGAGTCCACGTTTTCGAAGCAAAACATCTGATGAAAAAGGACATTAGCGTCCTGGGCAAAGGAAAATCAGATCCTTACGCAGTTCTCACTGTGGGAGCCCAGGAATTCAAAACCAAAGTCATTGACAACAGTGTGGACCCCAAATGGGATTACTGGTGTGAGGTAAGAACCCTTATTTTTTACATTATAAATTAAGCATGACTGTCAACTATTACCCTTTCAGTTTAGTTATATTTCTGTCACTAACTGTTCAAACAACCGTGAGCTTTCTTGTTGTTGTTAATTGTTAAAGTACACGATAATAGATTTAATTATTTAGATAAGCCACCTAGCAATTTAGGTTTATCAAAGAGCCCATTTGCAATCAGATAGAGTGTAGGTGATAATTAGTACAAAAACTTTAATTTCATTGCCAGTTTAATGTGCTGGAATCCAATGGTCAACAACTTTACATTCATCTGTGGGACAAAGATGATACCGGAGATGATGAGTCTCTCGGAAGGTAAGATTATTGACTAACACACCAAATAGTCCGGTCAAATTAGGCGAAAAGTCTAGCTAAAATTTTTTTTCGGAATCTTGTTCATAAGGGCACTATTAATAATGTCTTAAAAGTCCAAATATTTAAAGTCAAAGAATCTACTTGAAAAACATTTACAAAGTTCTATAAACAGCACTACGGTTTTCGTATTGTTCATCATTTACGGGAGGAAGGAAGGAAGGCAATATATAAATCAGGCTTAAGGTTGACTGTTTCCAACCAAAATTATCAATCGGTCATTCTCGTATAGAAGATCCGGCAACACTGGATTACGAACACGTGATAATCTATAGATTATAGGGATATTTGGTTAATACCTAGATTTCATTTTTAAAGTAAATTATTAAAAAAAGGAAGGCAATATATAAATCAGGCTTAAGGTTGACTGTTTCCAACCAAAATTATCAATCGGTCATTCTCGTATAGAAGATCCGGCAACACTGGATTACGAACACGTGATAATCTATAGATTATAGGGATATTTGGTTAATACCTAGATTTCATTTTTAAAGTAAATTATTAAAAAAAACACAATTGTATTGTTATTTATTATGATTTTTTAAATTTGTATTTTTCAATTAAGGTTTTTTCTTACTTTTTTACTCTTTTAAATGTACTTCCAAGGTTTTAGATTTTTAAATTAATTTTTAACCTGAGCCCTGACCACTTAAAAAAAATTTAGAACAATCCCTAAAAGGAAGAAAAATTCAAACGAGGTTTTTTCTTACTTTTTTACTATCATGAAGGTACTCCTAAAAATTCAGATTTGTAAATTAATTTTTAACCTGAGCACCGACCACTTTTTAAAAAAATAATAGTACAAATCCTAAAAAAGTGAGAAGATGGAAGGCATTTCAGTCTTGTAACATTGGTTGCCTACTACTGGCGAAAAGTAGTAAACGTATTACTCTAAAGGTACTTTACTTTTGTACCAAATTCATGTTTTTTGTCAAACCTCGTATATGACTGAAAAAAATTATATCTGATGATTTTATTTTAGACATGATTTCGCTTGGGACTTTTGAGAATTTATACATATACTATATAGTGCCCATACAAACAAGATTCCGAAGAAAAATCTTAGCTAGGATTTTTTCCAAAATAGAACTCCAATTTGACTGGTCTAAAAAGACACGATGTGTTTAGATAAAAGTAGTATTTTCTGGAAAAATAATCAGCGGAGTATACATATACTTATACATATACTTATAGTTTAAATGTACATAATAGCTAAATATTATTTACCCAGTAACTATAGGTACTCACAATAGGCAATTTGTACTACAAAAGTGTTTTTTAACTTAAAGGATCACCTATATAAAAGTATTTGTTTGCACCCTTTTTATTATTATTATTATTATTATGATTGGAAAAAACTGTTTTTGTTTAAATTTACATCGTGGTTAAGAATTAATTAATAATTCATCACAAAGAAGAGTTTTAATTTAAAAAATATCGTTTAGGAAGTTTATTGATATGGTTCAGTGATAGAAAAAAGCTCAAATTCTTCATTTTATTTTGTCGTTATATTTGGTTAATTATTTTTAAACTTAAAAAATGCATGTGATTTTTTGTATAATTAAATGAGACCTGAACTCTCGAGTATGTTGCATTTTGAGGTTTAAATTAGTTTTATTTATTAATTTCGTTTAAATTAAAACTCTATTCTCAGGCTTTTTGCTTTTGCTTTCTGCATGTTTGTATGTACCAACCTACAATCAACAAATTTGTTCCAACAAATATATATCAGTATTTTTGGGTGAAGTTAATTAAGTAGGCAATATTTTTTTAATTGTAATTTTATCAAGGTTGTTTTTGTATAGTCTGTCATGGATCATATGACCGGTATGCAGCTTCATATACGATTGTTTGATAAAGACAAGGGTCAAAAGGATGATGACCTGGGAAGGTACCGAATATTAATTATTAATTTTAATTACTTACATTTATTTTTTGAGATTAATTAATTATGTTTTGGACATATTATGTATGTAATTAAACTTTTATGTAACATATAAAACATATATAATAAAAAAGTATTTATTTTTGTTAGGGTTGGTTATCTTTTAAATAATAAAATAAAATCAATAAATCCAAAATTATTTTTTCAGGAGATGTGGTCTATAAATAAAAAAATCGTTTTTCTTTATTATTTGAAAATCTAGAACGTCTTATAATTATTTTCTTATTATTAATTATTATACCAGGTGTACCGAAAATGGCGCTCTAACGCCATCCCACCAATTTTTAAAATTAAATTTTATTTTTGTTATTTTAATGTTTTTATCCACTCCATATGTGTTTTAAAGTACTTAATGCTCAAGTGCATTAAATTTGGAAAAAATGAGGTTAAAACCGCTTGACAGATGTCAGATTGGGAAAAAGTGAGGTTAATTCCGTCTGACAGATGTCAGATTGGTGTAAGTGAGTGGCAGTTGTCAAATGCCAAATAAAATTGGCTTTAAATTCTGTTCATCGTATGTAGGAAAAGTATATAATTTGTTTTATAAACTTCCCAAGATCACATGTGTGATATTTCTGATTAAGAAATACACAGCGTTGCCGAGTTTTTTAAACTTTTATAAATGCTCAATAATTTAAAAATTTCCTGTACAAGTATACTTGTACAATTTTTTTACACTAACAATATCGTGTGGTATTGCAATGGTACGCCGTTTTTTGTACACCCTGTATTAAAAAATGCTTAAATTTGTATGTTTTATAAATATTAATTTGTTTCATATTATATTAAATTAACTATGTTCAAATAAACGTTTAATCCTTTTATTAACTAAAAATTGTATATTTAAACACTCTAAACATTTTGTATATATAATAAAAGCTTGGCTGTTAGGAGTATTTTCTATTTAAGCTACTAATCACATTTATCCATTAATGCCCATAGCTAACACCATAGAAAAATAAACAAATTTGTAATACCTACCTAATTATTTATAAATATTTAATATTTTTTCTGATAGGGCCACTATAGAAGTTTCAAATATTGTTAAGAAAGGCAGTGACGATATGGTAAGAGAATAATTTTTTTACACAATTTTTTTTATTAATAATTGCTGTTTCATTTATTTTTAGTGGATAACCTTGGAGCAAGCTAAACATGGAATGGTCCACTTAAGATTTTCTTGGTTATCATTGAGTAAAAATTACTCAGATCTTAAAACAGTAAGTAAAAATACCTACAAAATGTTAAAAAGAGTAAAACTATATTTCAGAAAGAAGTTTTACGATAAGAATCTCTGATGCTTAAACATAGTTTTTAAAAATTTATTTTGTAATTGAAAGTATTGTTTATTTTTTTAATCCGCCTAAGATTATTTTTATGGTTTTTAGTTTAAAATGCATATTTTTTGTAGATTATAGCAGAAACTCAAATGCTGAAAGCCACCAATCTGCACACGGCCATTTTAACAGTTTTCGTAGATTCCTGCAAAAATTTACCGGTAAGTAAGATAGAAAAATGTTCGTAGTTATTTATGTCATTATAGGTTAAGAAGTAAGGCTTTTTTGCTAAGCTCAATTGAGCGAAGCACAAAAAGGCACTTCTTGGCCGAATGGCATATAACATTTTATCTTCAAAGCACTTTATATAGGTCAATTTAATTCAACATCAAAGCGGCCTAACCTCACTTTTTTAGAATCTCATTTATTTATTAGCTAAAGATTACATTAAATGTACAATAATTATTATTGCTTTTAGAAGCAGTAATAGTTTGACAATACCTAGCTACATGATTTAAGTAGAAATGGATTTTTGCTATTACATTGAATTCAATTAATTGTTTAATAAATAGGTAGGTATCTAATTTCAATTTGTTTGGATTTTTATTTAAAAAATAGGTTGTTTGGAATGTTTAAGCTGTGTTTAACATTTAATTTCACTGAAAACTTAAAGCAAATTAAAACTTAAAGATAATTTAAATCGTAGAAAAAGAATCGTGCGTTTTCTTGGTTGCCTAACCTCACTTTTTGTTTTATTTTTCATATTTAATTTTACAATAATTTAATGAAAAATATTAAACATTAACAGTAAAACAAACAAATTAGTGCTTATTATAAATAAATTAAACCAGTTTAGTACGTTAATTTCTTAGAAAATGATTAATTTGTCAAAACAATAGATACCCCTAGCGAGAAAAAATCAAACTAATTACTTGCCTCATAAAAATCTTTATCGGCCTAGGCCATAACAAGGTATTTCTTTATCAAATGTTGACAACAATAAAGTTTAAATTATAGACCGCGTGGAGATAAAATATTTTAATTTGTTTTCAGCAAGCTCGCATCTCCACGAAACCGGACGCGTACGCAGTTCTGAGGGTAGGCAACATCACCCAACAAACCGGCGTGCAAATGAGAACGATACACCCTGTGTGGGAGCAAGGTTTCACCTTTTTGGTGCCGAATCCCGAATCTCACTCCTTGTATCTGTCCGTTATGGATCAAAAAACAAACAGCGAAATTGGACAGCTGACTTTCAAGATAAGCAGTCTGGCCCAGAAGGAAAATTTAGAGAACAAAAAGGAACCCTTTACTTTGCTCAAGTCTGGACCGGAGGCCAAAATTGTTTGGTCCATGCATTTAAGGGTGAGGCATTCTTGTTTTAAAGTTTTAACACAATATTTTTTATTTTATCATTACATGTTTAGTTTTACGGGTATGAAAAACAATAATAAATTATAATATCCAAATATTATTTTTCAGTCCAATTTTTTTTTATTAAAATGTTTTAGGTATTAAAAGCAACCAAATCAGAAATACCCATGTCAGATCAACCAAGTGCTGAAACTGCATCTCTAAAACAAGGTATAAATACAAATTGTATTATTAATTGCCCTTAATTTGAATAAGTTACAAATTGCCCACATTTAAAAATATACAGGGTGTTGCTAAACTGCTTGGCCTTACTGCAAAAATGTGATGTAGGGAACATACAAAATGCTTACTTTCAAATTTATACACAAATTTTTAAATTTAAAATCGATAGGGTTAGAATTAGCGATGCAATTTTTTTATCGAAGCATGACTAAAATAATCGACAATATTCGTTTTTGAAAACTTTGTAAAATACAATTTTATTTACTTTTAAACAATACTGGGGTTTTAAAATTTCCGGAAAAATTGAGCCGGAGGAAAATAAATACAAAAATTGGTAAATTTTCAAAATAATTGACTTTTCCATTTTTTTAATTTTATTCAAAGGGTAATACGAAAAAATGCAAAAGAAAGTTATTCTGAAAATTTTCAAATTTTTACGGATAATATCCGTACTCTGATATTGAAAAAAAGTGTACAGATCAGAGTGTGGTATAAATGTGTTCCTCATGGTTTAAACATTGTCACTTTAATGCGTTTTAATTTTAATTCTGAAAACAAACACTAAAATGGCCAGTGTCCAATTACTGGTTGGTAAAAAATGTAAATTTCTTTTATTGGACATATGTCCAATATCATACTCTATTTATATCCTGGACATTTACCAGCCAATTCTTATGTAAAATTGTCCCCTGAATCCGAAAAGACCGTCAAAAACTATAAAAGTTAAGCAGTTTTTGAGATATAGTAAAGTCCATATTATATGTAAAATTGATTATATTTCAAAAACTGTTATAACTTTTGACGACATTTTTGGATTCAGCGAATAATATTTCATAGGAATTGACTGCTAAATGTCCTGGAACCAAATTGCTGTTGACGAGAATTATTAGTGGCTGCTTTTTCGCTGACATTTTTAACTAATTCATTTTTAGAGAGTAAGTAATATAGTTATTTCTTCGTCACAGGACATCTTGCAGAATAACAGTGATTTAAATACAGTGCATGATAGAGAACATAAAAAACTAATGGCAACAAAATTAATATATTCGGAAAATACTTTTAACCTACCACCCGAAAAAATATTAGATATATATATATATAAATCATCCTGTTCCGGCCTAAACATTATAAATGCTTCACAAACTAGAGATACCACACTTAATGATATTTGCATCAAACTATTTTAGAAGTCAGATCAAGGAATTAGTAGTTACCCTCAGATTTCAGAAAAGGGACGACGAATCCGAGAAAGAAATATATGAATTATATTATATTTACAAAAACGAAATAAAAAAATTACATTTATAAAACTATTATTAAAAATTTAAATATTCTTATTTTTAAGTAAACGTAAAAACTAAAATCTTTAAACAACGGCATCTATAAATTTTAAATAAATAATTTTCCAGTGTCCAATAACTATGTGGTTTTTTTTATAAACTAAAATAATGATTTGTTCATTGCTACTTTTTTTCAAAAGTGTACCTGTATTTTCCCAAAAAAAAAATATTTTTTTCCAAAAAAGGCAATTTTTTCAAAGGCTGGGAAAAAACGGAAAAACAAATTTTTCCTCCAATTTTTCCGACACTTTTAAACCCTAAACAATACCTTGTCAATAAAAATGACATATGTACAGGAATTTTGTTAAAAGACCAAGTATTTCTCTTACACTCTGTATGTAGTTATGAAAATATGGAGTTGGTTGAATTGGTAGAATTTCCTTCATAACCTACAATTTTTTAGAAATTGATCAAAAATCCACAAATACTGATTCATCAGATGCTCAATCAATTGAAAACAAAAATGTTGAAGACTTCATTGAAGATTCTTCAATATCTCAACTTACAGCGACACCTCCAAGTAACATTTCTGGAGATGGCCTTTTACATAGAACACTCAGTAACACATCGTAAGTAGTTTTGAAAACATTGTATATTTTAATTTTGCAACCAAAAAACATTATTTTTATTTTGTACCCAATTCTTTGTTTTTTTTTGTAGTTCTGCTGGAGACGCTGGTTTGGGAAGAATTCAACTGACGTTGAGATACAGCGTGCAGAGACAAAGATTGATCGTTGTTATTCATAAAATAGCGTGAGAAAAACCAAATTAATAAAAAAATATTATTTATATTAAAAAATATTTTTCCAGAAATATTCCATGCAAGGACCCATCAAGCGTACCAGATCCCTATGTAAAACTCTATTTACTACCTGAAAGGGCGAAGGATAGCAAGAGAAAAACAACGGTAAAAATGTTGTTTGGTTTTTTTATTTTTTTGTCACTTGATTTTTGTTTTTAGGTTGTTAAAGACAATTGCAACCCAATTTTTGATGAGAGTTTCGAGTATGTCATAAACCAAGGAGAACTTTCAAATAAGCAATTGGAAGTTACTGTAGGAACTCAGAAGCAATTGTTTTATTCTAGTAGTAATATTTTGGGGCAGGTAAGACGGCATTTATGGAGAATTTAGTCTGAATGTTTTAAATCTTGATTTTAAATTAAATTTAAAGTTATTATAAAATGTTAGTTACAAATGCATATAAAATATGTCGCAGAATTTCTCTAAAATTGCCCATGCATAAGAAAATATTTAATTTCATTAATTGACCCCGGCGCATTCACCATTTTTGGAATATTATTTATTTTAAACATTTTAGTTTTTTTCTTATAAATATATAAAAAGGATAGTGTGTTTGTTTAAACTTTATTTACGTTTACTTAAAAAAAAGAATATTTGAATTTTTAATATTAGTTTTATAAAAACATGCAAAAAAGTATAGTAATTGGACATTTTATATAGTAATTGGACACAGAACCATAGTTATTGGACATACAATTTTTATAAAAACGTTACAACTTTACATAAAATAACATAAATTGTTAAATATTTTTTAAAGATAAATAGCTGTGTTAGGTAATTTTTTTTAATTCGTTTTTGAAAATATCATATAATTCATATATTTCTTTCTCGGATTCCTCATCCCTTTTCTGGATTCTGAAGGTAACTATTATAGTAGTTATTATAATTCCTTGGTCTGACTTCTGAAATAGTTTGTTGCAAATATCATTAAGTGTGGTATGTCTAGTTTGTGAGGCATTTATAATTTTTAGGCCGGAACAGGATGATTTATAAATATCTAATATTTTTTCGGGTGGTATGTTAAAAGTATTTTCCGAATTTATTAATTTTGTTGCCATTGGTTTTGTATGTTCTCTATCATGCACAGGCCCGGATTGGGATAATTTTTCGGCCCGGGCTTTGATTATAAACCGGCCCTTAAACCACATCAATTTTTTTGTAACAATAAAAAAATTTGAAAGAAATGAATGTTTTTTATTAAGTTTTAAAGAATTAATAATTTTTTTAAAGATTCGCTTTTGGTGGCAATATTATCTATAATCACATCAGTATTTATATCTACAAGAATTTCTTTTTCAACGGACATCAGCAGTAAGGCATCCAAGTGTTCTTGTGTAAGACAGTCTATTCTGTACAAATTTTAACTTTGAAAAAGTTCTTTCACAGGAAACCTGGGTACATGACAAAGTTAAAACGTATTTATAAGCGTTATATAAATTATTGTAAGACATTGTATGTAATTTATATTGGAGCAAAACTTGAAAACAACACAACGCAATTTTTGCATGTTTCACAAATAGCTACAGCGAGATGTTGGGATTCATCTTCCTTCAATATAGATTTGCTCTTTTTATTTACCAAGATCTCTTTCATCTTGTTCCATTTTTTCGCAAAATCTTTCAGCTCAATATAAATTTCTGCTGAGGTCACAATATTATTGCCACTGTGTTTTGTTATTTGATCCGCAATATTTTGAAATAAATCAAGTGGCAAATCATCAATTTTTCCAAAATAGGACGGATCTAGCCAAGCAAGGTTCAAAAATAATGTTTGGTGGCCTGTGAATCTGTTTTCCAAACTTTGCAAAGCATTGTCATAAATAACATTGTAAACCTGTGTTTCGAATCTCTTTTCTGGATCAGCGATACATTCAGCATTACTTTTTTCCCCAGGCATCATTTTTCTTTTTTTAATTAATTTTAATTCTTTCCACTTCAACGAGAGGGTCATTATTATCATCATCAACATCTGTCGCGGTTTCTTCGGATTCATCATCCATTCTTCGATTTGCCCAAAGGACAAATTTTTTGGCCGCTACCAAAACTGCTTCAAAACTCCTTGAGTCTGTTTTGAGGGTGGTTATGGTTTTTTCAACCATTTTAAATGCCATAATAGGATTCATTCCGTTTGTTTGAAGGTATTTGGATAATGGAGTTGTCGATTCAAAAATTTTTAAAAAGATTTGAGAACTTAGTATTACTTCAAATTTTTTCAGTGAGTCAGCAATGGACTTTGCGTTGAAACGCGCTTCGTTTGCGAAATTGGATGAACTGGCAATTTCCTCTAGGGTTAATATAATCTCTACAAAAGCTGCATTTTTTGGATTATTGTAATGTCCAAACATTTTTGTTAGAGCTTTATCTTTTGCCCACCAACGAGTTTCTTCAATTGAAGACAACATTTTCTTTTTTTTATAAGACTCACGAATAAATCCTGCACATTGGTTAATAATAGCAAATAACGAAATTGCTTCAACGGAAATGCTGGTCGTGTCAGCCATCACCAAATTAAGTACATGTGCGTAACACCAAACATGCACTTGGCCATTAAAATTTTTCTCCATATATGCCGAAAAACCCTTATACTGGCCTTGCATATTTGAGGCACCATCGGTAGCAGAACCAATACAATTTTTCATATCAATGCCATTTTTAACAAGTAATTCCGTTACAATTTGGTATAAGTTGGCACCTGTACTAGAGGTACAATTTATGATTCCAAACAATCTCTCTTTTACATCTTCCGAAACATATCTTACAATAACACTCAGCTGATCATGAACATTGATATCTTGAGTTGAATCAATTTGGATAGAGAACATTCCAGCCTTATTGATTTCTTCAGAAACCTTCTTTTTTATTAACGAAGATACTGACTCTATGATATAATTGACGGTAGTTTTCGATAAAAATGTATTGATCGATCCAGAACGGCCAGGTCGATTTTTGTCAGTTTTCTTAAGGTGTGCTTTACGGCTTAGTTCTATCGATTTATCGATGTGGACTTTTAGTATAGGATCGAATTTAGAAATTAACAAAAGAACCTCCAAAAAATTACCGTGGTCAGCACAGGTATCATCCAAAGTATAGGCAGCTTCAGCCTCCTTTGCACCTCTGAAGCTTTGACCTCGTTTTCCTAAAGTTTTAACCGTTTCAACAATCCGTTTTAAGATGTCCCTCCGTTCATTAATTTCTTGTGATTCTTTCATTTTACTTTGCAATAAAAAGGATTCTGCTGATGCTTGATGAGCAATCGATTTTTCGTGCTTTATTATTCGGTCATATATTCTGTGAGGATCAATTTTACAGCCTTCCGTGAATGAATTCGGTTCTTTGTTAAAGGCTAAGCAGAATGAGCAGACAAAATTATTACTCTGTTCGCAAAATGAGATCCACTGTCTTCTGATTTTTTTGGTGTCAAGGTCTTCTCGAAAATAGGCCAAACTTGGGTTGAATTTAACTTTATCAGTAGGTTGTATTGGATGAATTTTGAAAAAAGAATAATAGTCATTTTTAGATGGCCTTTTAAAATTCTCAACGATACCACATTCTCGATTTTCATTTTCAGTAATTTCCAAAGTATTTTTATTTTCAATCGATGCTAGCGACTGCTCGACTGTCTTGAAGTTTGTTATTAAAAGAAGATAAAAATAAATAAAGCAAAAAAGAAATGTTACCAGAAAAAATTGCGAGGCACCATCAGTGTCCGATATATTTATATCGCATAGAGTGCCGTGGTCACATGCTTCAAATTCTGTATTTTTTTCACATTCTACAAAAGTAGAAGTAGAGGTAGAGGGGATTGCTGGGTCTTTAGCGTTATCATCAACTTTATCCGTATTATGGTCTGTTTTCTATAAAAAATAATTTCATATGTCAAACAAAATACGTACACGTACACGTAAACCACTGACTAATATTTTGCACAACCAGAAGTTTATTACCTTTTTTTGTTATTTTTTTCTACAACGGTACATTTTGAATAAGTGGTATTTTTTTGCGTTGTAGATTAAGTGTTTAATAATGTTAAGATAATAATTACATCAATTCAATATGGAACGAATATAATACATAAAGATTATAATAATATAAAATTAACAATAAAAAGTCACTTTTACCTTAATAGCTTTGAACAAATCTCCGATGTTATGACACTGTGCCGCTTCATTTTCCCTTTTCTTCCTTTTTCTTTCTCGTTCTTTTTCAGCTCCACCTTTTACACGTTTATTCATTTTTTTTTAAATTTTCCTTATAACGCAGCCAGAGTAATACACCGATACGATACAAGTTTTACCATACAACAATAAAAAAATAAAAAACCATGTCGATATTATAAATAACTTTACTTAAAAGTATTGTCTCTGCTTAAAATATCAACTTTTAATGATACGTAATTTTGTCTGTAGGGGGCCACTTGGTTTTTATTACCAGTTGTACTAAATTGTAGTGAATATTTAAAAAAGTATATTTTATAAATAGTTGTACCTTTAGTACACATCAAGATTTGCACATTCAATATTTAAGCAAAATAAAACACAAAAATTGTAGGTTTTACACACGCGCGTTTGTAGCCAGAGGGCTGTAGCGCCATCTTTTACCGAAATTACATACTTTAAAAAGTCATCTCAAAAAGAGTAAACTGTTTACTGTGCCTTTATTTGGAAATAAATCATAAAATAAATTCACAGAAACTTTTATGATCTATGGTAAAAGTTATCAAAACCTAAGGATAATTCATAGATGAGAAAACTTCTTCTGGAGAAGTTTTTCCCTTTTAATTTTATAAAGCATTCATATTATATTATATTACGGCCTTGGCGGCCCATCCGGGCAGCGGCCCTGGGGGCTTTGCCCCCTAGCCCCCCGGCCCAATCCGGGCCTGATCATGCACTGTATTTAAATCACTGTTATTCTGCAAGATGTCCTGTGACGAAGAAATCACTATAATACTTACTCTCTAAAAATGAATTAGTCAAAAATGTCATAGCGAAAAAGCGGCCACTAATAATTCTCCTCAACAGCAATTTGTATCCAGGACATTTAGCAGTCAATTCCTATGAAATATTATTCGCTAAATCCGAAAATGTCGTCAAATGTTATAAAAGTAGAACAGTTTTTGAAATATAATCAATTTTACATATAATATGGAATTGACTATATCTCAAAAACTGACAAACTTTTATAGTTTTTGACGGTCTTTTCGGATTCAGGGGACAATTTTACATAAGAATTGGCTGGTAAATGTCCGGGATACAAATAGAGCATGATATTGGACATATGTCCAATAATAGAAATTTACACTATTTACCAACCAGTAATTAAACACTGGCCATTTTACTGTTTGTTTTCAGAATTAAAATTAAAACGCATTAAAATGACAATGTTAAACCACGAGGAACACATTTATACCACACACTGATCTGTACACTTTTTAGAATTATTTTTTATTGTAATTTAAACACAGCCCTGCTCTAAACAAAAAAATAAAAATCTTACCACCAAAGTAACCTGAGAACTTTTTTGTCCTATATTGGACCCAAAATAAAGTAGTTCTATATTATTACCGACTGAGATAGTTATAATTTTATATAGCGTCATCTAATGATTTGACTTTAAGGTAACTATTTATAGAACTGTTGTTTAATGTTAATTGTCCAATAACTATAAAGTGTCTGATAACTGTCTACTTTACCCTCATTTATTTTTAAACAACATTTTCAACTTTAATTTCTTTTTAAGGTTATTATTGACTTGGGAAAACTAAACCTCACTCAGCCATACAACGTTTGGTTCGATCTTCAACCCGAAGAATAAGAAATTACACGACTTTATACGCCAAAATGTATTTTTTTAGATCTACTTGAATATGTGTCAACCATTGCATTGCTCCGATTACTAACAGTTTTAATATTTAATCTATACATATGCGCTTATACATGTACTTTGTTTTTCAAATATTTTCTATAAATATATACGTATTGTTAAATGAATCTTAATGAACATGTTATAATTTTTTTTATTATTTTAATGAGTAAATGTTTACAAAGTTTCTCTCCTGTTTATAAATATTTTATGTAAATGTTTTTTGAGAATATATCTTTGCATTTTAAATATCTGTTTTTTATTTATGGAACAATTTTTTAAAATTATTATAAAAAGTGTAGATACCTGCCTAACAGATAAATGACTAGTGTTGTTTGTTACAACTATTTTACAAGTACAAAACAACAATACAAAAATACCTTGTAATGCAACCCCTAATAAATTTTAAGTTATGTTTAAGTACATCACTGTCCGACGACATGCAATAGTGGTTGCCTATGATAAAGATATGTATATCAGCATGACATTTGAATACAAATAATTGAGGTTATGTATACGTCAGTTTAACGTCAATTTCGTCTTTTTTCTGAAAATATTATAATACATGTATTTTTTACGTATAAAGGTCTTTATTAAAAACACACACAATACACGTATTGTATTAATATCCTTAGAACAAAGTTAATATCGGAAAAAAGACGAAACAAGTGTTAAACTGACAGATGGATAACCTCAATTATTTGTATTCAAATGTGTTGGGTGTGGAGCATGTCTACTAATCATGGGCAACCAAAACTGTATGCATACATCTCGCCCGTGTAGCACTATTATTCAATCTATATAAGGTGACAATTTTTGCTAAGAGAGGAAAGAACAACCGAACAGCGATGGAGATTCAATGATACAACTGAGTGAATGATACTTAAATTGTTAATCTTCATCACTGTTCGGTTGTTCTTTCTTCCATAGAAAAATAATTTACTCCTAGGAATTTACTTTATCTATTTTGCGTTCATAATGACTTTATATATATTATAACATCGGTCCAGGTGCTGTAATGAGATACTTTATCCTACCCAAAATTTTGATTTTATAGGTTGGCTATACTTTAAACAGCATAATATTTTGCATATTGGTTATATTTTTATGATTTTTCTAGTACTTTTTTGTCAATTTTTGTTCAACACCAAAGAAAACTTTTTTCTTCTTTAACATTAACCTTCAAACCAATAACTGTGATGCCAACTATCTAAAGTAAAATTCGACCAAATTAAATTTAAGATATAAAATTATTTTTTTTATAGAATTTTTGCAAAATAGATAAAATAGCACATAATATACTATTTTCTACTCCTATTGCTTATTATTAACATTAATTGGCTTTTTTATCTAAATAATAACCAATATAACCGCCCGGCCTAACAATGCGAATAATGAACTCATTATTTACGTTGTTATGCATCAGTGATTGGCTGATTTCAATATTCACTGTTATTTGAAGTTTTAAATTGGGAAAAGGTAAGGTTATAATAAATTTTGATATCAATGAAAATTACTTAATTGGAGTAGAAACACTCGAAATAATGCGCATTATTTATTCGAACGAACCTCATTCTTGTAACCAATAACCTGCATTATTTCTAGTATAATAATATACTTAGTATTATATTATATTATTATATATTATATTATACTATACATTCTCACATTATGTTATATCACAGAGAAACAAGTTTTTCTATGTTCTGTCAGTGTTGAAATGCGTATAAAATATGTAGTACCATTTCCCTGAAATTGCATATGTACAGGGTGATCCCCTATAATGTCGCCCCCCTTTAACTTTTTTTTATTTTAAGTGTCCCAAAAAATTTAAAAGTGTGGTTATGTAGGACCTAAAAAATACTTATTTTCTACGTATAAAAAAAAATTGGAAAATTGATCAGTATACAGGGAAAAACAAAAAGTTTATTTTTTTTTCAATGGATCACCCTATATATGTATTTATTTTTTGATTCCTTGTAAAATCCTAAGCATATTTCATATAACATACCATTTACCTAAATTCAACCGTTCTGAAATATTTAAATTATTTTTAAGATAATAATTTGAAATAGTTTGTCTTTCCCTGTCTGAGTACGCCATTTTTACTTATTTAACAAGACATATTGACATAATGTCAGTATAGTAATTTATTTTCAATAAAAAATTTGGTATACTGTAGCTTCTTGATTTTTAACAGTTTAAAAAAACATTTAGTGATAACATTTCAAATGCGAATATTTCAGACACAGTTGAATTTAGGTATATGGTTTGTTATATAAATTATGCTCAGAATTTTGCAAGGAATCCAAAAATAAATTCATATATAGGGTGATCGATTGAAAAAAAATAAACTTTTTGGTTTTTCCCTGTATATTGATCAATTTTTCAATTTTTATTTTACGTAGAAAAAAAAGTATTTTTTAGGTCCTACATAACCACACTTTTAAATTTTTTGAATGACACCGGCGCATTCGCCATTTTTTAAAAAGTATTTTATTTTGTAAACAAGATTTTCAAGTTAAATAATACCTATACTAACTATATGTATATAGTTAATCTAATATTTGTTTTTGAGACTATTATTGACTTGGGAAAACTACACCTTACTCAGCCATACATACAACGTTTGGTTCGATCTTTAACCCGAAGAATAAGAAATTATACAACTTTATACGCCAAAATGAATCTTATTTTTTATTAATAAGTAAATGTTTACAATGTTTCTATCTTATTCAAATATTTAATGTAAATGTTTTTTTGAAAATATATTTTTGCATTGAAGATATGTGTTGTGTTTTATTTATGTTTTTAATATTTTTATAAAAAGCGTAGATACCTACAATTCCCTACGGCACTACATTTGTAATGGTTTTGGTTTGTTTGATCGTTAATCTGAAACATAAATATTAATTCAATACCCACTTAATTAAAGTTAATGGAAAAATCGAAATAAAAGGTAAAATATTTACTTTTAATTATAAAAGCACACGCACTTTAGTGCTACACGCAACGCTTGTACATTCAATGAGCAAGCGCATTAACCTTTAGATGTATAGTGTTTTTTTAAGAGAATGTAGGTATTGAATAAAAATTTGGATGGGAGTTATAACTCTAATTATAATACTAAATTAAAACAAGGATAAAATGGTCGATAATTATTTAACAATTTCGTGTTATAAAACATTTTGTAGTTACTTCATTTTACCAGCAATAACAATTGGTGCAATTTTCTTGATGAAATTAAATTGCCATTAAACTAAAAATATACTTCAAAACTCAGCAAATTTTCTAACTCGGGTTAGTTGCGGTATTAGTATTGATTATTTTTAAAAACTTCTTTGATAAGAGGGTTAATAAATCTTGGTTAACGAAATTCCTTGACTTAATTTATGGATTAAATTAAAAGCCGTTATTATTCGATTATGTCAGTTTTACCGACTTATAAGGTTAGTTAACGGGTTTTAAATAGGTAACATTTTTGCAATATTTATTAGTGTTTGTTGTTTTAAATTTTATCTACTGTATTTTAGGAATTTGGTGCGTAATGGCGCTTTGTTATTTTTAGTATACTTTTCCTGCACAAGAGTAAGAACATATTTATATTTTATATTCAGAAATTCGTTTAAGACACAATAAAATCGTTTTTTAGACAAAATTGGACAATATTTAGTATTCAAAGTGGAATAACTTGACCAATTTTTGTCCGATTTTAATGAAATTCAGAAATTTGTTTAGTAGATACTACACCGGTTCTGGACCAGTAGTTAAGTTTTTGACCGCAGAGGGCGCCACCAGTCGAAGCTCCATTTATATACTTTATTGAGTGAAACTTCAACGCAACGCAATACAAATTGGCAAAATGATATACAGGGTGACTCATTTAACTTGAAACTTTAAAATATCTATTTTATATTATATCTAAATTTATTAATTCGCATTTCGTTTTAATATTCTGCTAACACTGCTCTGGGATATTCACAAATCTCTAGATAATTCTCGTGTGCTTGCATGAGGATTAGCGGCCGTTGATGCTAATATATTAATTTCATTATTTCCATCTGTGACTGTTGCTCGACGAACTCTTTTTTTCGGTTGAACACTCCCGTTTGTAGTAAACTGCTTGACTGTACGGTGAAATTAAGTACGTGATCGATTTTTTTCCGGAAAACGCTGAGCGTAGATATTAACAGCATCATCAAGATTCCTGCATGCTTCTCCATAAATCAAAATCATTTCTATTTTTTCTTCCACTGTTAAAAAATCCATTATGAATAACTGCTTAACGAAAGGAGGTCTTTTTGTTTGCAAATTAATCTTCGAACTAAATTGATTAAATAATGCTGAACTATAAATAGTTTCTTTATTTCTCAATAATAATTATTATTTATAACTAAATACCATTTTTATACCTCAATTAAGATTAAATTAATTGACATTTTACCTTAAATGAGGTATTTTTATTAAAAATAGTACAATAATCCTTTAAATTAAAGGATTTAATGCTGGCAGGTAAAAAGTAACCATGGTGCGCAATTGATAATTATCACCGAATTAAAAAAAGTATAAAACTTAAACCAAAGGAAACTTAAATATTAGTTAAAAAATCGTGGGTAGGTACTTAAAAAATCAGATTTAATTTAATAAAATAATTATTACCAAAAAAAGTGATATTTTTATAGAAAAATTATTGCAGAATCGTATACAGAAGAAAAATCGAACAAAATTGATTTTTTTTCATTACAGCGCCATCTATTACAAATATGAAAAAATGTTTTAGACAAAATCTACCTATTTTTAGTCGAATGATCCGAATCTGCAATAAAAAATAAGGGGTTCCATTGGAAATTTTAAAGTTACCCCCTGTTCCCCCTATAAGGAGGGGAGTATGAGGACCAATTTTAGTACTGATTGATTTCCCCGAATCATTTAATTTATATTTTAAACATTTTTTCGTAGAATGCATACTAACAGATATTTCAAAGTTTCAAGTTAAATGACTTACACTGTATATGCAAAAATGATAGAGGAAAAACTTTTTGTGGTGTAAGAAATTTATCTAAACAGGAATTTGTGGCCAAGAGATAAAAATTTGCAACAAATTTCGAATACAAAATAAAAAAACTTATAATAAAGAATTAGTCTGTTTTCAATTAAAATTAATTATCTATGACAAACACAGAAAACAAACAATACTATCTCCCATGATTACATTATTAATTAATTAGCTAATAGGTATAACAACAAATACATACCTACCTAATTGTTTTTATAACAATGCCTACCAATATTTCCTTAAGGCACTCCAAAATTAAACCAACACATGGCGGCTTGCAAAGAATAGTAATATTATCGTTTATTTAATAACAATGTGTTTTTAATAGCATAAGTTCGTTTATACAATCCTAATTTAATACTTCTTTTCCGACAAGTTGTTTATGTCAGATTTAAAATGTTTCATATGAATTAATTAAAGAAAGTGAATCAAGAAAAGTTTAGATAACTTTTGAGGTTTTCTAATGTAGGTTCCACCCAGCGAAGTTTGCATTGAAAATGGGAATTTACAGCGATTTGGTCGGTTATCAATAATGATAAGCTTAAAACAACGATAATGTTAATAGGTGTGTGAAAATATTTTGTTAGATTTATAGTGTTTAGATTCTCTAATGTCTGTTTCGTTTCAGAGGCAACATGACAGAAATTAAAACAACCATTCAACCTCCGAACAAAAGTATATTAGATGTTATTAAAAGTTGCGCCCAACAGGTAAACTAAATGAATAATTTATTAATTAAATTAAATTATTAATTTAATTTAGGTAAAATATAAGTTCGATAATTTTAGGTTTCTGTGATAATTTGTACATATCTCCTAGGAAGATTTAATTTTTCCATTCTATGGGTTTTGGTGCCGACTTTAATGTATTTAATTGATAAAACAAGAAAGGAGAAAATAAGACAAAAAAGTGATTTTATAAAAGATTTAACGAATATTGGAGAAAAACAAATTTTGGCAACCATTAATGATTTACCACAATGGGTAAGTTATTTTTTCTGTTAAATTATATTACAATTGTGAAATATTCTTTTATTAAATTATGAGGTTGTTCTGTAGACCACTGATTTTAAGTTACCCCATAAGAAAAAGTCTAATGGTGTCAGATCTGGAGATCTGGGTGGCCATTTTATTGGTCCTCTTCTACCAAACCACTGTTCTAGATAATTGTGACCCAGCCAAGCCCTAATAGTTTCTACATAATGTTGAAAATGTAATAAATTTTCATCCAAATCTAGTTCATCATCTCAGAAACGATTTATTAAAGTCCAGACTTTTAAATAGACACCATATAATATATACATTACATAAATAAACTTTTATCTATAATAATAATCTAGGATTACTTAGTTACGAAATCATCTCCAAATATAGACAACAAATATGACCTAAAATCAATTTTTACCTATTTCACATATTTTTACAGGTTTTTTTCCCAGAATTCGAAAGGACAGATTGGCTAAACAAGGTAAAAAAACATATCAATTGAACAAAAAATAGGGTAACCACATAGTTATTGGACACTTAATTTATTAACGTTTACTTAAAAATAGGAATATTTGAATTTTTAATAATAGTTTTATAAAAAAATGCAAAAAAGTATAGTAATTGGACATTTTATATAGTAATTGGACACATGGACCATAGTTATTGGACATACAATTTTTATATAAACAACAACTTTAAAAATTAAAGATAAATTGCTGTTTTAGGTAAATTATTTATTTCGTTTTTGTAAAAATCATACAATCCATATATTTCTTTCTCGGATTCCTCATCCCTTTTCTGGATTCTGAAGGTAACTACTAATTCCTTGGTCTGACTTCTGAAATAGTTTGTTGCAAATATCATTAAGTGTGGTATCTCTAGTTTGTGAAGCATTTATAATGTTTAGGCCGGAACAGGATGATTTATATATCTAATATTTTTTCGGGAGGTATGTTAAAAGTATTTTCCGAATATATTAATTTTGTTGCCATTAGTTTTTATGTTCTCTATCATGTACTGTTATTCTGCAAGATGTCCTGTGACGAAGAAATCAGTGATTTCAAATCACTATATTAATTACTCTCTAAAAATGAATTAGTCAAAAATGTCATAGCGAAAAAGCAGCCACGAATAATTCTCGTCAACAGCAATTTGTATCCAGGACATTTAGCAGTCAATTCCTATGAAATATTATTCGCTGAATCCGAAAATGTCGTCAAAAGTTATATAAGTAGAACGGTTTTTGAAATATAATCAATTTTACATATAATATGGAATTGACTATATCTCAAAACTGCTTAACTTTTATAGTTTTTGACGGTCTTTTCGGATTCAGGGGACAATTTTACATAAGAATTGGCTGGTAAATGTCCGGGATACAAATAGAGTTTGATATGTCCAATAATAGAAATTTACATTTTTTACCAACCAGTAATTGGACACTGGTCATTTTACTGTTTGTTTTCAGAATTAAAATTAAAACGCATTAAAGTGACAATGTTTAAACCATGTGGAACACATTTATATCAAGATTTTTGTTTTATTGTATAAAGCGTCATCTAATGATTTGACTTTAAGGTAACTGTTTATAGAACTCTTGTTTTTACAGTATTAATTTTAATTGTCCAATAACTATAAAGTGTCCGATAACTGTCTAGTTTACAACATTGAACATTTTTTAAAAGATAACCCATCAACTGTGGCCGTACGTAAACCACTACGCAAAAGACCTGTTAACAGGATTCGAAGACACCCTAAAGCAAACTTTGGATGGTTACCAACTTAAAGGATTCAAATTTGAAAGGATAGTCCTGGGAAGTCAACCATTCAGAATAGAGGGGGTCAAAGTTTTTCCAAATGGGGCCAAGAGGGACGAAATATATATGGACCTAAATGTTTCGTGAGTAATTACGATATTTTCGTGAAAAATAACCAATATTTTTGAGGTTTTGTTATTAATATTAATGTTATTTTTAGTTATGCTGGTGATTGTAACATCACGTTTCATTTGGCTAAACTGAAGGCTGGAATAAGAAATTTCCAAGTAAGAATTTAGAATTAACATTTTTTTTGTTGGGTTTAAAATTTAATATATTATTTTAGCTTTATGGAAAATTAAGAGTGGTCCTGAAGCCTCTCATTTCCTCTATACCTTTGGTTGGAGGTGTGCAAGCCTACTTCATGGAAAATCCCGAAATAGATTTTGATTTGTGTGGGATTGCTCAAGTTTTAGATATGCCAGGAATGAAGTAAATATCGCTTTTTGTGGGAATGTAAAATAAGTAAAATTATTTTCAGTGATATAATTCGAAAAGTCATCTTAGACACCATTGGAGGTATGATGGTGTTGCCCAATAAGTACTTCTTAAAATTAAGTGATGAAGTTTCTGAATGTGCCATAGTTGATTTACCAAAAGTAAGCAAAAAAATTGTATTTATATTAGACTGGGCCAAAAAAATCAACTATTTTTTTTTGAAAAGTATATCAAAAATATGGTTTGGGGAGACAAAAAAAAATTATTGTGAAAGTTTGAGTCCATAATATTAATATTAAGAGGTCTATCATCGCAATTTTAATTTTTTTTCCTCAGCAAGTTTTTGTCTCAGAACTCCCAAACCATTGAGTTTAACAAAATTGACTCGAAAATATTTTTTTAAGAAAATTAAATGCTCTACAAAAAAGGTTTGATTGGAATTTCCCGTCAGATGAACCGTTTTCTTACAATCATGCCTTAAAAATTGGTATAGTTTTACAATTTGATCTTTTACAGAGCGCCTTAAGAGTCCATGTTGTGGAAGCCAGAGACCTACTAAAAAAAGATATCAAAATCTTGGGCAAAGGAAAATCCGATCCTTACGTAAGACTTAGGTTGGGATCACAAGAGGTCAAGTCGAAAGTCATTGATGACACTCTTAACCCACAGTGGGACGAATGGTTTGAAGTAATACGTAATTATTTTTTTCGAACTTGATGTGTTATACAATAATTTTGCAGTTTAAGCTTTTGGAGCTCTCTGGACATTATTTGTACATTGATTTATGGGATAAGGATTCTACAGAGGATGAATTCTTAGGAAGGTAAAGTCTAAAGATCGTCCTCGACTGCGTTACTTAATAGAGACATTTATATTTTTAGTTGTGTTATTGATATAGACACCATTATAAAAAATGTGGAAGTGGATTCAGTGAGTATTTGAAACTAAATATTTTTTGTAAATTTTAATAAAAAAAATGTTGCAGTGGATACAACTAGAAAAAGTAAAACATGGGATGATACACTTAAGGATGACTTGGTTAACTTTAAGTACAAATTATAAAGACCTACAAGCAGTAATTGGTAAATTATATTGTAATTAAATTTAATTTACAATTTTTTTAAGGCGTTAGAAGAAACACAATTGTTAAGAGTAACAAAACTGAGCTCCTGTTTGTTAAGTGTAGTGGTAGACTCAGCATCCAACCTTAGTGTAAGTTTTTATACTTAAGGCACGGTGGTCAAAACTAAAGTATAGGACGAACAAAAATGCCAACCAAAACTGATAGCATAATCTGATTATAGACTCTTTTGGTAACACAAAAATGTATTTATCAAAATCCCAGCTGATCCTTTATTAAAGTTTTGCATATTTCTTAGTATTTTAAAAATATTTATGCCATTTCGATAAAATACTCTAGTAGGTACCATTATCAAATGTTTTTAAAAATTTGGCAGATACATGACTGGAATATGGATAAATTACATTATAAATACAAAATAATGTAAAATACAGTTTGCAATATCTTATTTATTGTTTTAAGGTATCTAATACAAAACTAATAAATAACTAAAGATTCTTTGAAGCAAAATCGATTACTGCTTGCCTTAAATTTTCAGTAAAACTTTTTCTTGGGTTTTACATGGAATTGTTTTTAACATGGAAACAGAATTTTTAAATTCTTCAGTCTCTGTATAAACATGCTTCTTACATCTAGCGATATCCCCTAGAAAGGAAGAGCATATCAAAACTAGTTCGTTCATCCGTCCTCTTCCTTAATAATTTTTTATGCCCTTTATATCTTGCCATTTTGCAGATAAAGCACATACATTCTTGGCTGCCGCGAAATTATCTAGCAATTTCTAAATTTTGAAAATTTGGCGATTGTGGCTATGGAAAAATACCGTTTTTACCATATTGAAGTAGGTTATTTTGAATCATTTAAGTTAAAGTGTTCGTTTGAAAAAGTCTGCAGTAATTTTTATATTTTCTCAGAAACCCTAAACTCTGAATTTTTCGATTACCAAAAACAATTTTGTCTCCACAGCCAGCACATACCTTCTTTCGATTTTCTTCATGGCTTAACTTGAATTTCGGTTTAATTTTCATTTTAAAATACTATTTTTAACTTTATAAAGTATACATTAAATAAACAACTAAAGCAAAATGTCACTTGCGTTATAACGTATAGCAATTTTTTTCATAACCACCTTAATTATTCTTTTACAAAATTTGCAAGTTGTAATTATTTCATAGACAAACTTCCAGTATTTTTTGTTATAAAAAATATTTAAGATATAAATCTTCGGTTTTTTTTGTTATGTTTTGTTTTGAGTGGTAAAAAATAATAGGTGACTCAATAAATTAATACTGGGGAGTAAAGTAATTTAAATGATACAAAGTATATTATTTTGCTTAATTTTATTAAAATTGTACAGGTAGTTTTAGTACAATAATTGCAAAATAATATATAGAAATAGAAAAACAAAAAAGTTTGCAAAACTTTAAAATAGGATCAGCTGGGATTTTGATAAATACATGTTAGTGTTACCAAAAGGGTCTATAATCAAAATATGCTATCAGTTTTGGTTGGCATTTTTGTTCGTCCTATACTTAAGTTTTGACCACCGTGAAGGCTTAATTGTGCAAACTTTGTAACTGTATACATTATCATACTTGTTTTAGCCTGTTAGAAGTAACATAAACCCAGATCCCTACGCCATTGTTCAACTGGGTAAATCGCAGTATGAGACTAAAGTACAAGAAAAGACCATCAACCCTGTATGGGAAGAGAACTTTACCTTCTTCGTGATTAATCCCAATTCGGACGAAATCAACATTTCCATAATCGATCACAAAACCGACACGAACTTGGGAAAATTGTGCTTTAAGGTGAAAAATTTGGGGGAAAAAGAAAATTTGGAGATACTGCAAAGATCCTTCAAAATGAACACCGGGGTGGAAATTGTATTATCTATGCATTTAAGGGTGAATATAAAAATATATGTTTTAATTGTTTAATATTAAATGTTTCGTTTTTAGATATTTAAGAAGTTTGAGCCTATAGTCAATGTATTGGACGATTTGTTTGAGGAAGAACCTAAACCACTAGAAAATCATTCTAGATCACCATCTATTGCATCTTTAGTTCCAGAAAGTAGGTTAACTAAATGTAGGGTGAAAATCGGATATTTTTTTTCTTAATTTAATAACAGTTTTCCATATTTTAGTCCCTTATAAAAAATACCATTTTTCATTCTTATTCAATCGTTTAATTAAATCTGTATACAAATTTTTGTAGAAAATTGAATGCTTTACAAAAAAGGAGTGATGTGTTCAAGCCATTACTCTAACCATTTAAAAGATATTCAAGATCAAAACTTAAATAATTTATTATTCATTATATATTATAGATTTTTCGGAAGCAAAAACATTTTTTGAATCACCCTAATGTACAGGGTGTATAAACCCTAAAAGCACACTTCTACATATTTTTTTATTTTTAGAAAAAAATACTTTTGTTAAACAAGACTCCACTGTAAGTAGTAATTCTTTAAGCAATTCTGTGATAAGTGAAATTGAGGAGAGACTTCTTATAACGTAAGTTTAAGTATACGATTTTTTAAATCGTTTTAATTAGTTCAGCAAATTAATACTAAATTAATTCTTTTTAAGGCACCCTGAAGGAAAGTTTGGAAGGATACGATTGACCCTAAGATACAGTCCTCCCAGGCAAAGACTTATAATAGTTGTGCACAATGTCGAGTAAGTTAATTTAACCAAACAATAATTTAGTTTTTTGATAAATTTCTTTCGCAGAAATATTCCATATAAAAATCCCGATGACTTGCCAAATATGTACGTAAAAATATACCTTTTGCCTGGAAGGGACAAGGATAGTAAGAGAAAAACCAAAGTAAGTTTTTACTTAAACATTCAAGACTTTGTAAAAAAAGCGTGACGTATTATTTGCACAAAAAACTTTATAAATGTGTTATTATTTTTTAGATTCATAAACGCACCCTGGTCCCAGTTTTCGACGAAACATTTGAATATTTGATATCACAGGGAGAATTGTCCACAAAACAAATAGAAATTTCATTGGTAGAGGATAAAGTTATGAAAAATCCTTTATTGGGAAAAGTAAGGTTAAATCAAATGAAATAATTAAATTCACAATAATTTTATTTCTTTAAGGTAATCATTGATTTAAAGAACTTTGATTCGACAACAAGCCTGACTGATTGGTTTAATTTTACACATTACAAAGAATAAATTTGCCTGGAGAGGACTTTTTTATTTAAGTAATTGTAAAGTTTCTACCTTTTGTAAAATATATATATTTCGCTACATTCTAAATATGTTTTCAATAAATAATTTTTTAATTGAATAAAAAAATATTTAAAATGGTATAAAACCTGTTATATTTGGATTTCTTAAATAAAATTTTAAATTTGTCGATAAATTATAGTAGATAATAAATTGCACCACTTTAATTTAAATAATCTTAAACAGGGGGGCCTGGAGGCGGGTGAGGCGACAGGAAAAACTAACTTTTTTTCGCAAACTTCAATTTAAATTCTGTTTGCGCCAAACTTGTTTATTTAATGTCATAATAAACTATTATTAATTTGGTGTGGGTCCCATATGTCTAATAACTGAGATATTGCTATACATAAAATCCACCAGCCGCCACTGCAATAAAGTTTAAAATATATATCGGTATACCGATTTAAGAAAAATTTTGTTTATTAAACACTAATTATATAAATAATTGTAATTGCATATAAAGAAACCAATAATGTCAAGGATACAAAGTTAATGTATCATTACCAATTGATAAGGTTCTATAGCTTTTTAAATAGTTTAAATTTAAAAATTGGCAGAATAAGTTTGTTTGGTAAGTTATTTTTGGTTACTAAACAAAATTAATTTGGATATTGAACTAGCATTGAACAATAATATTTACCAATTTTATTGAAATTATATCCAATCTACAGAGTAGATTCTACACTCAAAAAAGGAATAAAAAACAAGATTTAAAATTTAAATTTTAAAACCCACAAATGCGATTGGGTCATGCACAAGAGAGTTTAGTTTTGTATCAAAACTTCTTTCCCACAACACATATTAACTGCCCATAAACTTCAACATGTTACTGGCCATATAAAAAATACGTCTGACTTCACTCATAGACTCGGTGTAAATGAAGTCCATGAAATAAAGTTACCGTTTGACCCTGAATAGAATAGAATCGGTGACGTCATTTGTATATTCGATTTTTGCCTAACCTGTTAACAAATAGCGGTTTAATAAAAAACATTACCTCACGACTATAGCCGTGGCTACGCATTATGCTACTGGATAATGCAATAAATAACAAACACATAGCATGACAAGTGCAGATATAATTTTCCCGACACCTACTTGAGAAATATTTGTGTTTTAAGTGATTAGTGCGATTGTGTTTTCAAAAGATGGAAGGCGTCAGTAAGTTGATTATTTTGTTTACAAGTTATAGCCTACCACAATAATGGCGGTTTAAAAATTTTGATTAATTAATTCAAAATCTTAGTGGTATACTTATAAATAATTTTTTTAACTTTGTAAATATAATTCGGTTTTTATTAAACTAATTACATAATGTAATAATTTTGTATTTTAAAATGTGTAAATATGTATAAATTTCTCGACAGTGGTTTTTCCAATTTAATACATTGTATTTATATTGCAATAGATATTTTTTTAAATCTTATCTTAAGTTCCCCACTAAACAATTTCAAATACCTATTTTCAACAATAATATTAAAAATTAATCTTAAATAAACATGATGCAGATAAAAATACTATATACAGTGTGTCCCCGGACAGGAAAAACTTTTTTATTATGCGTTTTACGGAAAAATATTATTGCTAATAAAAAATCTGTCTTATTTAAAAATTGATATTCCCATAAAAAAATCTGAAAAAATGTACAGGGTGCTCAGAATTAACGAAAACATGAAAATTCTTCAGGAGAGAAGTATACCTTACCTATTATTTAGACTTTTAAAACATTGTAAAAAATAAGTACTTGCGGTTAAAAATCTGGAACCTGGGCTGTAATATCTACTTAATTATGAAAATCAAAACACAATAAAAGTGTAGGTGAAACTCATTTAGTTTTATTAAATATCACGGAGTAACACTATCGGGGGACATTTCGTGAGATTCACCCATTTAGACCTTAATTTTTTTGTCATCGACTTTCTTTTATTCTTAATTAATTAAATAATTTATATATTTTTCCAATTTAATTTCTGAGCACCCCGTACATTTAATTCAGATGTTTTTAAGTTTTGAAAAAAGCAGTCCTGAGTTTTTATCAAGAATGATTTTCTTCCGTTTTTTCCTCTTGGCCGGGAACACACTGTATATATATATATATATACATATTAAGATATACATATGTTTTAAATATTTTTTTATTATCAAAATTGCGATTATTTTTCAAATTTATTTAAATTTTATAAAATTTAAATAAATTTAAAAAAAATAACATATTAAAAAAATAATATAACAATTTGAACTTAAATAGTAGTTAGCTATTAAAAAACGACTTTCCTACAAAAACAACAAAACAATCGTGTATTTTTATTAATATTATTTTCCGCAGCTTCATGGTATTTTCTCAAGGCTTTGAAAACAAGCAGGAAATCATCATTTTTTTTTGAGAAATCAAAAGTATTATATTCCTCTTTTAACTCGCTTTGGAGACATACTGTATACTATACATACTGTATACGAGGTGTGTTCAGACAATAACGGGAATTGTTAAATTTCGCAGGTTCGGAGGGTCCGGTTGTCATAAAATTTTCTTTATTATGTTGGTATACATGCCCCCGAAATATCATAAAAACTTTAGCCGTTTTCATTGTTTACTTTGTCTGTGGCAGTAGCTAAGGTTAGACGTGTTTTATGAGCTCGGCGATTTTTCGTTCATTAAAAGAAATGGATCAAAGAATTTGTAACCAATTTTGCTTAAAAAATTAAATAAATTCTATGAAATGTTAACAAAGGCCTATAGTGAGTCTGCTATAAGTAAAACAAGAGTTTAAAAGTGGTATAAGAGTTTTTAAGATGGCCGTAAAGGCGTTGAAGATGTCGAACGTCCCGAACGCACAAGCACATTAACAACCGAGAAAAACATGAAAAAGTGGTTATAAACCATCAGAAAAGTCGCTGATGATGTTGGTATATCGATTGGCTCATCCCATGAAATTTTTTCGAATGTTTTGGGTATGAAACGCGTGGCAGAAAAAAAATTTCTAAAATTGTTAAATTTTTGGCCAAAAACAATACTGTAATGATGCTCCAGCCTCCATATTCGCCAGACATGCCTCTGTCTGACTTTTTCCTATTCCCAAAATAAAGAGAACCTTAAAGGGCCGTTGTTTTGCAAGCATAGATGACATTAAAAGCGCATCGCTGAAAGAACTAAAGGCTATCCCAAATATCGAGTTTTAGAAGTGTTTCGAGTATTGGAAGAAGAGCTGGCACATGTGCATAATATCCAATGGGCGACAACATTAATGTAGACGATTAAATAAATATTTGTTTCAAAAAACGAAAATTCCCGATATTTTCTGAACACACCTCGTACATGGTGCAGTTCTGATTGTGATCGTACATTGTTGCCACATTCAATTCAATTAAGGGTTTACATAAAAAACAACAAAATAACGTGTGAAGAAGTCATAATAAAACAAAATTTTAGTGTCACATTTTATTATTTCAAAATGTAAATTAGTTTGATATAAAATTTGCCCGAGCGTTTACATTGTTTAATATATATTTAAGTATTTAACACGTATTGCAATTAAACATGTTTGTTTCTTAACTTGAACCTGTGGCTCAAATTTATAAAATAAATTTGGCTTTATTAAAATCCTTGCGCTAGTTGAATAAAATATTGTGTGCGACCATTGGTCAGGCTCGAGAAATCCCCTTTTTCTTCCACTAGTCGCACAATATACTATTATTCCACGTATAGAAAACTGATTACAACCGCATTTTCTAAACATAATCGTAATTATTTACCACAATAAACCCGACATATTTTACCACAATGGGTCACATTGTCAAATAATTAATTTAATAAAACGCGTATATTTCGTAGAGTCACAACTGCTCCGGATTAAATCTGTAAATTTATACGACGTATTGATTTTTCTCTCTGCGGTTTATCTCCACAACAAACAGCCGGTCACAAAAGTTAAAAATAAACGAATAATCTAAACCTAAAATAAAACCGCTCGTAACACTAAACTTGAACTTAAATATAAAAGGTTAAAAATAATTAGTGTCAATTGTTTGTAAGGTACGCAAGATGCAATACGCCCCGACGAGGACGGCGCCTTGATCAACAACAATAAGGAAAACAGAAAGAAAATGAACAAGGAGTTAATTATCAGTATTTTGAATCGGGTAGGTAAGATTTATATTACATTATATTCAGTTTGACTTCATTAAAATAACAATATAAAAATAAATTAAAAAATTATTAATACATTTTATACAGGGTGATCCCTATTCATCCAAGAATTGCTTTTGTTACGGCAAAAAGATCATTTTTATAAAAGTTATTTATCTACAAACGCTGCATTCAGTAATAGCATTTTCATTAATTATAAAGTAAATTTACGTTTAGTTTATAAAAATAACACTCTTCCAGATGCAGAAACGCATAGATAAATATAGTTATTATTATTTGTCCAAAAAACAGTTCTATACCGTTTACAAAAACGTTTTGTAGTATTAATGAAACCCTAATGGTATTATTTATAAAATTTTGTAAATTTTACAAATCCCTTTTCGTTTTAAATAAAACTTTTTTTATAATATTATAAAAATTTATGTAAATTTAACAACAAAATTACTGTTAATTCAATAAACTATTTTCATTGTAACAATGGTCACATTTTCAACTCACTGTTGGGTGTTGGGTAGTTTTTTTTAAATAATTGCAAGGCATTAAAACAATTTTTTTATTATAACAAAAAAATTAACTCATATTATATGATGTACAAAATATGAACTCACTTTTTAAACAACAAGTCTGCTTCGTTTATAGAATAGACCTTAAATATTTCTTTTAGAAAACGTCGAAATTTTAATTTTCTTAGTGATCTTTTTGATTTTTTATCATGCTAGATTTTACCACATTCACTCGCACAAGTGAAATCAATAAGATTATAACACAGACTGTGGATTATAAAGTCATGTTCACCAAGGAGAGCGCTGGCCCTTTCCCCCTCTTTTTAAGGGAAATAACCAAAATTTTGTTACCATTGCAAAACAATAGTAAATATTAAAAAAGTCTTTTTATAGCAATAAAATATTTTTGCTATTGTTCTTAACGTAAGCTATTAACAAAGATTTTCTAACTGAAATAAAATTAATTTGAATTACAACGATAGTAATTTAAAAAAGACAAATATGCCATAGTAAAATGAACAATTTACACACAACTATAGATTTAACAAAAACATTTTAAGTTCGACAAAGATTTAATATAAACATAAAGTATTCTTATTGCCATGACAATATGATAACAACTATTACTTTGTAGGATGAACATTTTTTTATAAAAGCTCAACATTGCTGCTTTATTATAGTAAATGACAATTTTATTAACAGTAAAAAAGTTTATTCTGTAAATAAAAATAATCTCATTACTTTGACAAATCTTAGGTTTTTGTCAAATACGACACTGAAAATTTAATAAAAAAGGTACCTTAGGTGGTACATTTTTTATTAATCGCTATTTTTTTAGGTTGGCCTAGTTTTTCTAGGATATGTAGTAGCTTACATGTCTTGGTCCTTGATTCTTCCCTTAATAACCATAGGGACTTTGGTGTGGCTTGAAAATAAAACCAACAAAACTAAGGAATCAATTAAAAAGAAAGCAACGGCTAGTAATTTGAGCAAAGATGATCTATTGAAATTGTTGAATAATGAACTTCCCTCCTGGGTAATACTTGTTCAGCGAAAATAATAATTTTACCTAATGAATTTTTTTATGTAGGTTACTTTTCCAGACAGAGAAAGAGCAGAATGGTTAAACGAGGTAAAAATAAAAAAATATAATAACAAAAATATTTCAAAAATGCATTTTTTAGATTGTTTTAAATCTATGGCCCAACATTTCCAAGCACATTATTAAGCTATGTAGGACAAAAATACAAAATAACATAAGAAAGAAATTCGATTCTTTCAAATTTGAGGACATCGATTTTGGGGAAACCGTAAGATTTTAAAAATTAATTACGAAATTACAAACACAATTTTTATTTGCAGCCCCCGAAAATAGATGGCATAAAAATGTATTCCAAAAGAAAAGACAGTATAATTGTGGATTTTGATGTATTGTAAGTTTTTTGGCGTAACTAAAAAAATATATTTTGCATGACATAAAATACAATTTATAAAGATGATTAAAAAACATGATAATATCATTTTAAAAATTTGTGGAAAAATTTTTCCTACCATGTTTTAAAATTGTCCTCCTATTTTTTAAATTTATCCTACTGTGCGAATTTGTCCTACCATTTTTAAATGTAAGTATGCATGTAAGCGCAGTTTTTAATTATCCAATCACTTTTAATCACTTAAATAAAACCTAATATCGTATAGCAAAATAAATGATTGTTACCTATGTACATCAAAAATATTAATTTGTTTCTTTTAGTTATGATGGAAACTGTGATATAAATTTTTCCATAATGGGAAACCAGATTGGCCGAATAAAGGATTTTCAAGTAAGGAATTTAAAAAAAAACTTTATTGGATAACTCCAAAAGGCTAACGACATTAGTCTTTCTGCCTTTATTTATTTATTTTTGTAATATAACGCAAAATTTATATTTTTATATTTAGTTGGAAGTTCAAATAAGAGTGATACTGAAACCATTATTAGTAAAAATGCCTTTGGTGGGGGGAATTCAAGTATTTTTCCTAAATACTCCAGATATAAGTTTTGAAATTGAAGGGATATCCAAATTACCAGGACTGAAGTAAATAATTAAGAAAATATTATTCGATACAATTTTTTATGTCATTTTTTTATAGTTACTTTTTACGACAAAAAATTGAACACAAGATTCGCAAGACCATAGTTTTTCCCAACAGCTTCACAAAAAGGTTCACAAAAACTATTGAAGCATCTGAATTGAAAGCTTTGGAGCCAGAGGTATCAAAAATAATAAATTAAAGAAACAATTTGGCAAAAAAATAATTTTAGGGAATTCTTAGAGTTCACGTTTTTGAAGCCAAAAATCTGGAAAAAAAGGATGTAACGGGTAAATCTGACCCTTACGTTATTTTGTCTGTTGGAGCTCAGGAATATACCACTCATGTTATTAAAAAATCACTAGATCCCAAATGGGATTACTGGTGTGAGGTAATTTATAAATTTACCTTTAAAAAGTTCTAAATTTACTTAATGTTTTTTTTAGTTTGTAATTTTGGACCCGCTGGCCCAACAATTGTATTTTAAAGTTTTCGATGAAGATGATTTTAACGAGGATGACTTTTTAGGCAGGTAATAAAATATCCAAATGTGATTTGATCCATTACGTGAGATTTTAGCCTGACAACTTTTAAAAAAATTAACTTTTTTTAACAAATTTAAATTATAAAAAATTTCGTTTTTATAAATTGTTGTAGTGGCGCAGTTGAAATACATTCCGTTATAAAACAGGGAGAAAATGACAGATGGTTTAAACTGGAAAAAGCAAAGCACGGTGATGTGCATTTAAGATTTACTTGGTTGGGACTGTCTCCTGAATATCACGACCTACATGCGGTAAATTATTATAAACACTATTCACCATAATATAATTACCTACATACATTTTAGGCTATAGCTGACACACAACAACTACAAGTCTCCCATCTGGCAACAGCGCTGTTAACATTCTATGTGGATAGCGCTAGAACCCTGCCGGTAACATTTTGACTTCCAAATTTAAAAAAATGATAATAAAAAATATTTTTTTAGATGAAAGGTTTCAAAAAACCCGACCCATACTTTAAAGTATCACTGGGCACCCAGCAAATATTCAAAAGTAAATCTAAGAAACACACAAATGACCCAGAGTGGGAACAAGGCAGTTCAGTGTTAGTGCAGGACCCCCACAACGATATTTTCACAATTCACATTTTCGATAAACGCACAGAACAAAAAATATGCTACTTTGAGTACCCGTTAAGAAATCTGACAACGCTGAATTTTATGCAGATCAGCAAGGAAGTGTTCCCATTGGTTACAGATGAACCTGACTCCTATGATAGTCAGATTATTATATCCTTACAGCTTAGAGTAGGTTTATTTATTAAAAGTTGGTAGAACTGACACAATTTCTGTACTTTTTAGGTGTTAAGTAATGCTCTATATGAGGGAGACTCTGACTCTGATTCTGATTTTGAAGACCTGGGAAAACATATTTCCAAATCATCATCATTAAAAAGAAATAGTTTGTTGACTTCCCCGGACAGTGATAAGTCACATCAATTAATAAATGAAGAAAGAACACAAGTCAGAAAATCTAGCAGGCTTTCCTCAACACCATCAAATGGTGATGGAAAATTGTCCTTTAAATCCAAAAACTCTTCTTTGTCTAGGAGTGGCTCAGGTTTTGGGCAACTAGAATTGACCATAGATTATAGCAAGCCTAGACAGAAGTTAATGGTTATAATACATCAAATAAAGTAATATATTTTTGTAAGGGATAAGTAACATATTTTCTAATATTATTTTTATTTCAGGGGCTTATCCTTAAAACAAACTTCTGATGAACCAGATCCTTATGTAAAAATAAAGTTATTTAGTCCTGGAGTCACTACCAAAAAACACAAAACTAGAGTAAGTTTGTTTTGGATTTTTTTCCTTTGCAATATTTATAAATTTTCTTTTTTAGACCATTTCTGACACTCCAAATCCAGAATTTGAGGAGTTCTTTGAATACCTTTTAGCAACAAATGAACTCACAACATCCAAACTTGTTTTAACAGTAAAATCCAAAAAATATATATTCAATAGCAACATTTTGGGACAAGTTGTTATTAAATTTGAAAAAATCATTGAAAAATTACCCTTTAGATTTTGGGTAGATTTGGGACCACAAGAAGAATCTGATTAATGTAATGTTAAATTTGATTCAATATCCACTACGCTTATTAATTTGTTTTTATTTTTTTATTATACACATTATTATAATAATAATAGGCTTTGTTAAAAATAAAAATTATTCAATTATAGTATTATTTAAGTTAATCAACTTACCCTTTTTAATCCATGGGACCAATGAGGAACAGTCTTGAATTGATCAATTGAAAACTGTTTCTGATTCAAGGGGGCTGTTTCTTCATAATTTTATAGGTTAAGATCTGAAAAAACACGAAATAAGCTTTATTAAAAGAAAATAAATGTTATTAAATACATACCTAAAGACTTATACTTTATTTGAAAATTAATCCGCGATCATTGAAAAATAAAACAAACATTTTTAAAAACACTGTTATCTCTTTAGGGATATGTCACTTTTTGATAACGTGAAGTTGGCGCACCTGTTTATATGACAATACGGTTTCTTGACGTGTCGATTTGTAACATACTGTTTTTAAAAACATAAAACTAATTATTAAATAAGAATTTGAAAGTATTGGGTAAAAAATGTCCCCTAAAGAAGCAGAAGATAAGGTATGGACTTTATATTTAGTAGAATATGTAGATTTTTACACATAATTTTGAATTATAGACCATTAAAATTAACAAATGGGATGGTTCAGCTATTAAAAATGCTTTGGATGATGCAGTTAGAGAGGTATGTATTTATTTAATGTTTTATAATTATATAAAAATAACATTTTATTTAAGGTGCTTACCAAAAAATATTCATACACTGAAAATTACTGTTTAATGGATGGCCGATTGGTAATTTGCAGTATAGCTGTTGGTGTAGCTATGTATGCTTTATTATGGGATTATTTATATCCTTTTCCACAATCGAGGTATTTATGAAATTTGCATTGACCTTATAATGTATTAATGAATTTTTTATAGACCTATTTTAATATTCTGTGTAGCCACATACTTTGTAATGATGGGAATTTTAACTCTGTATACTACTTATAAGGAAAAAGGTATTTTTGCTGTTTGTGTTCAAAAAGATGGGGGCAAAAAGGAGAAAGTGTGGGAGGCCAGCTCATATTTAGCAAAGTTTGTGAAATGTGAGTTAAAATGCAAAACACCTAATTTTAATAATTGTTTTAGGTTTGATGATAAATATAATTTAATCTTGACCTATAAGGATGGTAAATTAGGATCCAAAAGGGAAGCCAAATCAATTAAGAGTGTAGCTAACTTTGTTGATGTTAACGGGCAAGTTGTGCACAATTTAGTTGAAAATGAAGTAACTAAATTGCACAATTCCCTGTTGCACGAGAAGAAGGAGAAGTGAGACAACATTTATTTTGTACTTTAAATAAAACTTTATTTCATAATGTATAAGCTTTAATTTTAATCTTTAACAGTAACACATAAAAATGCAAAGTGTGAGCAAGTGGACCAGTGCTGATAAAATATATCTTTGGTAGAATACTTTTTAAGAATACACTAAATGCTCGACATAGTTTTTGACTTAATTTACTTGGTGACAGTATGCATGGCATGAGCAAGGTATTCCACGTTTTTACTGGTTACACCAGCCATTGAAATTCGTCCGTCCTTGGTTAAATATACACTGAAGTCTTTGGTGATTTTGGCGACCTAAAAGAATAATTTTAGTAATTTTTTTTGGGAGTAAAACATTTAAAATTTACTTGGTCTGGTTTCATTCCGGTAAAGCAGAACATTCCAATTTGGTTGGTGATGTGTTCCCAGTTGACAGAGGAGCCTTCTTTTTTCAAATTATCGCGCAGTGAAGTGCGCATGCTTATGATTCTGTCGGCCATCAGTTTCACGTCTTGAAGCCTGAAAATAATCATTTAAACATCCTTTGTATTGAAACCATCAAACTTACCAGTCGGCTCTCAACGCTGGGTTTCCCAGAATTTCGGAAACGATTTTGGCCCCGTTGATGGGAGGACTCGAGTACATTGGACGGATTAAAATCTTGATTTGCGACATCACCCTGCTAGCCTCTTCCTTGCTGTCTCCAATAATACTGAAGGCACCTGCTCTTTCCCCATAGAGACCCATGTTTTTAGCGTAACTAAATAAATAAAACATTTGCGTCTATATTTTACAAAAGATGTTGGAAAAAATTACAAAAGCCTAAACCCAACTTTGTGATGATTTTTGGTAAAAATGTTTCATTAGGTTGATACTCTAGGGAGAAATGCGACTTGAAAAAAATCGGTCCGTTTTTTTTGTTTTTTTTTCAGGTTTTTTTTCATTGTTTTTTTTCAAGATAAGTCCCATTTGCCTAATTTTTTATGTTTCCATGGACTAAAATTAGACACTAAATGACAATTAGTAAATGTAAATACAGTCTCGCTCTATGCACGCGCCACAACCACCGATTTGACCAATAAGGGCCGCGCTTGTTTTGATTTGGTCCTAAAAAAACTACCTATAATATTTTTGATTCAGCGCTTGATTTTTCAAAAAGCTACCAAAAGCACTTTTTTCATGATTTTTCAAATTTATGTAGAGTATGGAATTTTTTTTTCAAAAAACAATAGCAAATTCTTGTAGAACATTTATTCATTGGTGGTTAAGTCAGAACATTCCGTGGACCAAAAAAGAAATCAAAAAAAATCTATTTTTTTATTACGGTATTCCTTAGAATTGAGCGTTGCACGTTTTTCATCTAAAAATCTCAAAACTATAAACTTCAAGCTTCAAATTGCTTTTTTTACGGCTCCCATACGACCATTTTTAACAAAGATACAGCTATCCGAAAAATCGCAAAAAAAATTTGAGTCCTTTAATTTTTTGTATTAGTGTAGAAGTTTTACATTGCTATTGGTTTTTAATGTGGAAACTAGAAAATAATAAGAAATCAGATTTTTTAGTCTTGGTCAAAATTTTCAATCATGAAAAATGTAATATATTCTACATATTAATCAAAATTTCATTTTGAAAAAAAACAAAAAAAAAACGTTTTTTTACATCTCTAACTAGGATAAAAAGTTCCAAAACTAGGTGGCGCTAGTACCCAAGTACCAAAAACCGTTTTATCGACTTTGAACTCAAAATGAGACTATAGTCCAATACAGAATGAAAATGAAAAAATCTTGAATCAAAATTATCTTCTCAAGACTTACCTTTGGGCCAAGGCGATCTTATGGCCGTCTTTGACGAACAACCTGACGGCGTAGGCGTCGTTGTCAACGCTGCCGGTTGCGAAACCTTGGTAGGCCATGTCGAAGAATGTGAAGATATTTTTTTTCTTGATGAGTTGCGATAGCTCGGCCCATTGTTCTTTGTTGGGGTCCACTCCGGTGGGGTTGTGGGCACACGCGTGGAGGAGGATTATGGATTTTTCTGGCATTTTCTAAAGAAATATTTACTTTTTGTTTTTAAAATTCTAAAAGATGATTGACATTCTAAATTGTGTTTTTAACATTCAAGTCCCCATTTTTGATTCAAACTATTTATTTGCGATATTCCAAAAATGATGATTTTAATTCATTATACATATTTTAAATAATAACAGAAATCAAAATAATTTTTCGCTATTATTTAAGACCTTTAATTTGTTTTAGTTCATTTTTTTATTTTTTACAATTTTGTTATTTAATTTCATTTCAATCAATATTTAATACCTATGCCGCAAACGCGATGGCAAGAAATATCTACATAACGTATGACCTTGGCTGTATACATTTAAGAAAGTTTGGTAATCCGGACGAAGGGAAGGTAGGTAAGTAAGCAAAGTGACCATTACTCTGGGATTCCCAGACTGGAAATCCACAGTTGCATAGAAAACCCCGAAGGGATTATTTAAAAGGACAAGAAAACGTTATCAAAATTTGTTATGTATTTCGCATTTTAAATATAATTTAATTTTGTTTTAAATTAATCATACTATAAAAAGCGATAAAAGAACAAATCCAAAATTATAGAACAAGAGATCAATGACAAAAGACCCACTAAGCAAAGAATGTTAAGTTAACGTAGGCCAACGTTAATACAGAGTGTCACAACTTAACGTTTGCTCTAATTGTTATAGTAACGTAATTTCGATGTCCAGCAAATTACATCAATCTGGTTCAATCACAGTGAAGTCCTAGAAACGTTTGCCAACAAAACATTCCATGTCTCTTGTTCATTTGATGTTGTTTTTAAAACATTAATATGTCATGTATAATTGTATGTCGCATGAACATTGGCAGATGCAACATCTCCCAACTCATGTTTATATGATGTTATTTTTAGGATGTTAATATAAGAAGTTCAATTACATGTCCCATACACGTTTGCGGAAATATTGCTTAATCATATGTTTACACAATGTATTGTCTTTTTTAATAAACGTTAAGTTGAAAACGGTTATAAAATGTTATTTTGATTATTTCGATATCTTAAGGTAGGTACAATTGAACCTACAGCTATTTTAATATTTTTTCATTTATATGCATCATAAATATTTATTTACTTCCTATATATATATATATATCTATCTTTCATTATATTTATATTATTTAATTTATATAGTTATTCAAATTTTTAAAAAATTATAAATTTTGCATCAAGTTTTGCTTTTAAAGCCAACCACGTCATTTAAATCATATGGACGTATTAACTCTAATATGTCTATAATTTAAATAGACAGATAAACAATACATTGGCAAATAAGATTAATACACTGATGTAAACACTTAAATTCACCTTCGTTTTGTTTAGAGACTCTTCGTGCTGTTGAGGTTAACAATTATGAGTTTTTAACCGCGACACATTCAAATCGAGCGCGCGAAACTCTCAAACCCATACGCTGTCAAACTGCGCAGATTTCATTTTGGTTTGAGATTAAAAAGATTCGAGGCCCTCGAATCGAGGGCCAATCACAGAACGTCTCTCGCACCAGAACGGCGTCATTTGGGATTTAACAGGTTTAAGAGCAGTGAGTGTGAGTAGTGAGTGTGTTAAATAAAGCGTAGGTAAGCTACAATTACTTTTTCATTTTTCATTTAAGTTAACTAAGCGGGTTGTAAATATATTTTTACCAAGTTTAGTAAGGTAGATTTGGTAGGTATTACCTTAAAGGTATTATTTATTTACTATTATTTACGAGAACGCTGTGTATAGGAGCATGGCGGGGTACCACGTGGTGGCTTCAGTCTAACAATCATGGTATAGCGAACTTTCGGTTAAAACGAACCAACTCAAATAGTATCTACGAACCTAGTCCTAGTCACAATCCAGTGGACAGAACAGAACTTGTTGTGTGGATTGAATCCACACAACAAGTTCTGTTCTTTAGCAGTTCGCGCAGACTGAAAATCACAAAATACTTGCCGCCATATTGTTTGTTTACTTTTTAAGCGGGTAGATTTTGATTTGGTTTAATTTTGTGCCTTATTTGTCTTAATACAGACTTATAAACGTTGTTAGGTGTTTGAACCAGTTATTTTGTTGTTTATTTGTGTTTTGACTGTACTAGTGTACCTTTTTGAACCTCAATTGTGCAAATCTTGTGTTTAACCAGTAAGTAGGTAAATTCTAATTCTAAAATATTAGGACGTTTTTTATAACTCTTGGTATAAAAAGTAAAAAAAAGGGCAAGTAAAAACCTTAAAAAACTTTAAATTAACTGGTAAAATACATAAATACCTATATATTTTTAATTTTGACAGATTAGAGGTTATAATTTGTTCCATAATTTGTTTCTATGAACAAACAAACTATAATATAATAATAATAATATAATAACTATAATTTCGGGGAATTTAAACTACGATAACGGTCGGTATCAAACTTCTATTTCGGGGACTTTAAAATACCCGCGACAAGATGGCGGCAAGTGTTTGATGACGTAGGTGCGCACAACTGCACCGATTCTGGTTTAAATTTTTAAGCTAAAGAACAGACCTTGTTGTGTGGATTGTGGTCCTAGTTAGTTAATTTTTTCGCAAATAACAAACATCGCTTAAAGCGTACCATCGTTCATGATAAAATTTATTAACAATATAATTCATTAATATTAGAACCAATCAAATGCCATTATTCCATAGTTACGCATTTTATCACAGCGACAATATTTTTTATCACCTTGTTTACACGTTACTAAGGATTTTGACACTTCTTGATTTGTTGACATTTAAATCCTGTGTTTGTTATATGATAAAAATAATAAATTATAAACTCTAAAAGATCGATGGGTTGGGGTAAACGATAATGAAATTTAGGTATGTTTGAATAAATAAATGTCAAACTGACAATTTTTTAAATCCTAAAATTCATTATATTTTCTCACTAAATATAACTCGTGGTATGATTAATAATTATTATAATTATTATTATTATAATCGATGATATTTACTCATTAAAACCTCGGTTTCAATTCGAAAATATCATGGATGATAATCATACCACTTGTTAAATTATGGGTGATAATATCGGATAATATTCTTAATTAATAGACCAGACTCATAGCCCAGAATTTGTATTTATCTTTAAGGTTAGGGAGAAGAGGTAATTACCATTATTATTAGCATAATAAAAAACTAGGAAATAGTTCAATTAATAAGTTGACAACGCGAATATCCTAATACATATGCGCTTTTTCGTTGGTACCTTTTTATTCATCACAATTTCTTTGTTACCCAGGCAGTAAAGAAAAATTTCAATCTGGTAGAGTCCGGGATGGACTGGTTCTGCCATGGCAAACAGCGAATTGCGAGAGAAAGAAAATGAATATGATATGGATATAAATAAAATATTTGATTTATATTTGCATGTTATTTGAAATAAATTTTTTTTTCACATCCGTGTATTTATTCAAACATCGCTGCGATTTTATCCTAGAACATTAAATGTATGTTGTTGATGCACACATCATGATGATGTTTTAAACTAACGTTAAATTAACTAAACTAAACTAATGTTATATAAACATCGCATTTGTGAAGTTAATATGCTAACGTTAAATTAACTAAACACTTAACGTTATATAAACATCGTATTTGTGACGTTAACATGCTAACGTTACTGGCGCGGTCATTTTCCGTTCTCGCGACATTAATAGAACGTTAATGTTACAAGAATGCTAACGTCACAATGTAATATGCTGATGTCGCAATAATGTTAATGTGACAAAGTTTTGCTTAGTGGGGAAAAACATGTAGACTCGGTAACAATCCAGAAATGGGCACCGCTCTGTATAATTTGTTTCTACAGGAATGCGCAAAAAGCGTTCATATATGTAATATATTACAGGCGAGATACATATTACGTAACAAAGCAAAAGAATTGTACAAAAAAATTGCAGGTAAGGATGATTTTCAGCGAAGTTTTAATAAATACTTACACGCAATTAATTAAGTTAATTATAAAAAGTTAACTTCTGCCCAGGCTATGCTAGCATAATAGCTATTACCAAAATTTTGATAATTGCAGAAGAAAGTAGAATGCCTGAATATATTTCAGTAGTAAAAAACCTTCGCGAAAAAGCGTTTCAAAGAATAACTATATAACCATAGATTAATTATTAGGTTGCTTTAATTAAAGAAAAAAATAAATATTTAAGTATTTTTTTCCTACTTTTAATACAATAGCCTATAGGCTATTATACACTATAGTGTTATAGCCATAGAAATGTTATTTCTATGGTTATAGCACTAGTGAATTAAATTGGAAAAAGTGGGGTTAAACCGTTTGACAGACGTCAGATTTGGAAAAAGTGAGGTTAAACCCGCCTGAATGTCAAATAAAATTGAATTTAAATTCTGAAAACATGTTTTAAGAATTTATTTGACATTCAGACGGGTATACTCTGCGGTCGTCGTAGATAATTGTATATTATGTATCAAGGCATATTTTAGTTACGAGTTTAATTAACCACGAGCGAAGCTTGCGAGAGAGTGTTTAATAAAAAAGTGTCTAGAGAAGTTTACAAACGAGTTGCTTAATATACTTTTTCTACGACGAACACGAAACAGAATTTAAAGCCAATTTTATTTGTTGAAAATTTGACATCTGTCAACTGTCACCCGAATTTAACCACACTTTTTCCTAATTTATAATAAATCTATGTAGGTATTTTAAACATTTTTAAAGTAATTTTTTAGTTGAAAAAACACATTTTAATTTTCTTATCTTAAAAGAAAACAAATTTCCCAAGATTTAATATTATTTATGTATAATTAGGTAATATTAATATAAAAATTGTTACTTATCATAAAAGTTGATGACATACATATGTATATCACTTGCATTATGATTACAAAATACTCATTTTAATAGTTAATTATGTACTTATTGGTAAAATTGGACAAACAGGTTTTTTATAATTTATATCTCACCTAATTAACTTTTGTTATTTAAAAATTATTGTTATCAGAAAAATAAATTAATTCATATAACTTTAGATTAAAAATAGAATTATATTAATTTAAACTCACCGAAATGTCATCTAGGGCTCCACTAAAGTCCAAACCACAAGTCTTGGGGTCATAATATTTATAACTCTTAACATCAAGTCCAGAATGTTTAAAAATAGGTGTATGATTGCCCCAGGAAGGTGTAGGCAAATAAACAGTCTTGTTCCCTGGGAAGTATGCATTTAAAAAGGCACCTCCAATCCTCAATGATCCAGTCCCCGAAATACCCTGAACGGTTGCATTACAACCATTAGCAACGACTTCAGAACCCTCACCCAATGCTAACTCAATGCTTCTTTTGCAGAAGTCAGCTGTGCCTGAAATTGGTGCATATTCTTTATCTAAATTCTTAGATCTAATGACTTCCTCAGCTTTTTTCACACTGGGGAGAACAAATGGTTTTCCATCGTCATCCCTGTAAGCACCCACACCCAAATTGATTTTTTTGGGGTTGGTGTCGCTTTTAAAGGCTTCAGTTACCCCCAAAATGGCATCTGGGGGGCCCATAGCCACCTGGGACCACCATGACCTAAAAAGTAAAAAATTGAATTAACCTACCCCAATACGTCACTTATTAATATTTAGAAGGGAGTACCTATTACATAAAAATTTTGTTATATTAACTTACATTGCCCTTGGTTTTATAGTATAAATGGTTTGCCTAAGGGACATTTTGTAAAGTGTTGTTTTCTGGTTTATCTACTGATAACAGCGTGTGCCTCGAATCTTATGCTTAACGCGATTGAGAAAGAAATGAATGAACGTCTTCAAGAAATCTATTTTAAACGTAAACTAGCAAATTGATGACGTTACCGGCAAAAAAATATTTCCATATGTAAGGTCATCTAAAGGTCAAACATTTCGCAAAAAAGTATGAAATTTTTTTACACAATTTATTTTGTTTGTGCTTATTTATTTATTAGTTTTTTTACCAGTAAAATAAATAAACTTTAATTCAATTAGCTAGTTTTTTTTTTATCTAAGGTTCCCCACCTGTCAAAACGTCAAAAAATCGGCGCATGCGCGATTTAGATAAACAGGTGGATATGTTTGTTCTATTCTTTTCGTTCTTTTCGTTGTAGTTTTATAAATTTTGTTTGTTTATGTATGATTTACGTAATTCTGGTGAGTTGTTACATTAAATTTGTACCGCATTAACTATATTTTTATTATTACTTGTAGTTTCTGACGTCAATTTGCGCGGGAAAACAGCATGAGTGATTTCGATAGATTAAAATATAAAATAAACAAATTGGCAACATGTATTAAATGTTGTAATTGGTAGTATTAAATAAATACCAAATATGTTGTAATAACTATTTATTTAATTTATTTATTTTCAGTAATCAAATAGTACCAAATTCAATTGACCTACAATGTAAACATTTCTGTTGTGAAAAATGTTATAAAAGTATTAAAAACAAATGCCCTAAATGTAAAGAACATGTAGAAGGGGTAACTTATGATGAAAATGTCACTGCTATTGGCAATGTTTTAAAAAAACTATATGACAGTATTAACACAAATTACAATGTGAACTGTAAGTTTTTTATGTATTAAATTGTTTGTTCTAATATATATATTTTTAGTTGAAACATTAATTAAAGATGATGAAATATTGATTTTAAATCCTGTAAATAAAAAGATTACAAATCAAAATACAAATGAACCTGTCCATGATATTATAAAGCCTTTAAATGATAATAAAACTGTTAAAAATAAAAGAAAAAATTCTCTTAATGCAAGCAATAAAACTAACAAGTCTGCCACTAAAACCAGAAAAACTAAAGATAAAAGTTTTACAGAAGTTACAGTCGAAAAAAATAAACGAACATCAAAAAAACACAAAGAAAATGTTGTTACAGCAACTAAAAATTATAAAACAGATGTTGTTCAGTGGTTAAACAGCAACAAAAACGATTTCGATAGAATAACACAAACCCAACAAAGGATTGTTGATGACATTGCTTTAGAAGGAACAACCCCATCTATATCTCAATTAAATAACCCAAAAATTACCAGAAGAACAACCAGAAAAACCAATAATAAGAAAACGCGTTGCAAATCATTGGAAGTGCAAATAAAAAAACCTCGGAATAATATGGAGCAAAGACATTCAATCAGTTCTGAATTATTAGGCAAAGAGAATTATAATATTGATGATATTAATACGGAAGAAATTAAAAAAATTGTTAAAGAAACCGAGGTAAAAGTCATCGAAAATTTGCTTGAAGATGAATATCTAGACAGGTTAGAATCTGAGATGTTGAACATTAATAAGGACCAAAAAAATGAGGATGAATCAATGACTTCGTCTGGTTGGGATAGGATTAAAGATATAAGTAAGAAAATATCAAAGAAAGGTAAAAAACAGTTAAATGTTACGCTGGAACCTGTAAATACTTCACAGGTTCATGATTTTAAAGGCAAAACTGCTTTTGTTAAACTTTTGGATATCAGTAAAGATCCAAATATTAATTTAAGTGGTGCAAGTTTAAAAAAGCAGAATTCTGAACATCATATGGAAATTTTAAATGTTGTGGATAATAAAAATGATGATTTGGAAATATTAAATGATAAGTCTAATAATTCAGTTAAAGAAAATGATATTCATATCATACTTGAAACTTATTCAAGTGATGGTAAAAAAGATAAAGAAAATATTATTGAAGTGTCCCAAGGGACAACCACTAAAGATTTAAATAGTAACAAAAATAATTTAGATTCCAGTATTTTGGAGAAACTACAACTTAAGTTAAAAAACACAATTTCTTTATTAGTTGAAAAGAGTTTCAATAAAAATGTTGTACTTAAAAATTTGGAAGAATGTGAAGAACATGTCAATATGTTAAAAAACACAAATCCTGAAAAAACTTATTTAGAAAAATGTGTACAAGTTACACAGAGCAAAGAAAACAAAACAATTCAAACCTTTTTCGAACAAAACAACATATCAGTACAAACAGAAAATGCAGACTTGATAAATAAATCTCCACAGACAAAAACGCAAAAAAATCCTTCACAAATATCACAGAACATTATAAGATCTCTATCATCCGACCCTATAGATAACTTGATAATAAACTCACAAGGACTGGTTGAAGGATTTATTTCTCCTAAACAAAACAATAATCAGGAACATTCAGATGAAATTATTGGAAATAAAAAATCAAATAAGAGGCCAATGGTCATAGATTCGGATGAAAGTGAAGATTATGCGCCGAAAAAGCCGTGTTTTAACAGATTTACTAAATCCAATTTGTCCATTAAATTTGAATCTCAAGTGGGGGATTCACCAAAAAATTCTGATGACAAGATGAACTTATCTGAAAATATCGATTATGAGGTACAAGTTTTTTTTTTATCTGGACTCATGTTTTTTTGTTAGGTTGGTGGCTTATGCCAGTTTGACTTAGTATCTTTAGTATTTAAAAATGGTACTTCTGCTAAAGAATTTAATTAAATACTTTGACACTGTCAAATTAACAATAATATTTATTATTAATAATATACTTGTCAATTATAAATAAAAAGATAATTATGCCAAAAATTAGCAACGAATTCGAATGTAAAAGCCCTTTTGAGGGCAAAACTTTATTTTGATGAAATTATGCCAAATGCCATAATGGAAGAAAAATTACATCACCTTATGGACATTTTTGGAGTAAAAAAGTAACGAATTTGGTTTTTTAAATATTACATCACACATTATTTTCACATTATTCATTGGAAAACATTTACGTTCACAAAAAATTTTAATTTTTTTTATATAAATTCTTTTCAAAGCGAATCTTAAAATTATTATCCGCTTGGAATACTTTCTCTTCTGGGCCGTAAAGGAACCTATATTTAACTACTTTTTTATATGATTTTACTCATCCAAGCACCACCAAAGCCAAATTAATTGCATTTTTAACTACGAATTTCGACAACTCAACTTGACAACTGCACAATGTAACCTACAATAATTTATACATAACCACAATTAGATTTATAACTAGCTTAGTTTGTTTTAATCAATGCGACCCACTTGACAACTGTATTTACCAACCAAAACCCTAAATTTGCAACGTCGCTGCAGTCCAGATAAAAAAAATAACTTTACATTTGATATTTTTATTTTTTTAAATTTAAATGGTTTCTAAAAAATATTTTACTTTTTTAGGATTATTTGGCAAAGGTAATGAAAAAATATGACGACGGTTCAATGAGCAGTGAAATAATTAACCCAGTAAAAATCCCAACTCAAAATAAAGCAAATCTAGAAAATTTGTCACTAAGCTTTGAAAAAAACGAAAATTCAGCAAAATCAAAAAAAAGTCAAAGGTCGAGAGAAACTTCTCAACCAGGAAAACTGGGTAAATCTCAAAGAACACCCAGTAGCATTAAATTTGACGACGAAAACTATTTTGACGAATGCTGCATAACAAATATAGACAAAGAAATTGAAAATTATAAACACCATAAACACAGCGCCACAGAATTATCGGATATAATTTCGGAAACCGAGGATATACAGCCTTTAAAAAAGCTGAAAAGGGCTGATGTAAAAAAAAATAAAGCGGCCAGCATTGAACAAAATCGGGATATAACGGATTTTGAGAATGAGGATATTGAGATAGAAGAAGATGAGTTGGTGGAAATAGAAAGGAAGGCGAAGGAAAATAAAAAGATTAATGTATTACAGGAAGTAATACTACAAAATCCAAACAATGAGGATAGAAATACACCAGGCAGTGATATTTTTGAAAATGAAGATAATCTTGATATTATTGAAGCTACCCCTCCTAGAAAGGAAATTAGGTAACTTTTGGTAATATTTCATATTTTAGGGGTCCAAGTCCAAAATGCCGATTTTCGGGAAAATTATTTAATTTTCAATATCTGCATTTTTTAAATCTGCATAACCACAAAATTAATTGTTTCATCGGTTTTTTTCTTTCTGTTTACTCAGATGAAATTGGGACAAGTTCACAGGTTAAACTTGGTAACCTACCAGATTCTGTCACAAAAGTTGCCAGATTTTGTTTGAATTTACCTTTATTACAAAAATGACATAATCAACAATTAATAAAAACGCCAAATTAAAAATTTTCATTGTTGAGTTTGTCGTTTTTGTAATTAAGCTAAATTTAAACAAAATCTAGCTTTTTTTGACAGAATCTGGAAACGCTGGTTGTTGCCAACCATAAGATAATAAATTAAATTCGGCAACCAGATTAGAAGGTTATTATAAATTATTTTTAGTCTTTAGAATTTAGAAAAAAAGTTTCAGGTGCTTCATTATGGACCCTAAGGAACTACCCATTTTAATACATTAATTACATAACACCCTGTATATAATTTATATGTAAAATATTTAAAAAAAACTAGTTTTAAATAACATTAAAAATAATTGTAGGAAATTAGAATTTTTCCGTTCAGCGTATTATAAAAAACAAACATTATTTTTATCCATTCTTTATTTTCTTAGGAATGAGAGCCAAAATTTATCTCAAATCCCCCAATTTTCTACGCTAGAAATGGCCGCATTCGACGTGGCTTTACCCCCTCCAGCGGAATTTTGCGACGTCGCACCCGACGACTTGGAAATAAAAAACACACCAACAACGTCGACGAATTTGAACGATTCTCTGTTCGTGAGATCTCCAGAAACCGTAAAATCTCTGGATATTTCGCGCACCAGCACTCCACACTCGAGGTGTAAAAAACCGGAGTTGAATTTTTCACCGATATTCTCGCAGAATAGGAAAGTATTAACGCAGACGCCCAAAAGCAGCATGCTAAGTTGCATACCAGGGCAAAAGAGCCTTTTTAGTTACTTAAAAAAAACGCCGAGCACTCAACAGAGTACACCGGAGAAAGTTGTCAATACGAGTTTCCGGGAAAAACCTTTGGTCACTTCAACGCGGATCGATAAGGACCAAATGATCGGAATATCGACTTTGGCGCACAGAAAAATAATCGCCTACACGACAACCTACACGGAAAACGTCACACACTTAATTGCAAACGTGGACAAAAACAACTACGTGGAAGAACACACAATGAAATTTATTCTGGCGGTGGCCTCAGGTGCTTGGGTGCTAAATGTGGGATGGATCAAAGAATGCTTGGAGAAAAACAGGGTTGTACCGGAAGCACCATACGAGGTTTTAGATGGGAGCGGCATAGCAGGCCCTAAAATATCCAGGCTGACGAGGAAAAGTAATCCGTTGTTTAGGGGGTTCAAGTTTTGTTGCAGGCCCCCTTTTCAAAGTGCTGTTAAAGATGACGTTGAGGTAATTATTAATATTACGTTATTATTTTCTCCGATTACTTTTGTCGCGTGATAGCCTTCTATATACCATAGGGTTACAAGGTATTCAATTAAACTTAAGAAATTACTGGAATTAAATCAATTAAGTTTTTATTAACTTACTTTACAGGATTACTGGCGGAGAAACTAACTTTTTTCGGGCTTGGAGTCGTTGTTGTTGCCACACACCTTCTTCCCTTTCGCTCCTTTTGAGGAGATCTAAAACGCTCCTATTTATATACAAACAACTAACATAATCATTAAATGCTTTTTACCCTGCATTGTGTTCCATTTTTTGTCGTTTTTATGATCGTTTTTTAATGTTTATAATCAGGATTAAAAACCTCATAACACAATTTACATCACAAATTAAAAGCATTTCTCCAATTGACACTTGTGTCACTTGGAGAAATAATGTCAATTGAAGGGGGTGAATATATTAAGATGAAAATGAATATTTTTTATTTTTAGTTGTTTTACTGTTAGTGTGGGGTTTTTGGGAAGCCACCAGGTCTAGTAATAATAATAATAATTGCACTTTACGGTGGATAGGTTTTTAAATAGCAAATAAATGAAATTAAAATTTTAAATTATAAAACAGCAACACTCTCATCTGCATATAAATTCTAACTGACCTTTAGGAATCACATGCATCTATAATGTCGTAAACAGAGGTTTATGCTTATTTAAAATGATAAAAGCGCCATCCGTTGCATAAAATTTAAAGCAAAAACAGATTCACGGAGGATAGAATAAATTTTTGAACACCTACATAAATGGTTATAAAAATTATTTCTTTTAATTTTTAATAATATTTACTATTTTATTCGATTGGTTTGGATGTGCTTAATTTACTTAGTGACCTGATATTTTGCTTTGCTTTTACTACCTCAGATATTCGAAAACATATAGGTTAACCTAGAAAGAGTAAAAGTCACGGATGATAGGTTTTAGACTTTTAAAACATTGTAAAAAATAATTAATTACGGTAAAAATCTGGAACCTGACATCTGTCAGACAGGTTTAACCTCACTTTTTTTTCAATTTGACATCTGTCAAACGGTTTTAACCTAACTTTTTCCCAATAAGTAGTTGCTAGAAGATGAAGATAATTTTAAATCTTAGAAGTGCGTGTAATTTGTTTATTTATACAAAACAAAGCTAAATTTAAGCATTTTATAATTTTCAAACAAATCATTTTTCTTTTCCAGACAGTTTTGCGTCTTTTAGATGGTAAGATAGTAAATGATATTAGTACCATGGGAATCAAGGATGGGCTTCATGGTATTATAGTTTCAGAAATTGTGGGCACCCAGGATTTTGATATTTATGAAAGTAAGTTTTTCTTCTCCTATTGCAACAACGGGAATAATGAACCCATTATTCCCCTTGTTAGACATCATTCATTATTCACTGTGATTTGGACCAATCAGGTAGTCGCCCCTGGTAGGATTAAAATCTGACATCTGTCAAATGATCTAACCTCACTTTTTATTTTTTCCTCTATTTCTTCCAATAAAAATTATGCAATATTCCTTATAATAAAATACATAAATTACTCTTTAGGAATGTTGGAAAAGTATAAATGTGTCACAGTGGATTTGGAATGGATTAGCAAATCTGTTGCACAATACCGTTTAACCAGTGTAAGGCCTTATCTTTTGTGTTCTGAGGACTTAATTTGTGACTTGGGATACCCCCAACCTCTGTTAGACTTCGTACCTCTTACTGGTACAGAAGATGATTAATTTATTTTTTTGTTAATTGTAATTATATATATTATATTTTATGTATTTTGTACTCGATCAATTATATAACTGTTTTGTACATACAAAATGTTTTATTTATATTTGGAAAGGTTAAAAATAATAATCAGATTATTCTACAAATGTTTATATTACAAAACAAAACAAAATTATACATAATTTACAGCTTTAATTACAACATGTAGCTACAAACTATGAACTGCCTAAATGAAAACCTCATAATATTAATTTATAAAAGTACAAAAATCCCAAAAATACGTGTTAAAAATAGGGATTTATACATTTTTTTTTAATACAAAACTATACTTTATAAAGAATTATTTAAATTGTAATCAAAAATAAGATACACATCTAAAAATTACTTAATCATTATTAACTAATAATGTACAGTTTAGAAAATAACTATGTATATAACTAGTATGGCTGTGTTACTGGCAAATATACATAAGTAACTCTAAGATATTTGTCCCTGAGTATCAACTACACCTAAGTAAACTTTAAAAATTTACTAAATTATTCTATATTAGTAAAAGTCTTTTTGCAAATGAAATAAAATGGCACTACAAATATAGGGTGATCCAACTTGATACAATGAGTATAAAAAAGAAAATATATTTTATAAAAAATTTGTACCTTGTTTTATAAACCACTCTATATTTTCACCTCAAGTATCAGTAATAAAAAGTTTTTTTTTAATACAGCTTGGCACAATTTTTACAATTTAAAAATCAGTCATCTTAGTCTTCAACCAATTGATTTAGTCCCAGGCTGTGTAATTTGGAAAGTATATATAAAAAATTCCGCACTCAAAAATAATTATTCATCCAAAATATTTACATAAGTCTTTAATTTCGAATCAAGTCTTAAAATTAATTTATTACTGACATTGGGTAAATTCGTTATTTTATTTAGTACAATCATTGTCACACGAAACACATACTTATTCTTAGAATAGCAATTTGAGCAAAGTGGTGCAAAATCAAAAATTTACATTCATGATATCAAATCAAACGCAATTTTTCTACAAAACAATAAAATTAAGGAATAAAATGCATGTTGAATAAAGATAAGTAGGTTTAAAAAGTCCATAACTTAAATTTGAAACCAAAACTTTGGTGTTCAAATAAGTTGTAAAAAAATAAATATATGCTAGGCAAATATGTCTGATGGCGAAATACAGTATTGTAACTCCACTGTCAAAACAGCAAAGTGTCGCGCTAATGAAATACTTGCTTAAAACATAAAATTAAGTCATACTTGGGAAAAACTACACGAAAAAATGAATTAAATTCATAAATATCACAACAGTTTTTTATTCATATTTACAAATTGAATTGGAAATATAAAATGTACATGTGTTACTCATTTAATTAAAAAAATCTACATATCAGGTCATTCTAAAAATGGCGTCTACATTAAGTCAAATTCTCAGCTTGGTTTTGAAGAATTCTGATGGTGCATGTCAGAATCTCTTCGAATTACCATCTGAAAATAAAGAGTCGTTCTTTAACTAATCAAAATTAAGTTAATTAATTATGTCATGGCCATATGCAGAAATAATTGTTTGTAGCATCTGCCAACATGTATAATAATAGCTTTGCTAAAATCAATCTAGTTCTGAAAATCCTAGGCATGCGCATTTTAAATTTTGAACGCCTAGGATGTCCGTACTAGTTTGAGATTATTACCAAGCTAACAAAGCCATTAACTTTAATCTGTTTTAATTCAAAATATTTATTGTCAGATGTTACAAAAGTTATATATTATCAATAACTTTTAAATTAGTAAAATTTTGTTAAAAAAGCGCACCAGAACATTTTAAAATAATTTTAGCAATTGCGTTTATGAATAAAAACTTCACATAAGAGTACATAAGAACATAAGCACAAAATAATGATTTGTTAGTTACAGAAGTTATGTAAAAAGGCAGAATGAGAAAAGAAGCGTTTTTGTAATAATTAATTGTTAATAAATAGCATTTATATACAGGATTTTTCAAAACAACCATCCTTAGCCAATAACAACATAATCTACATAGAAATTTAAAAATACTCATCTCTGATGAGAAGTTTTTATTAAGGTAGTTCTGTTTATGTCAGTGTTGAAGTGTCGTGTATATTCTATGATATAGAGGGCGTAGTAAGTATAAAATGAAGGTGTAAGGCATAATATAAATTATTTGTATCATGGTTTAATGTAAAAAACTGCTGTTAGAGGTGACTAGATAATTTTACAATTTGATCTTTTAACTTTGGAATTTTGTAATTCATGTAAAAATCAGTACACTTTTGGCTAAATTTACTCCATCAAAAGTTATTCAAGGTTAAAGTCAAAACGAAATTCTTGTTTTTTTCGCTGTAGATTTTTTTTTGAGTCAGTTAATAGTATATTAAAGAACTAATGTCATAAGACGTCATTTTGTCGCACGCGGACAATTTATAAAACGAGCGACGAAGGAGCGAGTTTTATAATGGACAAGTGCGAGAAAAGGTCTTATGACATGAGTTCTTTATGCTATTTTATCTATTTTGTAAACATTTCATAAAACAAATTAATTTTATACCTTATATTTAATTTGGTCGAATTTTACTTTACATAGTTGGTATCTCAGTTTGAAGTTTGAAAGGTCATTAACCTTTCAAACATTATCACATTCTTTTGCTATGGCGTCGTTAATTTACAATAAGTATTTACAATAAGCGGCTGTTAAAGAAGAAAAAAGGATTTTCTTTGGTGTTAAACAAAATTTATTGCACGAAAAGTCTCGTAAGTACTAGAAAACAAATCATAAAAATATTATAACCTATAGGTATTCAAAATTGTATTTTACCAGTAGCCAACCTATAAAATCAAAATTTTGGGTGGAATAAAGTACCTCATTAAAGAACCAAAAGCGGTGTTATAATGAAGTCATTATGAAACCAAAATAGATAAAAACTCTTTAAGTTATTGATAAAATTACTGAAAATTTAAAAAAAAACTAAAACACATTCGAATTTTTTCGCTTTAAGAAGCTATTTTCTAGAAACTATAATTTTCACTGTTATTTGTTTAAATAATAACAATCATGTTTTTTTTTATTGGAAATTGTTAATTAGTTATATAATACACATTTATAAAGAAAAAATCAAATTATCATCCATAAAAAAAATCTACAGAGGAAAAAACAAGAATTTCGTTTTAAATCAACTTTAACCTTGAATAACTTTTGATTGAGTGAATTTAGTCAAAGACTTTGTTAAGAGACTTTTTTTGTAGAGCATTTGATTTCCCATAAGAATATTTATCGGTTTTTTCCGGGTACTGATTTTTACATGAATTACAAAATTCCAATTTAAAAGATCAAAATGTAAAACCATACCAATTTTTAAGGCATGATTTTAAGGAAACACTTTATATGACGGAAAATTTTCCTTAAACTTTTTTGTAGAGCATTTAATTTTCTTAAAAAAAAATTTTCGGGTCAATTTTGTTAAACTCAATGGGAGTTTTGAGACAAAAAACTTGCTGAGGAAAAAAAAATAAAATTGCGATGATATACCTCTTAATATTAATATTATGGACTCAAACTTTCACCATAATTTTTTTTGTCACCCTAAACAATATTTTCGATAACAATCCAATTAACATGAAAATTATGAATTGAAAAAAAGCCAGAGGTTCTAAAAATATTAAAGAAATGGTTCAAAATTCCCAGGAATAACAGTTTCTATTTTTGGTTGTAATTACGCAACTTTCGTCTAATTTAACCGACCTAGCTTTAAAAAAAAAATACCCACACATTGAAGGATACTTGGTGCACCCTGTAAATAATAATATTACTATATAGCACATAACAATTTTCACGCTTTTAGAAAAGTAACCTGTAAGGTTTTTTGTCCTGTGAAGTTACATACGACGATATATCGCTTTTTTAGTGTATAGTGTAAGTATAATGTATAAAAAGACTTTCATTTTATACAAATAACAAAAAATTAAATGTAGATTATAGTGGTTAGTGGCTTTTTGAGGTGATCTTAACTTAAGGGGTGAAAATGATAATAGAGCAAAATTAATTGACAAAACTTGTCGAAAATCTATGGAGAATCTTGAACGAAATATACCTGTTGTTGGGAAGGGCCGGGCCCTTGATAAAGTGGATAGGGCTGCGGTCTCGGTGCAGAACGTCCGCTAGAGTCTGCATTTTGACGCAACAATCCACTATTAGAGTATCCCGTCCCAGCAGGCGAATGTCTATAATAGTTTACCAATTAAATGGAGCAAATTTGTTTTAAAACCCTTTACAATCACAAGTTATTTCAATTTTCCAAAAATAGGCAAATACAGTGTGTATTAAAACGAATAGATACACTTAAATAAAACAAGTGCCAAACCCCGCCCACTGTGGTAGGGATTGAGAATTTATAGGTTTTATTTTTATCGAATTCGTTTGTTTTGTTTTAATGCTCTTCTGCAAATAAAAACTAAGTATTGCTTAAAATCCATTAAATTCCAGTTAATGGCAAAAATGTATTTCTTAAAAACTATACAAATTTCCCTACGACAGCGTCGGAACTACTGAACAAACACAGTAGATCAAACTGCATGCCGCGCTGTTGCCATATGCTATTATTGTTTCCTAAAAGGGTTGTTTTTCTTATTTTATAATATTAAAAGTAAGAAAATTAACTAAATCAAATTATTTTTGACATATTATTATTTTTTTTGTTATTTTTAAAGTTTCAAAGAAATAAAATTGAACTATTTATTAAATAATTATAATCGTTCTCTTCTGATTTAAAACAACCTGGCAACTATGGTTCGTAATTACGAATGGCTTGGTTTAAACCACGCCCAATTAAAGTTTGTTTCTTTTTCTCTGATCAGAATATAATTTGTCATCCTTGTCTCCAGAAAAATTTTGAACTATGAATACAAATTTTTATATGGTTCGCCTGTGTTTTATAAGATAAATTTCACCGTTTAAATTATCCTGCAAACTATGTTCCTACCTTACTGTGGGGCTGGGCTGACCGGCAGGGCTTCGGTGGGGGAGTCCGTACTGGTCGGGCGGAAGTCCGTTTTCGACAGGGCCGCCAACCGAATTGCTTTGCTGGTGGGAGTAGTTTATGTTGCCGGTACTGTGCCGGTTGGGTCTGGGCATGTCGCCCACTGATGGGTGAATGTTGTTTACTAAGAAATAAAGAATGTTTATTGCAGGACAGGGTCTTCAATTTTTTATGTTTAAATATTACACTTCGAATTTTAGTAATATTACCTACACTTAATTTTTTTTATTTGGACTTGGACCGATTTTTTATTTCCCAAACGGCTTTAATGAGCTAGTTCGTTCTACCCTAGATTTTTAAGTACACTTATCCTCGTAACGAATCCGTAGTTTTTTTAAATTATTTTCATTGCAAGTGCCCCACAAAAATTAAAGTTTTGAAAAGCAGTAACTTTTGAAAAAAGTCTAGTACCTAAAAAAATCGTCCATTCGGTTATGTTTGATTACCGTAAGGTTTGGGATCGATTACTTTTAAATTGGGCTATAATAAAAAAATAAAAAAGTGATTTTTAAAGCAACGCTCAACTGCACACTCCGCATAGCAAAAGGGCACATCATATATGATGAAAAAATTCACGGTTAGCGAGTTATGAGCAAAAAAGCAAAAAAACCCCCCTTTCGGGGAATAAAATTAGGGGAAAGAAATTTTTGGGGAATATTCTTGATTCATTATCAGCACCTCTGACTCTACATAAAAAAAATAAAACCCGACTAAAATGATAAAAAATTGTTAAAAACACTTAACTTACGATTTTTTCTTTTATGTTTTACAAAAGTGGGCCATTTTGAGCCATTATCATAAATAATTGTTCGCGCTTTCGCAAAAATACCCAATCCAATAGTTTTATCTCCTACCTTAGGTCCTTTAGGATATGTGCGTGACAGTAGGCACTTTCTAACGTAATTATTTGTTTGACAGTGCACTGTGTATAAATGTAAGTTTCGTTCGTTATATTATTTATTATTAAAATAAAATTGGGCAAGTTAGTGCCATTTCCATAATTTTCTGCATTTGCGCAAAAGCCAGAGTACGGAAATTTTACAAAGTTGAAAAACCAACAAAAATTGTATAAAATAAAAAAGCATGTTTTTTAGCCTTGCTTGATATACACTGCGCGTCAACCAATCTTTATAAAATTTTGTATAAAAATACTTCTTATATCTCAGTTTACGTGTTCGAGGTTTTTTCGAGAAAATATTTTTAAAGCCCTTTAATTTAATAATAAAAAACCGTTCGAAAAATATCTTTTAGGGATTTTTTTTAACTAAATAAAAAATATACTGTTAAAGACCGTATTTTTGTTACTATACCCTGAAAATGTTGTACAAATCAAACGAACAGTAACGAAGATACATCGCTTCAAAGTCGGGAAAAATGACTCCTTTTTGATTATTTTGATGAAAAGTGGTCATTTTTGACGACTTTGAAGCGCTGTATTTTTGTTACTGTTTGTTTGATTTGCACAAAATTTTCAGGGTATACTAACAAAAATACGCTCCACACTGCATATTTTTTATTTGTTAAAAAAAATTCCCTATAAAAGTATTTTTTCGAGCGTTTTTTATTATTAAACAAAAGAGCTTTAAGGATATTTTCTCGAAAAACTCTTGAACACGTAAACTGAGATATAAGTTAAAGTATTTTTATCCAAAATTTGATAAAGATTTGTAAAGGCGTTTTAGAGTTGGATTTTTTTAACTTGTTTGCATTAATTTTGACGCGCAGTGTAGTTAAAAAATGAAAGGATTTGACGAGTAGAAAACGATACGGTGGGTGAAAAAAATAAAACTTATATTATATAAATTAAAATTTTCGAAGTTTTCAAAAAAATTATATTGGATATTTAAAAAAAATCCTACCTGAATGAGGATGAGCAGATGGGTTAGGTTGACCGGTCAACGGTATTGCTAATCTTGCATTGACCGCTAACAAATGGTCCCTTCTTTGCAGCAACGAACTGACGTGTTCTTCCAACCTCAAATTTTCCGCCCTCAACTGATGCAAACACGACAATAAAGAAGCAACTGAAAAAAAAACAAACAAAAAATAGAATTGTATTCAACCATTTCGTTTTTTATTGCTTACTGTCAAAATGCTGAGCTTGTTCCATCAGAAACTGCGAGCCCTGCTCCCATTGGCGCTCCAAAAGTTGGTCGAGCGTTTGAGGTATGTTTCCCCCTCCCCCGCCCAGCATCGAGGACAGACCGCTTCCGCCGGAAGCTGTGCTGGATCCTCCCGTACTGCTGGCCCTTGTCTAAGGAAAAAACGGACATTAAAGTGTTTAAGGAAACTTAAAAATGCTTACAGATGCGACTACTCTGTGGTGCATCTGGGGACCGACGAGGTTGGACGAGTTATCGTTAGGATTGAATATGCTGTGGGCTTCCAGTTCCGAGTTCAGGTGATCGGACATTTTCTGGGCCATATTCGAGTTTGGGTTCAGTTGGTTTCCCAACATGTGAGGGGCTGCCACGCCGTTTTGAAAACTGGAAGAAAAATATGTAATTTTATACATGCCTGAAATGCCTCTACAAAATAATCACACATGTTCCAGAGACCAAAATAATGTGATAACCAAGATACAGGGTACAAAAGTTAAAAGTTTTTTTTGCTTAAATTTGTTTTGTTCGACCGTGGGAGATTTTCGAAAAATGGTCATAAACATCGATTTTTCTATTTTTACGAGTGACATTTTTTCTTAAAAATGCGATAACTTGGCCAAAAATGTTTCGATCTATACATGTTTTTTTTTAAATTGTAGGTTAATGTTTACTACATACAAAAAAGATATTTAAAGATATAAATTAAGTGAATTTACTCAATTTTTTTTGAAATTGCTTTTTCTACAAAAAAATGTGGAAATGTAAAAATTTTAAACTCAATTTTTTTTGCCTTTTTTATAAAAAACAATTAAAAAAATTGATTAAATTCACTTAATTTTTTATATATTTTTTGTATGTAGTAAACATTTACCTACAATTAAAAAAAAGTAACGATCGAAACATTTTTATCGCATTTTCAGGAAAAAATGTCTCTCCTAAAAAGAGAAAATACGATGTTCAACAAACCAAATTTAAGCAAAAAGAAAAAATGATGAGCCATGATTTGTAACAAAATGTGTTTTTCTTTAAACTTTCCCACTTTTTTTCGCCCCTTATTATATCAATAAAAGGTATTTTTCCTAAGATTTTTGAGTCTCTCATTTTAAAGAAAAATTCCATTTTATTAAATTTCTCGGAAAGGGCTATATATATACATAAAGGGTGTGTCATTTTTAAGCAACTTTTTTTTCAACTAAAAAACAGGCTAAAAACTTTCAGGAAGGTGAAAAAAGAAACCTCTAAAAATTTGAACTCTTAATATTAACATTAAGTGGTGCCTGTTCCTAACTTTCCATTTTCCATTTAAATAACATGGAAAATTTAAATTTTCTTTTTTCTTATTTTTGTAGCTTGACATTTGAGCATTGTAAAAACGAACTGAAAAATTATTTTGGTAGGAAATTGAACGCTCTACAAAAAAGGTTCAATATATTTTTTCATAGAGTGAGCCGTTCTGAAGGTATTCAAACTTAAAGTTGCCATTAACCTTTCGAATCGCGGCACGTTAGCGTGCCACTAGTACACTGAGCCGATATAATATTTTTAACAGAGTTATCGACTTTAAAATTATAAAAAATAAAGAAAGATTAAAAATTCAATACAATAACAAATTCATTGTTTTATTTAATCTATTATAATTATTGAACAAATTTATTGAACACAAATAACTTTTTTTGATAGTAAATAAAATAAAATGGAAAAAAATTGAGATGTAAGTGTTAATTTCTTTCTATACGAAAATAATTAATTTTTCTTAAAATAATTTTTAAGACATAAAAAAAGTATTAGTTTAATAAAATAAGTCATAATTTCATACATTTGCAAGTTTGAATACCTTCAGAACGGCTTACTCTATGAAAAAATAAATTAGTACTTTTTTGTAGAACGTTCAATTTCCTACCAAAATAATTTTTCAGTTCGTTTTTACAATGCTTAAATGTCAAGATACAAAAATTATAAAAACGAATTTTTTTTTCATGTTATTTAAATGGAAAATGGAAAGTTAGGAACAGGCACCACTTAATGTTATTATTAAGAGCTCAAATTTTTAGAGGCTTCTTTTTTCACCTTCCTGAAAGTTTTTAGCCTATTTTTTAGTTGAAAAAAAAAGTTGCTCAAAAATGACACACCTATATACAAGATTTTAATTTTAATGGTATTTTAACTAGTACATAAACTACCTTTTGAAAAATGTTTGTTATATTTTAATGTTGAAATCGGTCCTGAGACCAACTGTGTACCCCTTTTTGCCTGGTCGATTTGAGATGGAAAGGCCCAAATAGGGTTTTTACATTCTAAAGTGCCTTTTCAACTACCGTAAACACGGGTGGCTTTAGCTCACTTTCAAACTTAATCTTAATATTTTTGTAGTTTTAACAATCATAAACATTAAATATTGTATACCAAAATTTGAGTCTTGAGTTGCTCTTTCATAATAACTATGTTATAATCTTACATAGGGCTAAGTTTCAAAAATAAAAATTAAAAACTGGGTGTGCAAAGTTACCCCCTGGTTGCGGGTTACTTTGTCTCACAGTGTATTTTCCGTATAAAATTAACTCAATATTTTATTTTATTTTCATTAGACATATGTTAGCAGCGACATATAGCAATTGCAAGGGATTACCGATAAAAACAATAAAAAATCGACCTGTAGTTAACCAAGGATCATCATTCCAAAAAATTGCGCATAATATAGAAATTGAAACGCGTGTATTTTTAAGAGTTTTGCACTAATTCAATATAGGTATACAACTTTAAAGTGTAATAAATCCCATTTATTTTTTTAAAACACTGATTTTCTTGTAATAAAAACTCAATAGAATCGCTCAATTGACAGGTTTAGACCAACAAATTATAAATGTTAATTTTATCGAGCGCGAAACAATTTTTCATAAAAGGGCTAAAGTCACCCGCGGGGTGCAAAGTCACCCGTGTTTACGGTATCTAAAATGAATTTGGGAGTACTCACATTTTTATATCCTTGACATCCTTGGACGAGCCGGAGTTGGCGTTGACCGCCGCGGGAGCGCTCTTCCTGCCCCTCGAGCGCATCCTGCTGGACGACGCGTCCTGACTGGTCTCGGGACTGCTGGGCGGCGAGTCCTTCAGCGCCATCTGCGCCTGCGTGATGCTGGCGAAGGCGCCGGGCACGGCCGCCGGCGACGACACGCGAGATCGACTCGAGCGCTTCGTGGCGCCGCCGCCCGGGGCGCTCGGGCCGCCCGCGCCCAGCTGCGCGTTCAGGCCGTTCGCGCCCTGCAGCTGCTGCGCCTGGTTGCGTTTCGTCTTGCGACTGGATCGCTCAGTCTTTTCGTTCGATTGTGTCCTTTTCGAGCAAGAACAAGTGTCGTCAGTTTAGGGTTTAAACATTTCCGGAAAAATTGAGCCAGCGGAAAAAAAGCGGTTTTTTTCGGGAAAATTGGAAAATTTTTAGAAAAATTGACTTTTTTATTTTTTAATTTTATTCAAAGGGTAATACGAACAAAATGCAAGTAAACTTTTCTGAAAACTTTTTTACGGATAATATCCGTACACTGAAATCAATCGGAAACACACAAAAAGCTGGCCAAAATTCAAATAGAGAGCGAATTTATTTGAAAATAAATACCTTTATGTTCTTGGTGTCTAAGAATTCGAATTTGAGATCAAAATAGTAATAAACAAAATGGCGGACGAACTTTGAAAAAACTGACGTCAAATTCGAAAAATAGTAGTAGTAAGGGGTTTTCGGAGTCAAGAACCTCAAATTTGAGATCAAAATGATTTAGAACAAGAAGGTTACCGCAAAATGGCTGTTTGTTTTTGTTAAAAATAACGTTGCACCCGTAAAAATGAGTGTTAGTGTTTTCGGAGGTCAAGTTATACAAATTTTATTTATGTAATTTAATTTAATATCAAATTAATTAAATTAATTTTCTTAAATAGAATCTTCATTTATAACTTTGAAAAAATTGATGTCACGTTCGAAAAATAGTAGTAAAAGGGGTTTTCAGGGCCAAGGACATCAAATTTGAGATCAAAATGATTGAGAACAAGATGTTACCGCAAAATGGCTGTTTGTTTTTGTTAAAAATAACGTTGCACCCGTAAAAATTAGTGTTAATGTTTTCGGAGGTCAAGTTATAAAATTTTTATTTATTTAATTTAATTTAATATCAAATTAATTATTCTAATTTTCTCACATAGAATCTTTATTTATAACTACATCGACATTAGCCGGATATTCCACATCAGGCTCGTCATCATTGTACAAGTTGAGCTGCTAATGCGCCTTAGCACGATCCTACCTTGTAAGCTTAACCATATTTTTATTATTAATAATACAATACATAATACATACAATAATACACAATTGTGTTAAGTAACTTGTTAACTTTGTATTTTGATATATCATATTTCTATAGAAATTATATAGGGGCGGCGGGACGCATTTTTTAAAAACACATTAAAAAAAATATATAATAATTATTTTCTTTAAGTATAATTTTTGTAAAACCATACAATATTAAAAAAAAATGATTTATAACAAAAATTAAAAATCTGTATAGGCTAAAATAATAAGATTGGCTGTATAAAAATTTAAATGGCGTGATTTCGTGAAACGGTGAGACACAGGAATGTTTAACCTTTATTTTTAAAATCTGTTAAAAATTCTCATGGGAGGAAAATCGTGTTGAACTGTGTTATAATCATAATTTTATGATTATAATAATTATTCCTTTTATTTTAATTCAGTAAGAATATTCTACCGGGCCGCAAAAAAACATATTCGGTGCTGTATTAACATAATTTTTATTTGACACTTCGAATTTATAAAATTATAATTTTTTAATTTAACTTTATATATCATTCATTATTTTGTAGTTGGATATTTTGAATGGACTCCTTTTTGCAAAAAAGACCCAACCGACAGTATATTTAACGTTTACGTTTATTTTATTAAGTCAATTTAAATTTAATTAAATGTTTAGTTTTATATTTTCTGTAATAGAAAATAATGTTAAGTTGTTCATTGGTACTTTTTTTCACATGTGTATATTTTCCAAAAAAATCAATTTTTCACTAAAAATACAATTTTTTCAATGCATGGGGGAAAAAACGGAAAAAAACAGGTTTCCCCCAATTTTTCGTTTTTTCTGACACTTTAATTATTATTTATTTCTTACCTTCCACGTTTGGCGGGCTCTTCGGGGGGCGTGGGTGAAACTTCCAGTTCCATATCAACTTCCGTGTTGATAGCGTCCGGCTGTTTTTCGTACATTATTTTCAGTCCACCTGACTGGGTAATTTCTGTCGTTAACATGCCTGGGGCTGAAGGAGGATTGCTATTGCCTCCTATCATAAAAAATGTTGTTTATACCCTTTAACTTGAAACTTTGAACTATCTCAGTAAAAAAACATTTTACGAAAAAAAAATTGTGTGATATTTTAAAGTTTCAAGTTAAAAGAATCACCTAGCTATATCTAGTTTGAGTTGAAATTCTCAAGCTTAATTTTTTCCGATCAACTTATTTCTTACCGGAAACGTTGGGGGTGATTTTCTCGGCGACGGTCCTCTCTTGGGCCGCCTGCACCGAAGTTAAGACACTGGTTTGGTTGTTGACGAGGGGGTGGTTGGGGCTGATGCTGGTGCCGGCCAGGGGCACCGATACGACCAGCGAGTTCACGGACGAGGAGGAGGAGGAGGAGGACTGGCTCTGCGCCGTCTGTATAATTGACTGGGAAGGCAAGGCCGACACGATCGTGTCGGTGGTGCTGGCGGTGTCTGCAACCGTGGTCGCTATCGACGTCGCTTTTATCGCTGATATGGACGTTAAGGCTACCACCGGTTGGTTGATTATTATCGATTGGGTCGTGTCGATTTTAAGCTATAAACGAAGAAAATTATAACTTTTTTTTAATAAAATTTTGAATTTTACAATACAAAAATTTTTTGACGAGTTTCTGTTGTGTATGCCAAGCCGTTTTAGCATTTATTAGATAACACAGTACGACAAAATTTGATTTTTTTCCTATAGATTTTTAAAAAATGATACCCGTGTCTCGGCATTATTTTTTCAGATCACGTCATTTTTTTTTAAGTGAGATCCAATAAAATGTTATCCACGGTATTCAGCATATATAACAGTTTCGATAACAGCTAGACAGTATATTTTTAAGAAAAATTTATTAACTGAATAAATGGACAACCATTAAAACTATTTATTTATTTTAAAATTAATTTAATTATATACAGGGTGTTGCACATTTACGAAATACGGGTGTTTCACGTTTTTTAAACCTTTATAATCCAATGAAGCCTATTTTTATAAATTATTTTAAACAAAATGCCACTTCCGGTTTGTGGCATCAACTTTGTTATTTTAAATAGAACACCCCATATATTTTTACATTTTTAAATTATACATAAAATTACTGCACCATGTCCTATACCTAAATAAATAGTTTTCGAGTTTTTTCCTTAAAATATGACAAATGCGCGTCAATCAAAAATAGCCTATAACTTTCTTGGTGTTAGGTTTGAAGAAACAGGGGGAGAATTTTTGGAATCCTAAAACATTGTTTAAACGATTCCATGTCAATTCCTTAACATACCAGGTGTGACATTTAAAATAAAAAAGTTATTAACGTTTCAAGTTAGCCCAATTTTCCCTGGGTTTTCTTATGTAATTTGTTGAAAAATGTTAAAAAATTGACATGTAATTTTTTAAACAATGTTTTAAGATTCCAAACATTTTACCCCCATATCCGTAAACCTAATAGCAATCATCTAGAAAACTATTCACTTTAGGTATAGGACACGGTATAGTAATTTTACTCAGAATTTTATGTAAAAATATATGGGGTGTTATATTTGAAGAAAAAAGTGATTTATAACAAAATAGAAAATTAAAAATCTGTTTAGGTTAAAATAATAAGAATGGCTGTGTACAAAATTTAAATGACGTGATTTCGTGAAACGGAGAGACACGGGTACGTTTTTTTAACCTTTATTATTAAAATCTGTTAAAATTTTTCATGGGAGGAAAATCGTGTTGTACTGTGTAATAGTTTGAAGATTAAAGTTTAGCACTTTAATGATGTTTTAACAGAAATTTACAAAGTTAATTTTTTTAAACTCAAAACAATTAATTCCACAAATAAAAAAATTAAAACTCCTAATATTCATAATATATTTTTTTAATTTCTAGAAAATGTATAAATTTGATCATAAAGAATTGAATAAAAACATGTTTTTATATTTATTCCCTTTAAATTAAAAGAAATACCACTATTGCCAACTCCAGCCCATGACTAAAATGCCATAAATTCACAGCTGTAGGAGTAGATTAAGAAATAAAACTAATAATAAGAAAATTTAAAACTAAAAAAATTAAAATATTTTCTTACATGATATAATATTTAATTTATAATTTTTTAATATTTTTTTGATTGGTATTTTATGAAAATTTTTATCCTCATAAGATTTTTAATTATTTAAAAAAAAATTACTTTTAAATTTTTAAACGTCATTAGAAAATTGTTTTGTATTTGAATAAATATGTTTAAACGTCGTGTTTCTTACAGAGGCACTTGTAAGCCTCAAATGAGGCCTTTGAGTGCCAAGAACAACCATTTTAAACCTTATTCCATCAGGGCTGTCATTAAACTGTCAAATTTAAATTTGTTGGTTATGGTAAATTAACCTTAAAATTGAAATTTGACAGTTTAATGACAGCCCTGATAGAATAAGGTTTATTTTTACCAAAAGAGGAGTAAAACGGTTTTCCTTAGCACTTTTAGGCTTTAGTAAGAAACACAACGTTTAACACGATTAATTTATAAATAGCACAAAACAAAACAAAAACACTGACAGTGACAATATCATCCATATAATTAAGATTATTTTATCTATTTCGCGTTCATATTGACTTCATTATAACACCGCTTTTGGTTCTTTAATGAGGTACTTTATTCCACCCAAAATTTTGATTTTATAGGTTGGCTACTAGTAAAATAAAATATGGAATACCTATAGGTTATAATATTTTTATGATTTGTTTTCTAGTACTTACGAGACTTTTCGTGCAATAAATTTTGTTTAACACCAAAGAAAATCCTTTTTTCTTCTTTAACAGCCGCTTATTGTAAATACTTATTGTAAATTAACGACGCCATAGCGAAAGAATGTGATAATGTTTAAAAGGCTAATGACCTTTCAAACTTCAAACTAAGATACCAACTATGAAAAGTAAAATTCCACCAAATTAAATATAAGGTATAAAATTAATTTGTTTTATGAAATGTTTGCAAAATAGATAAAATAGCATAAAGAACTCATGTCATAAGACCTTTTGTCGCACTTGTCCATTATAAAACTCGCTCCTTTGTCGCTCGTTTTATAAATTGTCCGCGTGCGACAAAATGACGTCTTATGACATTAGTTCTTTAATATACTATTACACTACGACTTTATATAGAATTTCTAATATTAAGCTGCACATTATTGTTCTCCCACCTCTAATCATTCTGCTAAAACACGCCTGTGATTGGCTACTTTATTGTATTAATAACTAATTAATGTCCTTGACTTTTGAAACATCCTGTATATATTTTTTAATTTCTAGAAAATGTATGAATTTGATCATAAAGAATTAAATATTATGTTTTTATTTTTATTCCCTTTAAATTAATGAAACAAAAATTGTATTATTGTAGAAAATAAAATAGAATATAAATATCTTTACCTTAGAGCCAGAGTCCATAGTTATTTTTAAAGTAAAGATTTTAAACGCCACTTTTACATAACTGCTCAATTTCTATGAAACTACAAAGACTATTATGTGGGTTTGATATAAAACGACCTTTAAACAACAATGCAGCTTTTTACAAATCCTATTTTATCACATTGTAGTACACAGTGCAAAAGCGCTTACCTTCTTAGTTTTTTCCGCTTCGCTAATCGCGTGATTCTTCTTATCACTTGCGGCTGCACTCAACGGCGCGGCGGCCGCAAAAGCGGGGGGGACCGGTGCGGCGGGAACAACACCGACGTCACTGTTACCGGAAACGCCGCCGACCGGCGTGGGGGCGCGGGAGTTGGCCTTCCTCTTCTTAGAGAACTTGGGGTCGGAGGCTTTCTCTGAGGACTCTTCTTTCGAGTCCTTTTTGCCGTCGCCCGTTTCGACGACCGTTTTCGCGGGCTGCGCCGTCGACGAAACTTTCGCAGCGGACTTTTCCGATCCCTTGGTCGGCTGGGCGGCTTTCTGTTGGGACGAAGACGTTTTACTAGCAGAGTTCGTTGCTTTACCACCGACGCTGCTCTTTCCGCTCGCGCCGCTCTTACGTTTGTTCGAACCGGGCGATTTGGCGGCGGCGGCCGCCGCGGCTGCTGCTGCCGCTGCGGCTGCGGCTTCGGCCTCCTTCGAGTCGCTGTTCGAGTCGCTCAGCTGCGCCTCGGAGCTGACGGGCTTGTAGGGGGGAATGGTTTTTACGTTGCCGCCTTTCTTCTGCAAAAAAGTTTAAGCCACGCATAATGGGATAGTTTCTTTTTAGTATATATACTTCTCTATAGAGAAGGCAGACGCTCGAGCACTTTTAAAAGCAGGGTTAAAAAAATAGTTATTTATGAATCACGAATGTGGCGAAAGCCGAGGCAAAAAACCACGTGAGTGATAAAAAATGAATTTTCTTACTACCTCGTCCCCGATTCCACGGCAGAAAGTTTACGTTTGATGCATTGGTCAAGCTATACGTATTTTCGGCCGAGGTAGTAAGAAAATATAATTTTTTATCCTTCTACAAAATAAAAAATATACAAATATATCGATGTATATATGGTCAAGCTATACGCGCACCCTCTATAATATCGCTCGTGCCGCAAATGTCGGGGCAGGCATCAATATGTTTCGATATACACATTTAATTTTTTCCCGTATTTTCGGCCAGGTAGCAAGAAAAATAGTATACACTACACGGGCAGAAAGTATGAGAGCCCTGAACTGCGCGCCATGATGCAGGAATCTCACACTTTCTGCCCTTGTAGTGTAATATACTATTAATCTAATTAATAAAATTAGGGTCCAATCGACTTCCGCGACGGTGATTTATTTAAATATTATTTAGTTGCTGCCGACGAGCAGTAGACACATCTAAGGCTGGGAATCGATTACGAATAATTCGAATATTCGAATATTCGAGTATTCGAATAGGGGTGGAAATCGATTATAAATTATTCGAATATTCGAATACTCGAATATTCAAACATTCGAATACTCGAATATTTGAATACTCGAATATTCGAATACTCAAATATTTGAATACTCGCATATTTGAATACTCGAATATTAAAACACTTTAAATTAGTATATATAAGGGTGGTAAAAAAACTTTTTTCGAATATGTTAATTTGTCATTTTTATTAAAAAAAATTAACAGCTCTCTTCAAAAATTAGTCGGCTTTTGAATTTTGAAAATTCCAAAAATAATCAAATTCGAAAAAAGCGATATATGTAGTCGCTTCGTTTTGGACAGTAGCAAAAAGTAATCAGTAATTACTATATGTTTAATTGGTAAATTCTCATATAACTTGTTTCGATGCTGTATCCACTTATTTTTGTGAAAACTAATTCTCGCTCAAGGTTTTTTTTAGTGTAATGAGCATGTAGCATTTTAAGGTAATGGGAACTTAAATTATGACAACCCTAATCTATTAATTTTTTCCTAAAATGCAGGCTTTATGTTGCAAATGTCACGTAAGTTACCGGTCTTCAACTGCAATATCCTAACATTGATGAATATTTTAACAAAATGGCTGTTGAAACAACTAATGTTAGTGCTTGATTAACTAAAAATAGACTTAAGATTGACGAAAAATTATTTTATCCGGAATCGGCAGTAAAGTAGAACTTTACTGCCGATTTATTTTAATTTACGATTGTTGATTAATTGAAATATTTTAATATTCGAGTATTTAAAAATTCGATTATTTGAATATTTAAAAATGTACTCTATATTCGAATTATTCGAATGTACGAGGACATGAATCACAGATTATAAAGACATGAATATTCGAATTATTCGAATTTACGAGAACACGAATATTCGAATAATTCGAATACTCGAATATTCGAATAATTCGAATACACGAATATTCGAATAATTCGAATACTCGAATATTCGAATAATTCGAATATTCGAATAATTCGAGTATTTCAAATAATTTTTAAACGAGTATTCGAATTCCAAAAACTAACAAATTCCCAGCCTTAGACACATCTTAAAAAGTATAATGGGTTGCATACAATACTCGTATGAAATCGGCAGTAAAGTTCTACTGCCGATTTCTTTTACTTTACTGCCGATTTCGGATAAAACGTTTTTTTTTAATAAAACCCAACCCATTGGTACTTGAAAAAGGACAACTTTAAATTATTCCCCAACACCAAAACATAACACAAAGTGATTCAGAAGTAGGGTTTTAAAGTGTCGAAAAAAAACCCAGGCCTAGGAAAAATTATTTTTTTTTGAAAATATTCACATTAAAAAAAAGTAGCAAACATCAACTTAACATTATTTTAATTAAAAAAAAATATCCTTACAGAAAAAAAATAAAACTAAACATTAAATTGATTTAAGAAAATAAACGTAAACGTTAAATATACTCTCGGTTGGGTCTTTTTTGCAAAAAGGAGTCCATTGAAAATATTCAATTAAAAAATATTGAATGATTTAAAAAGTTAAATTACAAAATTATGATTTTATAAATCGAAGTGTTAAATAAAACAAAACTTGTTTTTTGCGACCTGGTAGAATATTCTTACTGAATTAAAATAAAAGGAGTAATTATTATAATCATAATATTATAATTATTTTCAGCGTCCGAAATTTACTGTTTTCTCGATATCAGTGTACGGATAGTATCCGCAAAAATTTGTAAATTTTCCGAAAAAATGAGTTTTGCATTTTTTCGTATTACCCTTTGAATAAAATTTAAAAAAATACAAGTCATTTTTTTCTAAAAAATTTCCCAATTTTTCCGTTTTTTTCGGCCGGCTCAATTTTTCTGGAAATTTTAAAACCCTATTCAGAAGCGAAGTGTAACTGTTGGTGGGAAATATTTATAATATTTGAGGAGCGTTTATTCAAAAAGGGACATGTCCATTTTAGCGATTTGCAGAAATAAGTCAAAAGCAAAGGAATTCTGTTATTTTTGACTTGTTTCTGCAAATCGCTAAAATGGACATGTCCCTTTTTGAATAAACGCTCCTCATTTGTCCAACCCATTCGGCTTTTTTGGGTTTTATAAGTGGGTTTTATTAGGTTTTTTAATTCTATACAGATTTTAGTAAAAAAAAATACATTTTTAAAAGAAATCCTTTTAATGAGAAAAACGGGGGAACCCCCGAACTTTAAAATTACGTTTAGTTTGGTCAAGTCCTGTTCTTACCTACTTAAATTTGTTTTATATTTTAAAACAAGAGGTTAAAAGATCATAATAATAATGATCAAGTTCTTTAAAAAATTACAAACATTTTTAGAAGCAGTTATTTATTTCTGACCCATAAATATTATCTAATGACATTTAAAAATAAAAAGTTAAAATGTGTTAAATAGAAAGTACTGTTTCTCCCAAGCATTTTAATGCCATTTTTTTAGTATTGCACAAATTCTTATACATTTATTAAGACTATAGCTTAAATATGTCATATGACATTCTTGAGGCAGCTACATGGTAAATACTGGGTAGGTACTCACCAATTTGCTGTAGTGGTGCTGGCAGTATCCGCAATACTTGACGTTGTCTAGGTAATTTCCAGCTTCTTCACAAAGAAGACCTAATCCTTGTGCACAAGTTACGTGGAATTGTTGCTTGCATCCAGCCTTATTGCATTGCATACAGGCTCCAACGTTAGCGTTCGCGGGTTTCCCTTTTTCTTCGCAAATATAACACACCTGTTAAATGAGGAAATGCATTTATTTCTTTTGTTTTACTTTTATGCGTTTTAATCATTTAAAGCAATAAACTAAGCTGTCTGATGGAGTCCTGTAATACATAAAAAGTGCTTTGTTTGATTTATTATTCATTCTTAAAAATTTTGTGCAATGTTTTTTTGTTCAAATTTAGTACTAAAGACAAATATATGTATATACATATGGGTATTTTTTTATAAGAACAGATACACATAATATATTATATTAAATAAATTTTAACCTTGGTTATTGCTGGCTAAACGAAACAGAAAAAAACAAAAAACGGGGTAAAACATTTGAATCTGCTTCGCACATGCGTAATTAGCCTATTACAATAAAATTTAAAAATTCCAAAGAATACCTAACGATTTTTGATTTTGACAGATTATCAGTTTATTTTAAATTATGTGAGAACTGTTGATTTTTTCCCCAATTTTTAAATGGCATTTTAATAGACTTGAAATTACGCAACTTTTCTCTAATTTAACTGACCTTATAGCTCATCAAATAAAAAAGATACCCATACATAGACATAGGTGCACCCTGTATATTGTATAAAATATATAATATTAGTAGAGAAATTATTGTTATAGAACAAATTTATATTATGTTAACAACCCTGATAAAAAACTATTACTATTTTACTATTTTTTATATACTTGATGGTTAAATATGAAATTATGTGTGAAATATTTAAAAAAAACTTAATCATAAAAAACTCCTTCAAAATTTATGAAATATAAATAAAATATGTAAATTAAGAAAACCTTGCTATTTTAAGAAAATTATGTACAGGGGGTCCCGAAAATGTCTAATTTTGTTAAAATAGCAAGGTTTTCTAAGAAGAGAATTTGGAACAATTTTGTTTTCATTCAAAAATTTTAATTATGTATTTAAATTTGGTTTTAATTGTTTTTTTTAATATTTTACTCTGATAGTTCTAAATTGTACCAAACAAAATTCATAAAAAAGTTAAAAAATAAAATCACCTGTTATACCTACCTACATATATATTTTTTAACTTTTTTTATGAATTTTGTTTGGTACAATTTAGAACTATCTGAGTAAAATTATTAAAAATATTAAAACAAAAATAATTAAAACCAAATTTAAATACATAATTAAAAATTTTGAATGAAAACAAAATTGTTCCAAATTCTCTTTTTAGAAAATTATATTAAATTTATTAAAATATGTGAAATTGAATATATAACAAATAGATAGCAAACTAATAAGATTAAAAACAAAAATACCTGCACTTCACCTGAGTTAAAAATAATTATATTAGGTATTTTATCATTACCTACTACAGGTACACAGAATTTAAAAGTTATTTTATGATAAAATTTATTTTTTGGCATTAAAACTGCTGTATTTTAATTATTAAGTTTTATAGCAAAACTACCTACATAAAACAGAATTTAATAAATCTACTCACTTTATTAAAACGTTCAGCAGGAATCAACTGCAGTTGAATAGGTTCCATAGTAGTAACATTGCCGAAACGTACTTCTGGTATGTAGAGAGCACAGACCACATGGGCCCATCCAGAATTGTCTGTCTTTTTAAGAGCTCCATATTTACTGGGACATAATTCACACTTCTAAAAAATCACAAACATTTTGTTGACCACTATAATAACAAAACAACCAAAAAACATACCACTTTTACTGATCTTTCTTGACTTTCACATTTACGACAATACCATGGACCAGTAGGAACAGTTACAATACCATAACAAGCTAAAAATTAATTGAATTTAAGATTTAAAGACAGTATTTGTTTGAAGAAGTCTCTACAAGAAGTATTGGCTAATTCTTTTTTTAAATCTACCTGTGAAATTCTAGGTAAAATGAATTTTACAGCCCTTTTATTGTGGTAATTTTCTTTTTATTTCTCAGTTTTTATTGAGCAGGTGGTGTTTTTGCACAGGGAAATGTTTACTCCACTTTTAAATTATTAAATAATAATTTATATCCAGGTACCTACTTCAAATTGACATTCTTAAGACAGTTATTCTAATTAATTTGACATCTTAAAACAGTCATATCTATGTTGACATTCTTAAGACAGTATGATAGATGTTTACTTAAGCTGGATATACAACTTGTATCTAGCTTAACTTGACATTCTTGAAACACTATTATTATATTATATTATCAGTTGTATATAGTTTCTAGGTTAAGGCAAATATAAAAAATATTATAATAAGCAATTTGTCAGAAATATGGACATGTAGTTTCCAAAAAGAAGGGTTTAAATTTATAATATTTTAGGTAAATTATACATAACCCTATTTTATGTCCAAAAACTGTTTTTAAGGATTAAAATTATTATGGTTCCAGCAATAGATTTGTAGAGCAAGATAAGATAAGTTTTGTCAGTTATTTACCTTGGTGTACGGCTACAGTACAAGATTGTCCATCACAGTAAACAAGTGGATTTTCAGACCATCCTCTATCGTCAGAACAAACACAACAACCTCCTACCATTTCCCTCATAATGCAAAAAGGCCAAGTGTGCTAAACTAGCGATTTGACAATCCCACCCCACATCTCCAATGTGATAAATCCACATTCATAGCTAGTTTTTTTGTTTTATCTGTATAAAGTTTATTCCTGAAACAAATCCAAGGTATTCTCGTAAGTTATGTAAGCAAATGTTTCATTGGTATCAAGTACACTGTGCCACTACCCCACTAGATGAGTATCTTATTTATAATTATCACGTTGCCTTTGTTTTTATCATCATCAAATCGTTTCTGTTGTATTTATTTACTCAAACGTGCTGAAACCTTTGAGCGGAATAAAAGCCGTAAATCGATTTTTCTTGCAATAAATATCAGTTTTGTACAGTATTTTGCAACGTATAGGCACTCGAATTGGATTTTTACCTACCTTTAACAAAAAAATGCATAGTAAACACAGAAAACCTATTTGGGAACCATTTTGTTTTTTGTAATTATTTGCTTTGCCTCGCATCAGCCCACGCGCACGCGCTTTGTTATTTGGTGTCAGCAGCTTTGGTATTTTTCAAAATTCCCACGCTAATTTATCAATTTCCCGGTAATTTTAGCTTTTTTAAACAAAACGAAAAATCAATTTTTAATTCTTTAGGTCGCAGTTGGTTGTGATGATAAGTATTTCAAAAAAAAATCTGTAAAAAAGTGATTGGCAACAGTGTTCTTTGGTGGCATCACTGTGTAGTTGTGGCAACGTAGCCGTCTATTTGATTCATCGGCTTGTCAGGACAAGAGAATTTTTGTCGATTTGTGTTGTGCTATGTTGAAATTAGGTAAGAAACTGATTTATCTTTTAGGAATCGAATAATATGTATTCCAGGATTGTTTCTATCATATTAATATGCAATCGAGTAATGAAATGAAGGCAACAACAGGAAAATCAATTATCGCTACCGAAACCTGGGCACACACGCCATTTTGAGTTTGCCGGTGTCCTTGGATTATTAAAATTATTAAATCAAGATTTTAGACTTTTTTCGTTTCAAAAGAAGAGCTTTTGTATCTCGTATGTTTGACCGTTTTACGTATGTGTAGCTTATATTTTAAGGGCAGGAGTTCAAAAATTCATACCTATAGTTAGAGAATAATAATAGGAGTATTGATCAAAGCAAAGATAACATTACATTAGATTACATGGTCGATTTCGGTGTTTTATTTACAGATTCGGAATCAGATATTGTGTGAAAATTACTCCCGCACTCCGCAATGGAGTCCATGAATTCTCAACTTTTAGCGAAATCCCTAAACTTTCACGGGCAACAGCTGCAGAAGGTATGGGAAGGTGAATTTGGCGATCATGATTTGAGCATGCGAAATGTCAAAGACCTAAACTACAATGTTTACGGCCAAAGACAAAAGAATCTGTCATTTCAAGACAGGGCAAAGCGACTCAAGTTGCATCAGTTTATTGTGAAAAAAGCTGACATGCTTTTCACACCCAACACTATCAAATTCAGCGCGAAAACGGAAGAGAATGTAGGCAACGAAGAGCTGTATTCCATTATGCCACCCTTTGAGACTTATCTAAATGCTGATAGGGCCAAAAGGCTGCAATACTTTTCTGATGTAAGTTTAGCAATGGTTTTTGTAATCATGCACAGCAATCATGGTTCTTGATTTATTACAGAACGTGAAAGTGGGCGATTTGGTATTGGGAACGATTGTTAGCAAACAGCAGTCGGGAATGATGCTCAAAGTACTTTGCACTACTGGAAATGGATCTAATGTTAAATATGCAGCAGATATTAACGTTAAGGTAAGCACAAAAGGACACAAATAATAATTAGTTTGAGCTTGCATTTTTTATGATATGGCTATGATAATTATGCTAAAGTCCATAAAAACTTATTACAAAGAATTATCATTACCAGATAATGGGTTATAATATTGTTGCTATGCTGGTATAATGAGGTAGTTGCATTTTTTAACATGTACTTTTTATAGCTTTAAAACATTGAATCAAGTTTTTTTTTCTTGAGGTTAAAAAAATGTTTTTTGATTTATAATCTGTGGACATATAAGGTGAATTTTGTTGTTTAAAAAAATTATATTGTTGTTTTTTTTTATTTGGAATTAAACACATTTGATTATGTTGGTACTAATATAGGTAATATAGGTACTTGGTATTTTAAATATTTAAAATTGGTACTCCTGATCAAGGCCTTAAATACTTTGACTTTATTGTTATGTATGATGTGATAATCAATAAATATCTATTATTATTATTATTACTTTGACTTTTATTATTTAATTGTCAGAATTATAATATACAGAATTGGCCATAATTATTGCAACAACTGTAAAAATAAATCTAAAACGATCTAAACTGAGATATAAGTTGAAGTATTTTTATCCAAAATTTTATAAAGATTATTAAAGGCGTTAGAGTTCGATTTTTTTACAGTTGTTATCGTTTCAACGTCTTAAGTACAACTCTAAACACGTTGATATTTTACTTATTTCCTATGATGACAAATCACACTGCGAGAGGTGTCTTTCTTTCAAACAGTTGGAACTGTCTATAACACTTGTTGTAGCAAGTAAAGAAAGACTGTGGCTCTGTGAGTAATAGATTATGAGATCTGAGGAATAGTAAAACTTTTTATTTTTGAATAGGGCGTTTTTGCTAATCCCGAATTCATTCAGGATTTTTTTGCTGGAGAGTTTTGGACCCCCAAAACAATCTCACAAAAGTAAAAAAAATCGGTAGATAGAAGAAGTAGAAGACATAAAATTTTGTGAAATCACTTCCATTATAAAGATTAATTTTGCCTTCAAAATTACTTTGAAAATCGATGAATTTATCTCAGTAGGATGACGTCACGATACTATTATTGCAACAGGTGTGTCAAAACTTACGAATGAAATATTTTAAGTTAAATAATTATTAAATTATACCTGAAAGAGGCTGTAAAAAATTTTTGGTAGTTCAATGAAACAATGTTTGAATCTCTGTTCATTTGATTTGTACAAAATTTTCGGGGTATAGGTAGTAACAAAAATACGGTCTTTAACAGCATATTTTTTATTTACTAAAAAAAAATGTCCCTAAAAGTTTTTTCATTATTAAATAAAAGGGCTTTAAAAATATTTTTTCGAAAAACCCGTAAACTGAGATATAAGTTGAAGTATTTTTATCAAAATTTTATAAAGATTAAAGGCGTTTTAGAGTTCGATTTTTTTACAGTTGTTGCAATAATTATGGCCAATACTGTATATCACAATCCACACAAGTTCTATCTCGTTTCGCGCATACTAAAAATCACGAAGTTAGGCTCTAACGGCGGCCATTTTTAAGTTGTTGTTTAAATTTTAAGGTTAATTTACCATAAACCACAAATTAAAATTTGACAGTTGCTTTTAGTACTTTAAGGCCTCTTTTAAGGCTTACAAGTGCCTCTGTAAGAAAGAACATTTAAAACGATTATTAATCTGTATAAACAGCACAAGAATTTTAAACAACGAAAATGGCCACCATTAAACTCTGTGCAGTGTTGCAGTGATTTTTAGTATGAGATAGTATTGAGAGCATAAGTAACAAATTATTGCAAAGATTTGACACATTTAAGGTTTTTTTGCTGTCTCGGAAACGGTAAAATAAAGTTCTGATTCCACATGAAAAGTACACGTTAAAAAATCGAAATACCCCGTTTTGAAATGTATGTATTGCAGGCTTTCTGCCCTGTGGCAAATATAATACCAGCTGTAGACAAGAAAGGTGTGTCACGTAGTTACATGATGAATGACTATGTCTGCTGCGAAGTGTTAGAGATAATACCCGAGTGTGACAAAATGGTTTGTGGCATGAAAGGCACCACTAGAAAGCCAAATGACCCTGTGCAGCATCCACCGCTCGGCCTAATCAGCACCGAAGATTTTCCTTTGGTTTACAAGTAAGTGTCAGTTTACATGGGTTGGGTTTTCGATCTCAATGGTTTTTTTTAAACTTTTTCAGTCTAGGTCATAGGTATGGAATTAAAGTTTTTTTAGATGAATACTTGTGTATAATTGGCATTTTGTTGCTTACTATTTGTTGCATGTATTCTAACTTCCATTTTCATCCTAAATAAGTTCTTTTTTGTGTGTACTGTAAAAAAAAGTTTTCAATTAGGTGATTCTATGGAAAGAGAACAAAGAAGAATTGATTGATATAAATTGGAAGATAGGCGACAATCAGTATTACACTAAAGTATTTTTTTCTTTTTAGAAGGTTTAATACTAGATATTACATATAATAGCTAAATAAAAATTGCGATTAAAAATAAATTTGACCACCAAACACAATTAAAAACAACAAAGAGTTGGTAATTACAGGTGGTAAAAAATGTGTGTGCACTGCACTGTGGGTTTATTAAAGTAGCACAGCCAATGTTGCAGCACCACAAGCCAACTTTAAATGTGATTGATTTTGATATCTGTTTATTGTCATCAAATCAGGTGAGACAACCAATTTACCAAGTCCCTAAAATTTCAAAAACTTTACTTTTTTCAAATCTTACCTGTTACCCACTCCCTCCACCTAATACTACTATCCCCCCACCCCTTCTTTTTGTGACGATGCATTGTTGTTGATCAAACATGTTTTTCACAGTACACGATGAAAAAACCCGAAAATAAATATTACCTACCTATTATAAATAATAAAAGCGTTGAGGAGATTAAACCAAAATAACTGCCACCTATTGATTGATTGATTTCGTTTTCTAATCCAAAAACAAATGTTGTATAAGGAAGTTACCTAAATTGAACAATTTTTAAACAAACAAATATAATAAAACCTATTCTAAACAGGAACTGGAAAAAGGATTCGGTACATATCGGTATGTATATTTAAATTTAAGGGTCCAAGATATATTTCATAATAACACTAAGGATTCTTTCTTTTACCCCTGTGGACAATTACTCTTGCTAACACTTTGTTACCTATTTTTTACGCTACATATTTATTTATTATAATTTCAATATAAATATTTAAATTATAATAATTTACGTAATCAGAGTGCAAAATCTTGTAACGAAAAAAGGCTATTATCATGACTATTAATTTTAAAATACGTATTCACTAAGTAAACATGGATTGTAAAAGTTTTTTGGCTAATATTAAAACTTGTGCTGTTTTAAATTTTTAATTAACCTTTTCAGTTCATTTAAAAACCAAAAGTATTCATATTTGGCCAAATAACTTAATTGCTTGTTTTAGCTGGTGTTAAAGTGGATTTTCATTGTGTTCAATTTCAGGAAAAAACAATACAAATACGTTAAAAATGGGTAAATGAGTAAAAAAATTGAATAAGTATTTTTCGCTTACAGAAAAGCGTTGGAGCACAAGAACGAATCATACGATACAGTGCTAGAGAAGAGCGTTGGATTCAACAATCCAAATAACATTCAATATTTGTCGGAATTGATGGACGTCAACAATCATTTCTCGTTGATGAAAGGTCTAAAGTAAGTAAATTTGTCCCAAAATATCGCTATCGTTTCAACGTCTTAAATACAACTCTAAACACGTTGACATTTTACTTATTTCCTATGATGACAAATCGCACTGCGAGAGGTGTCTTTCTTTCAAACAGTTGGAACTGTCTACAACACTTGTTGTAGCAAGTAAAGAAAGACTGTGGCTCTGTGAGTAATAGATTATGAGATCTGAGGAATAGTAAAACTTTTTATTTTTGAATAAGGCGTTTTCGCTAATCCCGAATTCATTCAGGATTTTTTTGCTGGAGAGTTTTGGACCCCCAAAACAATCTCACAAAAGTAAAAAAAAGACATAAAATGTTGTGAAATCACTTCCAATATAAAGATTAGTCACTATTAATTTTGCGTTCAAAATTACTTTGAAAATCGATGAATTAATCTCAGTAGGATGACGTCACGATACTATTATTGCAACAGGTGTGTCAAGACTTACGAATGAAATATTTTAAGTTAAATAATTATTAAATTATACCTCAGTATAGAGGCTGTAAAAAATGTTTGGTAGTTCAACGAAACAATGTTTATATTGACTTTTTATTATTATTTTAAAACTTTTTATTAATTTATTGCTTGTTAAATTGGACAATTTGGGTCCAGATAAAAAATCGAGAAAAAACGCATTTCTTAAACTCAATTTTTTTAATAGACATTTTTTAAATACAGAAAATATATTAAAAATACTTAAGTATGTAAGAAAGTTGAGAAATAGAACATAGTTTTTGCTTTTACTTAGTTTTGTACTCAACATTTTTTTATAAATAATAAATTTATGTTCTTTTTTAAACAAATCCTCGTGTAAATAAAACCTTAAAAAGATTATTATGAAACAAAAAAATATATTTTTAAAAAATTTTTAATATGTAAGTAAATTTGTGACCCAGGGGACCATTTTTTTATTTTTTCTTTTTAAGGGCTTATTTAAAAAAATCCAACTGCCCACTTTTAGGTGTTAAATAACACCCCTAAATAAACAAAATTTGGAAAAAAAACAGGTTTGTAGATTATGGATTGTTTTTACTTTTTCTTCTCTAAATGTACAGGGTGATCCCCTATAATGTCGCCCCCTTTAACTTTTTTATTTTAAGTGTCCCAAAAAATTTAAAAGTGTGGTTATGTAGGTACTACTTTTTTATATTTATAAAGAAAATTGGAAAATTGATCAGTATACAGGGAAAACAAAAGGTTTATTTTTTTTCAATGGATCACCCTATACAGACTGTATAGAATCAAGTAAGTAAGGCGGAGACAAGGATGACAAATTATATTCTGATCAGAGAAAAATAAACAAACTTTAATTGGGCGTGGTTTAAACCAAGCCATTCTTAATTACGAACCATAGTTGCCAGGTTGTTTTAAATCAGAAGAGAACGATTATAATTATTTAATACATAGTTCAATTTAATTTGTTTGAAACTTTAAAAATAACAAAAAAATTAATAATTTGTCAAAAATAATTTGATTTAGTTAATTTTCTTACTTTTAATATTAAAAAATAAGAAAATCAATTCTTTTAGGAAACAATAATAGCATATGGCAACAGCGCGGCATGCAGCCAGATACAAGGGCATGCAGTTTGATCTACTTTGTTCAGTAGCTCTAACGCTGTCGTAGGGAAATGTGTATAGTTTTTAAGAAATACATTTTCGCCATTAACTGGAATTTAATGGATTTTAAACAATACTTAGTTTTTATTTGCAGAAATGCATTAAAACAAAACAAACGAATTCGATAAAAATAAAACCTATAAATTCTCAAACAAAAATAATTCTAAAATAACGAAAATAACTTTTTTTCTAAATTAAATGTTCAAATAGACCACCAGCAGCAGTTAAACAATACCCTAGCCTATCATAAAAATTCCCTACCACAGTGGGCGGGGTTTGGCACTTGTTTTATTTAAGTGTATCTATTCGTTTTAATACAAACTGTATATGTATTCATTTTTCGATTCCTTGTAAAAGTCTGAGCATATTCCATATAAAATAAATATATATATATACATAATATATACATAAATTCAACCGTTTCTGAAATAGTTGAAATAGTTTGTCTTTCTCTGTCTGAGTACGCCATTTTTACTTATTTGACAAGACATATTGACATAATGTCACTATAGTAATTTATTTTTAAAAACAATTTGGTAAACTGAGGCTTCTTGATTTTCAACAGTTTAAAAAAACATTTAATAATAACATTTCGAATGCGAATATTTCAGAAACATTTGAATTTAGGTATATGGTTTGTTATATGAATTATGCTCAGAATTTTTTACAAGGCATCGAAAAATAATTCATATATAGGGTGATCCATTAAAAAAAAATAATCTTTTTGTTTTTCTCTGTATATTGATCAATTTTCCATTTTTTTTAAACGTAGAAAAAAAGTATCTTTTAGTACTTACATAAGCACACTTTTAAATTTGTTGGGACACTTAAAATAAAAAAAAGTTAAAGGGGGCGACATTATAGGGGATCACCCTGTACGAGAATTTTGAAAATCACCCTCATGCTTTTTAAATGTGAAAAATTCAAAATAAAAAAGGAAGTACTTAAAATCAAAATTAAGTGCTTAATCTTTGATGGAATTTTTGTTCGATGTTTTGAACAATATTTTGGAGTTTCGGTGAAAAACAAAAAAGTCCCAGTAATCTATCGAACGTGTTCCGAATTTTCACGACGAACGCCAAATTTTAAAATGCGCCTGCGTATGATGTCCGTAGTAGTTCGGGATTGGCACCGCGAAAACAGCAATTTTTTGTACTCAAAACACGGCCAATCTTAACGAGTTGCTTTTTTCTCCTTAGTGGCAAATTTCCGGAAACAGATTTTGCTCCCGAACTGCGACAAGTTCAGGCTAGCAAGTGGGCGTACCGCAACGTAGCCGACGGCATCGATCATTTCAAAGCGGGCAAGCACGTCGAAGCGTTCCAATGCCTGAACAAAGCGCTCAACATCGACCCGAAAAACGTCGAGGGTCTGGTCGCGCGCGGCGCCCTCTACGCCAACAGCGGCAACTTTCAGAAAGCCATCGAAGATTTCGAGACCGCCCTGAAGTTGAACCCGAACCACGCGAACGCTCGAAAGTACATGGGCGAGACTCTGGTCGCGCTGGGCAGGAGTTACGAGGACGAGAATAAGATCGACGAGGCCAGAAAGGCGTACCAGAGCTGCCTCACCATCATACCCTATCACGAGGAAGCGCAGAGCTCGTTGGAGTTTTTAAAGTCCAAAGGGCAACAGAGCAGCGGCCCCAAAAATTTGATCGAACCCGGCGAGTTGCTTTTACCGAACTTGAGCGTCGCAAGTAAGTCGACCGCCGATGTCAACGACGCTTTAAAACAGCTATTAAAAGGCGAGGAGGAGGATAAGGGCAAGGATAAAAAAAAGAAGGGGAAGAAGAGCAAGAAACGCAAGAGCAAGAGGCACTCGAGTTCGAGCTCTTCGTCGAGTTCTTCAGGAAGCGAGAGCTCGAGTTCCAGCTCGACGTCGTCGAGCGATTCCAGCTCTTCTTCCGGCGATTCGGACTTCAAGAAGAAGAAGAAGCCGGGCAGGTCGCGATCGCGCAAGCGCGAGAAGCAGAGCTCGCTCAGCCCTCTCAGCAAGCGCATGGCCATGATGGACCAGTCGCAAGACAACACTTCGGCCAGCTACAACTTCAACAAACCGTCTGCGGCGGCCGTGGCCGCAGCCGCCTCTTCTTCTTTCGATTTCACCTTCGAACACGGAAACAGCTCCAAGCAACCGGAAGATTACGAATCCAAAGTGCGAGCTTTCCTGCACGAAACCAAAGGCGACTCTGACTACGAGGAAAAGGTGCGAAAATTCCTGGAGGAGAGCACCAAATGGAAGAAGGGGGTCGCGCCCGTGTCCAAGGAGGACAAGAAGAAGAAAAAGAAGAAGGACAAGAAGGCCAAGAAGGAAGGCAAAAAGAAGAAGAAGGATAAAAAATTGAAGCGGAAGTCGGGCGGTTTCGATTTGAGCGAGCTCGACGATCACAAGAAGCTAAGGGATGCCATCAAGAAGGAGTTGAGCAAGGAGAAGCGCTCCAAAAGGCACGCCGAAGGCGACGAGGAATACTTCCTGCACAAGTCCGGGTACACTAAGAGGTGAGTTTTCATAATATTACGTCATATTACAAGAATCTAATCAGTTCAGAAATTTTAGGCTGCTTGACATTTTAATAGTTTTATGTTATAAAATTGAACATTGTGAAAATATGAACTAATGTACTGTTTTCGTATTTTATATTTTTAATATTGCACACATTTTTATGGTTATAAAATATATATTAATTTGGCATGGATCTTTTAAGATTTTTTTTTAAAAAGGTTAGTCATTTACGTTTATTTAAGTTTCCTTTAAAACCGACAAAAAAACGAGAACATACATTATTATCTTATCAATTGAAACATAATTTAATTTAAATTATCAATTATTTGACATTGTGTGTTTGTTTTGTACAGGTTCATTGATAGTCTGCCAGATTTGGAAGAATTAGAATCCAAACTGAATGCATATTATGCTTTAGAAAAAGATACTAAAAGGTATTATCATTGGGAATTTTAACGTAGTTAGTGCATGCATACTATAATAATATTAATCGCGTCACTAAAATTATCACTTGACTTCCTGCGTGTAAAAGGGAGATTGCGTGGGACTTATCTAACATTGCCAGTAACTAAACTTACACATATTTACTTGAAATTGGCCATTTTACTAATTATGTATCCTTTAAATTAAATTATAAAGTGATTAATTTTAAAAAAGGTGAGTTAAAAAATTTCATTCAAATTCTAGTTATTTTGTTTCAATGGCTACAAAAACGTTTAATTAAAAAGGATGCATTATTTTATCGATATTACAAAATGGTCTTTTTGAAGTAATGCCGTTTTAAGTGACATTACATTGTAAAGAAAAAACTAACTTGACTAAAGGGTGGTGAGATGATACTCATAATAAATGTTATATGATTTTAAGAAAGCTTTGATCGAAAATTTGATGTTTGACGTAGTAGACTTTGCGCATTTAAATGTTCTTGATATAAATTCTTCCATCTTCCCATTCTTTAGTGTTATTGCAATGTCCCAGTGGCGGCTCATATAAATCTAAGAAGGTAGTGCCAGAATGTCAAAAGCAAGAATTTCGGTCCACTTCCACTTCGTTTTTCAATTTTAAAATAGTGTATTAGTAGTTTTTTTTTGAGCGAAAAACTATTAAAAGAGTTTTTTAATTTTATTCAATACACTTAGAGTTTATAATTAAAAATTCGCCACAGAAAGAAACTTTCTATACGTTTACGTATAATCAATTATAAACTTATGAATATAAATGAAATGCATAAAATTAAATATTATTCAGATGTTGGATACGAAATATTTTTTTGGTGGTGCCATTGCTCCGTGGCACTACCTCACGAGCCGCCACTGCTTTGTCCTAAGATGTAAATACATAAACGACATTTTTATTGCGGTTTGTTAACCGTGCTTTTAAAATATTAATTACACAGTGCTGCATATTAATTCTTTAGCGATTATTGAACAAATGAAGGTGTTTGATATTTATTTTTTCACTAGTTCCAATATGCAATCTGTTTTTCCTTATCAAGCACAGATTTTTCACAAATCGATACTTTGATACCGGTTGATATTTAATTTTTTAATCGATTTTTTTAACCTATTCGACATCTTGAAAAAAACCTAACTTTCTGTTTTAATAACTTACAAACCGTTTATCGCACAAAGGCCAACTTTTAAATTACAGGCATTTTTAAGAGCTACATTTTTTATTAAACTTATTTTACTCGCTAAAGAGTTCTTGCATGAATATACAGTTTGGCCCATTTAAGATGGAAACACCCCCTTTACTTTTTTATTTGTTGCTCGATTTTAATGAACAAAGGCTCAAAATATAGAGAATAAAAAACTATCTATGCTATAAATATTATTTTCAATGTCACTTGACAGATGCCTACTCGGCCATTTGAAGCGCTCGAAACGCACGAATTACAAAACAGTTTTTATAAAAAAAATTGTAGGGAATTTATTATATATTATTTGTGCATCAAAATTGTCAAAAAGAGTCTTCTTTTATTAGGTGAAAAGGTGTGGACAGGACAAAAAAAGATTTAGTACTATAACATTTTTTTAATGTCAAAATTCGGAAAAAAATATTAGGGTCTTTTTTCGAAAAAAAAATAAGTACGCCACTGAATGCGGCATGCTTAAATGGGTACAAACCAAATTTCAGTTAAAACGAACAATTAATAACTATTTTAGACAAGTTTTTTAAAAATATAAGGAAAAATAAAACACATTTAGGAGGTTTAGGCGAAAAATAAGTACGCCACTGAACGCGGCATACTTCAGAATGGGTACAAACTTAATTTCATCAAAAATTAACTATTAATAACTATTTCAGACAAGTTTATTTTACCACGTTATAAACATAAATTGATACAAAACAAAAAACTAAATAAACTTGTTTGAAATAGTTATTAGTTAATTTTTGATGAAATTAAGTTTGTACCCATTCTGAAGTATGCCGCGTTCAGTGGCGTACTTATTTTTCTTCTAAGCCTCCTAAATGTGTTTTATTTTTTCTTATACATATATAGTGTTGGACATAATTTTTGGAACCACTGTAAAAAAAATTTAACTCTAAAACGCCTTTATTATTCTTTATGAAATTTTGTATAAAAATACTAACTTATATCTCAGTTTACGTGTTCAAGGGTTTTTTGAGAAAATATTTTTAAAGCCCTATTATTTAATAATGAAAATACGTTTGAAAAATAACTTTTAGGGTAATTTTTTTTAAGTAAATAAAAAATATGCTGTTAAAGACCGTATTTTTGTTATTATACCCTGAAAATTTTGTACAAATTAAACGAACAGTAACAAAGTCGGTAAAAATGGCCCTTTTTTGATTATTGTTGTGAAAAGTGGTCATTTTTGACGACTTTGAATCGATGTATTTTCGTTGCTGTTCATTTGATTTGTACAAAATTTTCAGGGTATACTAACAAAAATACGGTCTTTAACAGCATATTTTTTATTTACTTAAAAAAAATTACCCTAAAAGTTATTTTTCGAACGTTTTTTCATTATTAAATAAAAGGGCTTTAAAAATATTTTTTCGGAAAAACCCTCGAACAGGTAAACTGAGATTGTTAAAATATTTTTATCCAAAATTTCATAAAGAATAATAAAGGCGTTTTAGAGTTAGCTTTTTTTTACAGTGGTTGCAAAAATTATGGCCGACACTATATTTACAAAAACTTGTCTAAAATAGTTATTAATTGTTCGTTTTTACTGAAATTTGGTTTATACCCATTTTGAAGCATGCCGCATTCAGTGGCCCTAATAATTTTTTTCGAATTTTGACATTGAAAAAAATGTTAAAGTAGGCATCTGTCAAGTGACATTGAAAATATTTTTATAGTTACATACCTAGATAAAGTTTTTTATTCTCTATATTTTTAGCCTTTGTTCATTAAAATCGAGTAACAAATAAAAAAGTTACAGGGGTGTTTCCATCTTAAATGGGACACACTGTATGTAAAAAACGCAACCATTTTTTAGAAAATTCTCTTGAAATTTTGTAGCCATAAAAATTTTCCATCAATTGCAATTTCAATAAGCTACAAAATTTCAAGAGTAATTTTTGTTAAAAAAATAGTGTAAAAAGAGAGAACAATCTTCCAAAAAACCTCCATGATTTTTTTGTAAAAAAATCATTCATTTGTAGGTTTTTTCACAAATCACAGAACTTTTGATTTACAATTTGCCTGTAAGAAACCTCCGTTACCGTGTTCTCAATATCGAGAAAAATTAATGATAATTCTTCAAAATTTCATGCAGCACTGTTAAAAACAAAAAAACGTGTAAAAATGGCTTTGTAGAAAGTATTTAGAATTCGATATCTCCAAAACGTGATTCGTGTATTGTTCAGGAGCGACAGCGAAAGTCCGAGGCGCACGCTCGACTCGCCGTCCCCGACGCGCGAGCAGAAGGCCCGCCAGGCGGTGGCCGAGGCGGCCGCCTCCGCGAACAAGTGGAAGATGCACATCGGGCCCGGCACGTCCGGCAACTCGCGCTTCAAGAAGAAGCAGCCCGAGCGGGCGCCGCCCCCGCCGCCCGCCGAGTGGGGCGGCGACTCGAAGAACGGCGGAGGCGGCGGGCTGTACGACCTGCCGTCGCCGCCCAAGAAGGCGCCGATGCCGCCGGCCGAGAAGGCGGTCGGCGTGCGGAAGCAGATGGCGATGAAGGAGGCGCCGCCGAGGCGGGTCGAGTCGCCGCCGAGGCGCAAGGCGGCCGCGCTGCCGCCGGCGCCCAACAAGCCGTTCGTGCCGCAGGGTCAGGTGGTGCTCGACAAGTTCGGCAACTTCAGGTTGATGTCGCCGCCCGAGATCAAGAAGGCCAACGCGGCCCTGCCGCCAGGTGAGTCGACCTTTTGTTTTTATGATTTTTGCGATTTTTCTTTGTTCTTCTGTCAAATGTGGTCACGCCACCTGGTGGCGAAATATTTGGTTAGAATAAGTGACAGAAGTTCCCATTAGAAAGTTATTTATTTATTACAATTAGAAAACGTGTTATGGTTTATTTTGGTTTTTTTTCACTTTTTGATTTATTTACAAACTTAGTACTATATGTATATTATAATGTTACGGGAAAAAAATGTCCTTTTTTTATTTTTTCACCTATGGTACTGAAAAAAAGGGAGAATTAAAAAAAACTGAAATTTTCTTTTATTAATCGGATCAAGCAAAACATATATTTTTCGACTAAAATTTGCGAATATTTAGGTGGAAAATTCACGCATAATTTACGAAAATTACAAATAATTTAAAAAAATATAATTACAATAAATTATGCAATTTTAAGAAATTTATTATTTCTTTTATTCAATGAATCGAGCAAAACATTTTTTCTGGGTATATTCGCAAATTTTAGTCGAAAATTCACGCATAATTATAAAAATTACAAATAATTAAAAAAAAGTACAAATACAATAAATTATGCAAAATTAAGAAATTTATTATTTTTTTTATTAATCAAATCAAGCAAAATATATTTTTTCCTACTAAAATTTGTGAATATTTTAGTCGAAAATTCACGCATTATTTACGAAATAAAAAAAAATACAAATACAATAAATTATGCAATATTAAGAAATATATTATTTCTTTTATTAATCGAATCAAGCAAAACATTTTTTCAGACTAAAATTTGCGAATATTTCAGTTGAAAATTCACAATTATTTTGGGATATTTCCGCAATTGACGCTTTATGAACATCTAAGAACACAATTAAAAATAAAAAAACTTTTTGTTTTTTGATTGAAAAATAGTTAATTATACGTAATAATCTTTATACAGTAAAAAAGAAAGGAATTAATATTTTTTTTAATAAAAAACCAACCTTTAAAACTTTCGAATAAAATATACACTGCGCGTCAAAATTAACGCTTAACAAGTTAAAAAAATCCAACTCCTTTACCAGGTTTTTAGAGAAAATATCCTTAAAGCCTTTTTATTTAATAATAAAAACGCTCGAAAAATAAAAAATATGCTGTGAAAGACCTTATTTTGTTAGTATACCCTAAAAATGTTGTACCAATCAAACAAACAGTAACGAAAATACAGCGCTTTAAAGTCGTCAAAAATGACCACTTTTCAGCAAAATAATCAAAAAGGGCTCATTTTTACCGACTTTGAAGCGCTGTATCCTCGTTACTGTTCGTTTGATTTGTACAATATTTTCAAGGTATACCTACTAACAAAAATACGGTCTTTAATAGCATATTATTTATTTACTTTAAAAAAATTCCCTACAAGTTATTTTTCGAACGTTTTTTTAATATTAAATAAAAGGGCTTTACAAATATTTTCTCAAAAAAGCCTTGAACACGTAAACTGAGATATAAGTTGAAGTATTTTTATAGAAAATTTCATAACGATTAGTAAAGGCGTTTTAGAGTCCGAATTTTTTTTACTTATTATGCGTTAATTTTGACGCGCAGTGTATAAATCGAATTAAGCAAAACATATTTTTGTTGACTAAAATTAGTTGAAAATTCACGCATAAATTACAAATATTTAAAAAAATAATAAATAAAAAATACATTTTTGAAATTCTCTTCTTGTCTACGAACGAACGAATGTAACGTTTGTTTTTGTTTTGTCCAGGTCGTCGTCCGCCGGAGCCCCCGGGCAGACCGCGTTCCGACAGCCGGTCGCCGAAGCGGCGTTCGCGCAGCCGCAGCGGCTCCCGCTCCTCTTCGGGCGGGTCCCGCTCCCGGTCGCGCAGCTACCGCTCGCGATCCCGCTCGTACTACTCGCGCTCGCGGTCGCGCAGCGGCTCGTTCTACTCGCGCTCGCGGTCGCGATCGCGCTCGTTCTCTGGCGACCGCCGTCGCTACAGGTCGAGGGGCGGCGGCTTCCGCGGCCGCTACAACGACCGCGGCACCTACTACAAGCCCAGGTTCCAGAATCCAAGGCATAACAACAGAGGCGGCCGAGGTGGCGGTTACTATAACAATCGGGATTCCAGGTACAACGATAGGGATTACAGGGGCGGCGGCAGAGGCAGACCCTACAGCAGGCCCTACAATCGAAGGCCGAGAGGCAGGTTCCGCGGCGGCGGCTACAGGGACTATCGAGACCGCAGGTAAGATCATTTTTATTGAACGGCTTTCTAACACCTTTTTCACTTTTACTTACTGTTTACATAAATTAATATTTTTAATCGTATTATTATTTTGATATGGCTCAAAATGTACTTTTTTAAAAAACTATAAGTAAGGTTTTTTAACAATGTTTTCTTTACTTCAAATGTAACCTAGAGTCACTTTTAACAGTAAATCAATAACTTAGTCAAAAGAGTAAGTATTATATCATTATTTGTTTTGTATTTAATTAACTAAAAGCTGTTTTCGTATATAATACCACCAGTGGTAAAAATTTGATTATTATCCGAATTTTTTTTTCTTGGAAATTTCGCAAGTGGCATTAATTTTTAAGAAATTAATGCAAATCTTAAGTAAAAATCAAAAAAATTTTCAGGGAAAATCAGTGATATTCGCGATTTCTTGTTAAAATTAGAATTAAATGCCGATTCAATTTCTTTATGATTTTTTTGAGCAAAACGCATATTTTTTGACATTTTTATTTTAAAATTAGAATCTTCAACATTGACTCGTATAAACGAGTGTTTTTTTCGTAAGTAATATCATAAGGGCATCTAATTTTTTATTTTTATCCGAATTTTTTTTTCTTGGAAATTTCGCAAGTGGCATTAATTTTTAAGAAATTAATGCAACGATCGAAATTTCCAAGGAAAAATCTTGAGTAAAAATCAAAAATTTTTTCAGGGAAAATCATTGTGATATTCGCGATTTCTTGTTAAAATTAGAATTAAATGCCGATTCAATTTCTTTATGATTTTTTTGAGCAAAACGCATATTTTTTGACATTTTTATTTTAAAATTAGAAACTTCAACATTGACTCGTATAAACGAGTGTTTTTTTCGTAAGTAATTCGGCAAGACTATTTCACGAATATTTTTAACTGCTGCTTCAATTTCTGTATGATTTTTTGGACCAAAACGTATATTTTTTAACATTTTAATTTTAAAATTAAAAACGTCAACAGTGACAATTATTTTTATCATAGCAACCAATTGGTTGTTATGCAACTCGTATAAACGAGTGGTTTTTTCACCTGAATAGTAGTTTTATCGTAAGTAATATCATAAGGGCATCAAATTTTTCCGAAAAAAATCGAAAAAACACGTTGCTAAGTAATATTTTAACAAGACGCATGAGTGCTGGTGGCAACAAAAATCCGAGTCGAAGAGGAGGATTTTTGCACCTGCACGAATGCATTTTGTTAAAAAATATTACTTAGCATTGTGTTTTTTCGATTTTTTTCACAGGAAAAATTAGATGCCCGAATGGTATTTGACAAGACTATTTCATGAGTAACACAGTTAACAATTAAAATATAAATTGCAATTTTGGGTGACAACAGCTGTCAAGTTCTGCCGCGGGTAAACTCGAAAAAACTGCTGACAGGTGCTGTCACACAGTTTTTTCACCTAGAAACCATTTGTAATTCAAAATTGCGTGTTTGTGATTGGTGGAAATTAAGACGAGGGAAATAGTCGCTGCAAAACTGAAAAAAAACACTCGTTTTCTGAAATCTGATTGGTCCAAAAAGTAATGAGTGCACAGACCTACAAACAAGATGGACTGGCCTTTCCTATTCAAAATACACAATGTTTTGTTGCCAAGAACTATTTAGATTAGGGGTAAAGGGGTAAGGGGTATTTATAAACAAGTTCCCACACCAGTGGCGTTCTGTTTTTAGGGATAAATAAAAATATTAAATTGTACATTTTTTATTGTGTTTTGCAATCCTATGTAAAAATTATATTTAATATATATAAATATATAGGTATAACAAAATACTAACCTTGTCAGTTAGTGTTCCAGATGATGTAGAATCTGGCTCTTTAAATCTAAAATTTAAGTGAATTCATTTATTTATTCAGTTTCTACGCTCCTGGCAGGGTTTGTTTTGTAAATAAACTAACCTATGAAAAGAAAGTTTTAAATTCTTGGATCCAAGTCTTTTACAAACGTATCACTGCTTCACCACTCACTATTGGTATTTTTCACTATAAAATCAAATAAAAAATATTAAATGTTGTGGATTCCAAGTATCTTTTACGTAAAATATAGAAACTTCAAAGTCAAATGTGACAACTGAGGGAAAATATTTATTTTTGTTCCTGGCCACTCTTTTCAATGTAAATAAACCGGTCCATCTTGTTTGTAGGTCTGTGAATGAGTGGAATAGTCGTAAGTAATATCATAATTGCATCTAATTTTTCCGAAAAAAATCGAAAAAACACGTTGCTAAGTAATATTTTAAAAAGAAGCATGAGAGCTGGTGGCAACAAAAATTCGAGTCGAAAAGGAAGATTTTTGCACCTGCGTGAATGAATTTTGTTAAAAAATATTACTTACCATTGTGTTTTTTAGATTTTTTTCACAGGAAAAATTTAATGCCTGAATGGTATTTGACAAGACTATTTCATGGGTAACAGTTATTCTGCATACACATAGCTTACAAAACATACTACCTATTATACATTTATACATAATAAATATGTAGGTATTAATTTGAAAACTGAAAAATAGGTAATTTATTTAATCACAAAATACTACAAACTTAATTATTTATGGTACAATTAAAATATAAATTGCAATTTTGGTGACAACAGCTGTCAAGTTTAGCCGCGGGTAAACTCGAAAAAACTGCTGGCAGGTGCTGTCATACAGTTTTTCCACCTAGAAACCATTTGTAATTTAAAATTGCGCGTTTTTAATTCATAAAGTAATGAGTGGAATAGTCATATAAAACGTTTAATCCTTAAAAAACGCTTGATATTAATGTTTTTAATTTTTATTTATTTATGGTTTACATTTATTTTATTTTATCAAGTTTTGCATAATTAGTTTAATTTAAAATATTTGTTTCATGTAGGTTTAGCAATAGGGTGATTCAATATAATCGATTTTTTTAAATTCCGACACTAAAGAATTGGTACCAGCATGTACCTACTTACCAAATTTGAGCTCTAAATATGTATCAATCTTTATACATATTTTTGTAGGAAATTGGAAGTTCTACAAAAAAGGACTGATTTGTTAAAGCAATTACTCTAACCATTTAAGAGATATTCAATTCTTTATTTTCTGAATTAACTAGACTAAGGAAATTTTTCTTGGGTTGGCAAAGCTGGCTCGAACAAATCGATGTTTCAAAATATCCCCACTCTTTTAAGGCGTTCGGACGCACTCGCTCCGTATTGTAATTTGTTAAAGAATTCTCCTAATAATTTTTTGGAGAAGATGCGTTACGAAAACAATTTCATTGGTATTCATAGGTACGAGCGCAGCAGGTCGAGGGACAGGAGCAGGTCTTACAGCAGGAGCGATTCGGCGGACAGCGGTCCCGCCCCCAAGAAGCACCACTCCTCCGCAGACAAGGAGAGCAAAGTCAACAAGTACACGGACGGCGAGCAGCCGGTGAGACACGAGGGCCCCCTTTCCGAGGGCGAGGATAGAGACGACTACACGGGCGGCGGAGGCGGCGCCGGAGGTGGCGGCGGCGGCGGGGGTGGCGACGGCAAGGGCGTCGACTCTTACGCAGGCAAGTGGGCCGACAAAGAGGAGGGGTCGGCGGGAGGCGGCGCCCCAGGGGACGGTCTACCAGACGGCCCGCCAGGCGTCGATTGATTCATGCCACCCCCACCATTCCTCTTTTAATCACCCCCTCCCCTTTCTGTTGTTTCAGATTCTAAAGCCTGAAATAAGAAGAGTTATTATTACATTTAGTTTATTCATAGAAATAGGGGCTTCTCTATTTTTTGTGTTCTGTTCTTTTTAATATAACTAGACACATATGTGTTATCACATTGTCAATACATTTTAATTAAATAAATGTATTTATAAGTATTTGTGTTTTTTATTTATCAAATAATACCAATCATACATTCCAACTATGCAATTGGTAAGTATTGGGTTTTTAGTGTTCACTAACTAAAATAATGCACAATTTATTTAGGAACATTTTTTGACCAAAGAACTACATTTCTCTTAACTAAATAAAGATATGGCCAGACTAAGCCTTGCCATATGTTTAGCTTTAGTAATTATACTATTAGTAGGCACTAAAGAATCATCCTTTTGGACTTTATACAAACGCGTTTTAAGCCCAGTTTTCAAAAAAAAAAAAACAATTTTAATTAAATAATACTACAAATAACATATACTGCGCGTCAAAATTAACGCATAATAAAAGCCGTATTACAGCCGGCAATTCTTCTTGCAGCAATTTTTCTTGCCATCTAGTTTTCAAGGCCGTCTTGCATGTATTACAGCCGGCAAAAAAATCTTACTCTAAAACGCCTTTACCAATCTTTATAAAATTTTGGATATAAATACTTTAACTTAGATCTCGGTTTTTCGAGAAAATATCATTAAAGCCCTTTTATTTAATAATAAAAAAACACCCAAAAAAAAAAACTTTTATGGGGAATTTTTTTTAATTAAATAAAAAATATACTGTGAAATACCGTATTTTAGTAAGTATACCCTGAAAATGTTGTACAAATCAAACAAACAGTAACGAAAATACAGCGCTTTAAAGTCTTCACTTTTCAGCAAAATAATCAAAAAGGTGTCATTTTTACCGACTTTGTGAAGCACTGTATCTTCGTTTGATTTGTACAAAATTTTCAGTGTATACTACAAAAATGCGGTCTTTAACAGCATATTTTTTATTTACTTTCCCTAAAAGTTATTTTTAACCGTTTTTTATTATTAAATAAAAGGGCTTTAAAAATATTTTCTCGAAAAACCCTCGAAAACGTAAACTGAGATATAAGTTGAAGTATTTTTATACAAAATTTCATAAAGATTAGTAAAGGCATTTTAGAGTTTAGACTTTATTTTTCAAATATCTAACTTTCAAAATTGACTTATTGGGACTTTTTTTTATTTTTAAATGAACTTTTCATAAAAATATGGAAAAAAATTATTCAAAATTGACTTATTGGGACTTTTTTTCAATTTTTTTATTTTTAAATGTAATTTTCTTAAAAATATAGAAAAAAATTATTCAGACTGATCTTCAACGTTTTTTTTTTTAATTTTCGGATGATTGTCATTTTTATTTTATTTTTATTAGACTCCAAAATTTTTACAGTGGCGGTTTTTCGTTTTCTATTTTTTTTTCAATATTTAAATAATTTCATTTAGCTAACCACCATCATTAAAAAGATGACAGCAGCTTTTCAAGCTGCTTAACTAATAATTACGCGGATTTTAGTTGCTCACCCGAAAATTATATTGCTGATCAATTATAATTGATTAATTATTAAAATGATTTAAAATCTAAAAAGTACCTAAAATTTATGCAACCAGTTATAATAATACAGATCAAGTTACGTTTGTAAACTATAGATGGCGTATAAAATATTATAATTGACAACTGTCAAAAACAAAAAGTTAACCTAAAATGTAAACCATAGATAATAAACAAAATTAGTGCAAAATGAGGAATGTATTCTTCCTTCCCGAATTAGATAAGCTAATGTAAGTTATTAAAGTACTACTCATGCATGTGTATTATCTGATTCATTTTTAGTAATTTTCCTAATGCAAACCAAGAAAAAGTTGTGGTTATTTCTATCCTTGGAAAAAGCGCTTACAACGCTTTAGCACTAAAAACCAAATGTATCGGCAAATCGTTTACATCGTTTAGTAAAAAAAACAATGAGGTATTCAATGTAACATCAAGTTATACATAATTTTATAAGTTTTTTTAAGTGTTCTATTGAAGGATGGTATGACGAGGAAAATCAAATAATCTATCTCCACTTGCGTTCTTTATTGGACACAGATTGTCTAATAGAAAATTATGAAAAAATCAAGAGAAAGGTGGAAGAAGAAAAAAATTGCAATGATTTTCTAGCAGTTAATGATGAAATTAAAAGTTTTTTTGCCAGATCTCTGCATTTGTTACTTTATATAAGCCATATTGTTATTCTTTCACATCCGGGCAATACTTTTGATACAAATTATATTCAACATTTTAAAGCCATAGAGAGTTTAAGGTAAAACTATTTTATTATGCTTATTTCGCATTTTGGACTATTTTAAAGCATAATTATATATTTTAGTCAAAAATCTTATTTAAAAGTGACTGAAGAATTAAGAAGTTGTGAGGGTATTAGTTCAGAATGGGTGGATAATGGTAGGTTATGTACTCCAAGGCTTATTTTTTACTTTGAAAGGTGTTCCAAGAATGTACAGAACATTAAAAAGTTGGAACACAATTTGGAGGATAAGATTTATCATATTCTCAAGAAAACTCGAATTGTTAACAATTCTGGGTAAAAAATCATGCATATAATTTCTTAAATAATTGAACTTAAAATTTTAGGGGATCTTTGTTTGCCATTCCCCTAAATGAAGAGTTTGTATTTGTATCAACAGATGGCGCTCAAGACCAATTGGGTGACATGGTTAGGGGATTAATTTTAGACTGCCAACCAGGGGGCGCTATGCATGTAGAGCCCCCATTTTCAACTCTGTCAAATGCTGAAAAATCATTTGAAAGATTTTTAAGGGTTCACATTGATCAAGCAAAAAATAAGGGTTTTGAGGATGTTATATCTACTGGGAGACATCAAACACAACAATCTGCATATTTTGAAGTAAGTCATTAATGTATGAATTATTTTTTAATAAAAAATACTTTTTTTTAGTTGCCAACTCTTAAACACTGGGCATTAGTTACATCGCGTTTGTATAAGGTTATTCTAGAGGATTCTCTAGTCCCTGCACTGTGCACTGACATGAGATTTTCGGAGTTGAGATGCAAAAAAGTTTTGCCTTTAGCTTTGGCAAGGTATCAGGAAAATTTACCGTCACATTATGCTAAAGCTGAACATCTGGCAAGGCTTAGTGTGGCCCTAGCTTTATTTAGGTAGGAAAAATGTAGTTTAAAAAAGTTTCTTTACATGTTTTTAAAAGTAAACTGATTTAAAAAAATAAAAACAAATAGTACTTTTTGAATTAAAACTTTATAAGATAATTAATTTAACTTAAATTTAAAAAAAATTACTTTAAAAATAAGATAATTACAAAATCAGTTTATTAATTATTGTCAAATTTACTTTTAAATACAGCAGCAATGTTGGGCAGTCTTTTGGGAAGTTTGATATGGATTAAAATAAATATCATATTTCCTAATAGAAATTAAATTTGAAAATGTACAGTGGGTATTCATATTATTTTGAAGTTAAAATTTGACATGGAATTTTTTATACCCTGTAAAAAATGGCAATTTTAAAAGTTATTTTTTTTATGAATAATCCCATATAGGGCTCAAGCAAGGGGTCCAGTTTTTGACGAATTTGTAGAGCAACTGGAACTTGACTGTCTAAAACACTGGGAAAATGGACGGCAACAATGCGAAGCCGCATCTATGACCGGAAATCCTTGTAAACTTCCGAAACACGGTTCAGATCAGGAACATGTTAGCGCATTTTTATATAAAGGTGTTGTTGCATAAAAGGTGTTTGTTTTTCATTGCGTAATTTTGTCAATTTCCCAGCAATTTGCGATTGTGGAAGAAAAGTATTCCAAAGGGAAGATCCGTACAGCGCCAAGCAAGCAAACTACGTGTTCTATCAGCTTGTCAGCAAAGAATGTCAGTGTTCCAAACTGGAAAGGATATCTTTTCCGATATTCGAACCTTCTATAAAGGAATATAAAGCCGCCACTTTGGCGGAAACCGATGAATCTTCTCTGTCAGTTTTGTCAGATAGAAGTGGAGAGTTAACACCAGATAATGATAGAGGTAAGAAATCGAATATTACAGTACATTTCAACGATAAATCATTTCAAGGTTTGGTCAGGCAACCCAGCACCACGGAATATTTACCGGGAATGTTGACATTAAACTCCCCGCCCAGTTTGTTACCGGTTTTCTCCAGTTGGTCGTTGGTATGCCTGGGCGCTTCTTCGCTGTACAGTCACAACCTGGGTTTGTCCGAATCACACCACCCGGGTTTTTTGAGCTCCACCAACTATTTATTGCCCTGGGATGTCACAGTTTATTCAAAAGGTAAGAAAAAAACACTTTTTGTCCAAGCACTTTGGTTTGTTGTAATTAAATAATTTTAAATTGGAATTAACAGGTTAAAGGAATTAAAAGGAAATGTATTTTTTTAATGTAAATTAATTAATTAATTATCTTTTAGCATTTATTAGATAATTGAAGATAACAGTTTTAATGATGTTTTAACAGAAATTTACAAAGTTAATTTTTTTTAAACTCAAAACAATTGATAGTCAAATAAAATTTAAAATATAAAATACAACTGTTATTTTACAAAATTTTCGGTTTAAATTTGTCAAGAGTCATTTAAATGATAGTCAATACATTTTTAATACAAAAATACATTTAAATGTAAATTTTAAATTTTAAAATGGAAATTTTTGAATTAAAAATTTATCGACCATCATTTAAATTACTCTTTACAAATTTTAACCAAAACTCTTTATTTTAAATAATTTTAAATTGATACATTTTTAACACAAAATTTATAACATTTAATTAGATGTAAGTCGTTGCTTTAGCAGAGTGGCAGGACTATTTTGGTATGTACATTTTCATGACATTTTTTAATTTTTATACATTTTCAATATTTTGCTTATTTAAAATAAACTTTTGCTTTGTTTCTCTTAACTTGAAGTCATTTTCGCTTCTTACAATAGCGTTAGTAAAACCGCTCATCTTTATTTGTTTTATTTTTATATTAGTTTGTTGACAACACCGCTCTAAATTTAATTTTGGGGGAAAAACATACGCATTCAGCTAAAGCAGCGTTTACACTTTGGGAATTAAAAATTATCGACTCAGTCGATAAATTTTAAATCTTAAAATTACCACTTTAAAATTTAAAACTAATATTTAAAAGTAATGTGAGAATTTTTGTATAAAAAATGTATCCACTATCATTTAAATGACTCTTTAAAAATTAAACCAATAATTTTGTAGAATAAAATATTAAACTTTCACATTTCCATTTTATATTTAAAATATTTTTTTGATTATCAATTGTTTTGATATTAACTTTTTAAACTATTTTGGTGGAAAATGGTTTATATGTGTTTTTATTTTAAATGTCTTGACACTATTTTTAAATACTTAAAAATATAACTTTACAAATTTAATCTAAATAGTTTTATAAAAAAAATATTTAGGATTTACAAAAATCTGCCCAAATAAATTATACTTGAGAAATTATTTTTATTGTTAAAAAAGAAAGTTGAAAGATTGATTGGAAATAATATTGTTTTATACAGAAGTAAATTTGGTAAATTTAGTATATTTGGCCCTTCAATGTATTTATAAATGTAAATCTAAGATTTTTAGTTGGGAAAATTTTACACCAATAAATTAAAAAACTATTTAATAAATGTTAAAACGGCGTGCTATAATTAAATGAAGTAGTAACTTTAGTACCCTCTGGAATACAAAATTCCAAGGTAAAAGGTGAACTTTTTCCAGCAAAGACAAGCTGGACGAACGTCGCGACAAAATTCACCGCCAGGGGGCGCAGAGGGCGGCCGATGGGCGGCCAGCCTCAATTCACGGTGAAGGTTTTCATTGGCGTGGAGTACGAGTGTTCTTCGGGGCATCGTTTCATGCTGGCGGCCCCCGATCGTGTTTTGAAAGCCACCCCTGGGAGCATCGTCAAGGATACCGGCACTAAAGTGGCCAAATCCGACATGCCGCTCTATTATCCTTGCGCCTGCAGGGCGGGGAAGTACGCGCAGCTAATGAGGTTGCACGTTGTTACCCCCAAGGCGCCTGTTTATTGCACTCTTAACCCCAAAGTAAGTAGATTTTTTTATTTTTTTTTTAATTTAATTTTTATCTCATTCAGTGTTGTTCCGTCTATTACATTTGTAATAGATCTATTACAACGTCCAAAAATCTATTACATCATTACAAAATTAATAAATCTATTACATTTTCAAGATTTTAACAATAATTATATATACAGTTTGACCCATTTGTTTGCGACTCACCCCTATAAAATCTTTATTTATTGTGCGATTTTAAAGGATTTGTTTCAAAGTGTAGATCTTGATAAACTGTATTTTTGGAGCAAAAAACGCCATATTTGTACAAAATACAAGTTCTACTAACTATTTTAGTTTTTAAGAGTAAATTTTTAAGAATTCATATTAGCGATTTTTTTAAACATAATCTAAGCACGGCACTGGATTCACAACCCCTCAAAACGACCCTAAATTTTATTGAAAAATTTTAAGTAGAAAAAAATTTTATTCCGTCAAGTTATCCATGAAAAAAACATTGAAATAAAATTAAACTTATAGTAATAGTACCATGTTACTATTAGTTTGTTTTTTTCATGGATAACTTGACAGAATAAATTTTTATAGTTATAACTTAGTGCTTAGATTTTGTTTAAAAAAATCGCTAATATGAATTCTTAAAAATTTACTCCTTGTCTTGCAATTTGATTTGGGTGAAACGTTTTTTATCTTTTTCTACCGTAGCATTTTTTAGAATTTTTTGAATTTTTTTTGCCCAACCAAAAAAAGGTATGAATTAAAAAAATGTTTTTTTATTTTTCAAACATCTTTAACTTTTTCAAAAATTGACTTATCAGGACGTTTTTTCTTTAAAATTTTTGTTTTTAAATTTACTTTTTAGAAAAAAATATTTAAACCGATAATCAACGTTTTTTTTTAATTTTCGGAAAACGAAAATTTCTCGATGATGGCATTTTTTTAACATATCTTATTTCCTATAATACCACTCTGGAGATTTTTGAGGATGAAGACAGAACCTCAAAGTTTGAAAAAAAACTGGAAATCCTAAAAAAATTTCAATGTTTTTTGAAAAAGTAAGAAAAAAAAATAAAAGATATTTCTAAATAATTTTTTTGAAAACAACTTTTAAAAACAAAGAAAAAAAATAATATTTGGTTCATTTTTTGAAATACAACAGGCTTTTAACAATGTTACAGTGTTACTTTTTTTTGTTTAATTACCCAACACATTTTAATAATTAACTTACTCTAGATTCGGTGAAATTCACTGAAAATATTGGAGAATTTGCAGAAAAGTTTTTAATAAAAAAAATACAAAATTACATCAAATAATTTTCGTTTTTTCCGAAAAATCAAAGAAAAACGTTTTACATTCGTCTGAATAATTTTTTTCTATATTTTTTTGAAAAATTTATAACTTTTTTCTTTGGGTAAAAAAAATAAAATAAATTCAAAAAAACGTTTTTGAAAAAATTCAGAATTCAGAAGAATGTTTTTGATAGGGTACAAGAATATAAAAAGTTTCAAATCCAAAAGGGTCGGGGGCAAATGTGGTCGATTCGGTATGGAATATTCAAATAAAATTGACATTGTCAAAATGGCTTATTGGCATGAAATTTTTAGGTTCAACCAGCGCAAGGCGCTCCGATATTCGTAAGCAACTTGGACGGCCCAACAAAATTAACTCAGTCCGCTTATTGGGTCATGAGACTTCCCTATGTTTACGTCGCAGACAAGGAACATTTCCAGCAAAATACCTCCGCCAGGTTATTACAGGGAGTTTTTGGTGTAACTGAAATGGAATAAACCAAGAAAATAAAAAAATATCGAAAAACTAAAAGTGAATCTGAATTTAAGACACAATCCTGACAATCCTTATCCTGGTCACAAATATTTAATGGGTAAGTCACAGAGCATTGTTAACATTTAATGGGCCAACGGTTTTATTCAAAATATTCCTATATCTTTACTGCTTTAACGACTTTTTTATCAGGTCAGAAGGTTTTTTTAAACTTATTTTGGGCAATTATGACATAAGCCAATAAATAGATAACTCAAATCAGTTTTCACAAATTTATTATAAATAACTTACAATACCTACAATATAAAAATAGTTTCATGTGATACTGTTCAAACCTTACTAGCTAATTTATAAATACTTTGTACAAACTTAAATTGTTAACGCACTAGGTTTATTTGAGTCTTACACCTTAATTAAGATACTTTTTTCTTGATCGGTTGATCTGATATTTTACTCGGCGATTTCCTGAATATTATGTTCCTGATGTTCTGGAACGGCGACTCAAACAATAAGGTAAGGGAGCACGATAGAGCCAAGATCCACAGAAATTCCTTCAGATTAAACTAGAAAAAATAAATTATTATAAGTTTTTTAAGTAGGTACCTGCAGTAAATTTTTAAAAATTCATATTGGAGTTTTCTGTGTTTGGTGTCAAGCACTAATATATATTAACCCCCCTAAAAAAGACCTGTATACTCTTTAGACATTTATTGTATCATTTTTAAGTTTAAAGTTATTTTCCACAGAATTGAGGGCTTTTCAGACAGTCCTAGTATTTTGGTGATTTAAGATGTTTCTGACTGTACAAGTGACTACAGAAAATGTACATAAAACTGAATATCTAAAATTTACCATTACTTAAGTTTAAAGTTATTTTCCACAGAATTAAGGTCTTTTCAGACAGTCCTAGTATTTTGGTGATTTAAGACGTTTCTGACTGTACAAGTGACCACAGAAAATGTACATAAAACTGAATATCTAAAATTTACCATTACTTACCATTGATCGGAAAAATTCGTAGCTCTCGGGGCTTCTAGTGATACCAACATTATAGAAGAAGGCAGGGAACTGTGTCAGGTAAACAGTGTAAGATATTTTAGTCCATATCGTGAAAATAGGTTTTGAGAAGAAGTTACCAAATAATCCTATAAAAACAATTTATATAACATATTTTTTAACATATGTGAAGCGGCCTAAAGGAGGAAGATTTAACAGTAGGTACCAGCAAAAGAAGCGAGCGCTTCACGTGGTAACAAAATGGGTATATCTTACCTTTATGCCCTATATGGGTTGTGAAAACAATCCAAGCAAAGGAAAAGCACCATAATATGGGCGCTACAGCCGCATACCATGCGGCGTCTGTGGGGTTGTATACATAGTCGATACTGCCCATGAAGGATGGCACCAGAACCGATGCTACGAAACTAAATAGCGCAACCGCGTTACCAATTTGAAGTTGTCTCTAAAATACACATTTTTTAAATAAAATAACGAATGATTTTGTTATTTTTTACGTTTGTTAAGGTGGTACTTCTGTAGAATTTTAATATGTAGCCCAGGAATATACCCATTATGTATACTGTTGCTCTGTGGGCTGGTAGGATGTACATATGGTCTGCTGTGTCAAACAATTGTTGAATCCTGAAAAAATATAATTATATTATAATGTAATGTAATATAATGTAATTTAATGTAATGTAATCTATATGACAAATGATTTCATCTAACGATATCTTAAAGTGAAGAAAGGATACTGAAAAAATAATAAAGATTTTGAAGAGTAATCTCCCTCACTACTGTAGACATTTGTCAAGTGGTTACAAAGTTACCGCAAAAAATTTTTTGAAAAAACTTCATTCCTTTATTTAAAATGTTTGATTAAAAAAATTGTAGCATTTGATTTAAAAATTATTTTCACCCATAATATAACAAGTGGTATGATTATCATCGATGATATTTTCGAATTGAAACCGAGCTGCAGATTTCACGAGTCCGCAGGACGAGTGAAATGTGCTGCTTCGGTTTTAATGAGTAAATATCATCGATAATTAATCATACCACGAGTTATATTTAGTGAGAAAATATAATGAATTTTAGAATTTAACGAATTTTTAATTTGACATTTGAAATTAAAATGTGCTTTAAAATATAAAAAGACTTTAATAAACCTTATTTATTCAAACTTACCTTAATTTCATTATCGTTTACACCAACCCATCGATCTTTTATAGTTTATAATTCATTATTTTATTGATATATATCAAATTTAAATGACAACAGATGTTAAATCAAAAAAAGTGTCAAAATTCTTAGTAACGTGTAAACAAGATGATAAAAATTATTGCCGCTGTGATAAAATACGTCACTATGGAATACTGGCATTTTATTGGTTCTAATATTAATGAATTGTATTGTCTTGTAAACTTTTTGGAAAAAATTAATGAAAATTTGTGAGATTGGTAAATAAATAAATGGAATTAATAATAAAATTTTCAAAAACGTGCTATTATTTTTTTTGCTACTTTTTTTACTTTACTTTAACGTTTCAGGAGTTACAACTTTTTCGAATGTCGATTTATGTATATTGCTTGAAGAATGCAATAAGAATTATTTTTAAGGCTCTTTCGACGGCCCACTAGCGCCTCCATCAGAAAAGCAGTCACACATCTTTTAAAGAAGTGCGACTGCGAAACTTCGGTATTTCTACCTAAATGGCAACGGACTTACCAAAATACCGAATACTTAGATTTTCGTCAATAATTATGTTTCTTCTGATTTTTGTACCGATTTTTGGCAATAATAACGATTTTACCCTTTTTGCCGATTTATCAATTATCAATTAAGGAGAATTCGCTCTATTTATGTTTATTTGTTACTAACTTATTTTGTAGTTCCTAAAGACTTATAAAACACCGATTTTGTTCATATAAAGTGTTTAATTTTTGTACTTGTAACACCCGAAACAGAACCATGGTAACACCCGAAACAAAGTAAAATTTTATAAAAAAAACAGTAAAACGTTATTTGTGACAGTGATTATGTTGTAGATGGTTAGTAAATATACTTTTGGAGGCCTGTAATTTTTGAGAATGTTTCCCTAAGAAAATTCGCTGAATTTCTAATAAATGTAACAATGGTCAGGACATATAGGCAGAATCGTTAAATTTTACAATTTAGATAAAATGTTATTTCAAAATACATACAAATTTAGACTTTGGTTTAACAAATGTAACACCCGAAACGATGGAAGGACCCCATACATTATGAATAAACGAATTATGTTTTTTCAAAAAAAAACTTTTTACCAGGTAGCTACTTCATTAATATTTATTTTTAATTTTTATGACAACGTAGAAAATCATGGGCTTACTTGTCAAATTTCTACTCACTTTCAGATGGCGTAACAAAACGGAAAAATAAAACTTACGAAGTTCCAAAATGGACATAATTTGACAGTCTCATGGTGTAGGTAACATAATATCTCATCACAGTGGATATGCTAGCAATTGTTATCAAAGTTACAGAGCCCTTTTTGGGCCATCTCCACAGCAGGTACACCAAAAATGGCGAAGCAAAAAATAATTGCGTATCGATGCCGATATGATGTGTATGTGTGAGACACTGAAAATAAACAAAAATAATAAAAATCCCAAAACGTAAAACAACGAATAAATACCATCTCTTTAAACCCATAATAGTTGTGTATGAACAGCAAGTTTCTCCACCAATTCTGCTTGCATATATCGGAATGGTGGGTGACAACCAAGTTCCATGTGGGACCGTTATTCAACCAGGGTAGTACGAAGGTGCAGAACGCTATAAGGGCCGCAAATGTGGGTACTATCCTCATTAACCTGGACACGTATTCTTGGAACAAATTCAATTTTTGGGTACGCTGCAGTCTTCCTAATAGCGCGTACGTGGTCAAAGTTCCAGAAAACATTATGAAGGGGTCTGTATAGAGGCTGGCAGCGCGGCCCACAACCGTCCAGGGTTGGCTCACATACTAAAAATTAGATTAAAATTAAATTCATACACATAAAGCGGAAAAATATAGAAGTGTATACATAGGATAACTCCAAGATTGAATACTAAATCTTAAAGTTTTATCGGAACTGTATTGAATCGTGCTTTGTTTTTATATTTTTCGCCTCTATACCTATGCACGACTATAGTTAAAGTCAAACTCAATGGTGTCTTACAAGATGCATTATTTTGATTTTCTATATTCAACAGAGAGGTAGAAACTCGACCCTGTCGAATGGTCCAGTCATTTATGGTTCTAGAAATTATTGAGTCAATATTTCTGATAGTTTAAAAAGAGGGTGTAATTCAATATTGCAAGAAGTTTTGATCTTTTGATGGATGCAAGTATTTTGAATATTCTCATTTCTGCATATGATTTTGTTGAAAACAGTTCATTTCTTTGGTTCCTTTGTCTGATTTTTATTTACCGTAACAACTCAGGTATGTAAAGCACAGAGGATATGATGTTTGCTGTGCAGTTCCATTAGAGTTAGCCTTATTAGAGGCACGTTTATAAAGCGCTATTATAGAACCTTTACGGTTGTTACCTGGGATTTTACTTATTGAAATCTTGATTTAACATACCTCTACATATTGGGTTCTGTTGGCCCATGGTACGAAAAATAGAGCCATTGATTTATGGGCAAACACCAACAATATGGCGTTTAGGAATCTAATACCATGAACAGCCTCAATATCGTTTGTGTTTCTTGATATTGTGAACATGGAATTGTAGTTTTTCTTTAGGGAAAAGGCGACTATCCATTCATCTACATTGAAAAAAAATTAATAAAAACTCTTTAATTTAAAATATCACTTACTTTGCTTTTCTTTGATTGTATAACTATCGTATAAGCTGGCAAATATACATAACAATATAACACCTGAAAAAACACCTCTACAAGAAAACAAATATTAGTAAAAAAAACAGTTAACATATCAGTCTTCTTTGATAAGAATCAGTTCTGGAACTAATCAAACAAGCCTATCATAACTATTATAACTTACACAGCAATTTTCGTGGAATCTGGTATATCTTTGGTTTCACTTTTGCTTTGGCACATGGCAGGGTCCACTTCATATTGCACCTTCAAATCTGTACCTTCGATAAATTTATTGACAGTCTTTTTTAAACCCAACTCTACGTCGGTAGGTGTGCAAGAACTTGGTACGCATAAAGCCCAGTTTATGCTTGAAAATCTTGGGACTCTATGCCCAGGCTAAAAAAACATGACAGGGTTCTAGATGCTTTAAAGTGGAAGTAATGAAAACTTACATCTTCAAGTTTGCTTTTAAAATGCATGTGGGACTGTAGGAGTCTGTATATTCCCGATAAATATGAGCTATGTGGATTGTCTACTTGCATAGAAGCAAGGCAGTATTTTCCATGGATGTTTTCCTCTTCAGATTTGGAGCTTAAGCACATATCAAAGTCTCCTAGTTGATTCACATTTCCATTCATTAGCCCAGAGGGTAATTTGGCTGTGGAATCATACACTAAAAAGACAATGTTTATAGTGTTTAGTACGATTTGGACAATTTAAAAAATGTAGAGCATTAAACTGATTTTCTAACTTGAAAGACAATTCATTTAGCATGAAACTTCATCAAGCGAGAGCAAAAGTGCGGTGTAGAAAGGGGTGTAGCAGGTGCTGCCTTTTAAAAATTTGTAAAATTGCAAGGAAAACTTTAAAAACTTACTTTGAAGAGCCCAGAATTTAAAAGCAGCCAAATCCTGGACGTACGTTCTGCTGTCTCTTTGGCAAGATTGACTCACGCCCTTTACACCACTTAAGTCGAAAGGCGGTATTCTCGAAAACAAAACTTGAGACAGTTTCGTTGATGTGACTTCATATTCAATATCTGTAATAAAAAGAAAAAATAGTTTTACAAAAGTTTGTTATTTAAAAAAAAATGGCGCGTTGAGAGTGAAATTTTAGAAGGCAACGGAAGTGACGTCACAGCTAACGACACCGTGAAGTTAGCTGACTTTAAAAGTGATTTAAACTATTTAAAGTAAGTATTATTAAATCAATAAAACTTTTGATAAATACTTGTTTAGAACATGGAAAAAATTCGCACAGTAGCATACATTTAAAGAAATGGTAGGACAAATTTCTAAATTTTTAAAAATGTTCCTCTAACGTGCATAAATACTTGCAGCGATTTTTTTATCGCAATATATAATATGTAATTATAGACATGTAAAGAGGTATGTAACAAAAGTACACACTTGTATTAACACGGAAGTAAATATTAACAAACAATTAATTAATTAATTAATTTAATTCGCATAAGGTCCGAGATGGAGACTATTATATTATTATTGGCATTGTGAATATCTTTAACAACAATAAGAAGCCTTGAAATTAATGAGGAGATATATTTTGAATGATAATTGATTTTACATTACTTTTATTAAATTTAACGTGTGTTGAAGGAAGTTGCAGAATTTAATTTATTTTTTATTATTCTATTTACTTTCATGTTAATTAATGGGTGAATATATTGATATGTCCCCCAAGTGAAAATAATTATTTTTTATTTCTGGGTGTTTCACTGTTAGTCAAGAATGGGGTTTTGGGAAGCCACCAGGTCTAGTAATAACATAACATAAGTGGTTCTGCACTAATGCAAAAATTTTAAGAAATCATACATTTTGAATATTAGAGCTTCACGGAAGATAGGATTTCGTATGTTTTTTTTAACATCCCTTTGTTTATTTGAAATAAGTTATTGTATCTTTTAACATCTCAATATTTAAAAAAAATACAATTGTAAATATATAAAATATTTATTAAAAAAATCTACTTACTGAGATATTACACTTTACGGTGGATAGATTTTTAAATAGCAAATTAATGACCTTAAACTTTTGAATTATAAAACAGCAACACTCTCATCTGCATATAAATTCTAACTGACCTTCAGGAATCACATGTCGAAAACAGAGGTTTTTGCTTATTTAAAATGATTAAAGCGCCATCCGTTGCATAAAATTTAAAGCAAAAACAGATTCACGGAGGATAGAATCAATTTTTCTAACACCTACATAAATGGTTATAAAAATTATTTCTTTTAATTTTTAATAATATTTTATATTTGATTCGATTGCTTTCGATGTGTTTAATTTACTTAGTAAACTGATATTTTTAGTATGCTTTTACTACCTCAGATATTCGAAAACATATAGGTTAACCTAGAAAGAGTAACAGTCACGGAGGATAGGTTTTAGACTTTTAAAACATTGTAAAAAATAATTAATTGGGGTTAAAAATCTGGAACCTGAGCTGTAATATCTACTTAATTATGAAAGATCAAAACACAATAAAAGTGTAGGTGAAACTCATTTAGTTTTATTAAATATCACGGGGTAACACCATCGGGGGACATTTCGTGAGATTCCCCCTAATACATCTTTTATTTAGGATATCGCAATTAAAAAAATATTATTTTGCAATTTTTATTGTACCTATTTATCCTTAAATTGTAGTGACAATAGCTATTCTTATAAGTAAATGCAATAACACTGTTTTGCAAAGTTTTAATGCATTTTTAATTAAATAATAATTATTTTGTTAATAATGTAACGTTTTTAACTGTTCGTAGTGTGAATAAAAAAACACGCACTGGTTAATTAACGAACTAAACTATTTATTTAATAACTTAACTACACTTAAAACACTATAAAACTATAAAACTAAACACTTAACTACTAATTATTTATATATCACTACTGTTCAAGTTTATTTATTTGCACTTATATTTATTTATTTCTTCGCGCGTATCAAATCTCAACTGACTGCCGTGTGCTGCTCCGTTTCTTATATATTCAGCGCCAAGGTCTTCTGGAACATTCCAGCGAGCTCCACACTCTCGATTGTTCGAGCGCTGAGTCACCGGCGATGACTCATCGGCGATGACTAACCGGCGATGAGTCATCACTCCGATATCCAGAGCGGTACTCGCTACATTGCCCCCGTCTTAAAACATTTTCGTCCCGAAAATGGTCCTCAGCTCCATGGCGATATTTGCATAGAGATCCAAACTTGCATTGTGACGTCCTATAGAAGTAGCAGTCTACGGTCTTCCTTCCGGTTGTTCTTTTAGGGTTGTGGCAACAGACAAGAATGTGTATGCCACTAAATCTGAAGATAACTTCCACCATACTTCTAATTATTCTCCAGTCCAAACCGTCAAGTCCACAAGCAATCTTTGGTATCGCCAGGTTCATGATGTCCTTGGACAAAAGGATATCCCTCAATTTATTTAAGGCATTCCATACGTCACGGTAATTTGGCTTCTGATTGGAGAGTTGCTTCGTTACCAGATAGAAGATACTTCGGTTACCTATCTGCTCATTATCCACCATTTCAAGCACCTCTCCAACTTTGGGACTCTGCCTTCGTAGCTCGTCGATCCGTCCAAACTTGTTTTTAAAAACAACCGCTATTCCCCTGGACATCCTTAGGTCTTCCGCAACACAGTGAGCCAGGGAGTAATCGGCCGAAACCATGAACAGATCTCTTTGCTCTTCTCGAGTGACACCATACCGAGCTTTTTTACCGCTCGAATATAAATACATGAAGTCTTCAAAAGGCAAGTCGTTTTCCGGCGGATTAACTCTCCTTACTCTAGCATCGTCTATTTGATCATTGTTTCCAGCGTAAGGGGCCAATCGGTTGAAATGGATCACTTTCGGCTTTCCTCTTGGTTGTTTCCTGATCCTGTAGATGATGTCATTTATTCGATCCATGACTTCGTACGGTCCCTCCCAAGAAGTCTGCAGCTTCGGTGAATAACCACGACGGCGCTGAGGGTTGTATAACCAAACTAGGTCTCCAGGTTGAAATCCTCCATTTTCCGCCTTGATGTCGTATGCCTCTTTCATTCTATCACTGGCACTCTGGATGTTTAAACGGACTCGGCTGTGAATGTCGCTCATTTTCCTACGTAAATTGTTGACGTAATCTTCTCCAGCAATATCATCCCCTGGTAGGCAACCAAATCTCAGGTCACAAGGTAGACGAAGTTCACGTCCCATAACAATGCTAGCGGGTGTCTGGCCGGTTGTATCGTGGATAGAAGAACGGTACGCCAACAGGAACAGATGAAGAAAGCGGTCCCAGTCTCTTTGGTGATCAGAGACTACCTTGGACAGGTACCGGTTTATCGTTCGATTCATTCGTTCTACCATTCCATCGGACTGCGGATGTAATGCAGTCGTCCTCGTCTTCCGAATGTTAAGAATCTTACAGACATTCTGGAACAATATAGATTCAAAGTTCCTGCCTTGGTCTGAATGCATCTCCATTGGCACACCAAAACGACAAATCCATTCCTTAATAAGGGCATCGGCCACTGTGGCAGCTTCCTGGTTTGGCAAGGCGTACGCTTCCGCCCACTTGCTGAAGTAGTCCATTACAACGATGATGTATTTATTTCCAGATTCTGTTTCCGGAAATGGACCCGCCACGTCGATTGCAATTCTCTCAAATGGGCTGCCCACATTGTACTGTCGCATTGGGGCTTTTGGGCGCTTCTGGGGTCCATTGCTTGCCGCGCAAACGGCGCACTTCTTGCACCATTCCTTCACATCCCGTTGGCTGTTGACCCAATAAAACCGTTCCCTAAGCCTTCCGAGCGTCCTGGTCACCCCAAGATGTCCTCCAGTAGTTCCATCATGGATTTCCTGCAGCACTTCTGGTATCCTGTTTCTGGGGATTATTATCTGCTTCCGGTCTTCCCCCCCTTCTGGCATCTCCAAAACGCGCTTTAGAAGCCCGTCACTTAGGATGATGGAATTCCATTGGGCCCAGTACGATTTCACATTCGGCGAATATTGGGCGACTTCCTGCCACGTTGGTTTACGGTTGTTCTTCTTCCAATCGATGATAAGCTTCAAATCCGGATCTCTTTCCTGGTCTTGTTGAACCTCAGCGGATTGCTAATGATCATCCACGATTGTAGTTCTGCGAACAAACACATCCTTTTCTTCGGCCCTGAGACAATGTTTACAGTCTTCCGGGCACGGTCTTCTTGACAAGGCGTCAGCATTTCTATGGATGGTCCCAGCCCGATGTTCTGTGTCAAAGTCGAACTCCTGTAGTCTCTCAATCCATCTTGCTACCTGTCCTTCAGGATTCTTGAATTGCAAAAGCCATTTTAGGGCAGCATGATCCGTTCTTAGCAAGAATTTTCTTCCATACAGGTACTTGTAAAAGTGTTCGACTGCCTTTACCACTGCCAACAGCTCGCGTCGAGTAACACAGTAATTTCGCTCTGGCTTCGATAGAGTTTTACTGAAGTATCCAATAACTTTCTCTTTTCCTTCTTGAATCTGCGACAAAACAGCTCCCAGGCCTACATTGCTGGCGTCCGTGTCCAAAATAAATTCACCATCCGGAAGAGGATAACTCAGGACTGGTGAGCTGGTCAACGCGTTTTTCAGGTTCTTGAAGGCTTCTTGACATTCGTCGTCCCATTGGAATCGTCGTTCTCCCTCTGTTAAACGTGTCAAAGGCTTAGCAACCTTTGCGAATCCAGGTACGTACCGCCGGTAGTAGGTGCATAATCCAAGAAAGCTTCTTAAGTCATGTTTGTTTTTCGGTACTGGCCATTCCCGCACCGTCTTCACCTTCTGTTTGTCCACTGCCACTCCTTGACTCGAAACAACATGGCCCAAATACTGCACTTCCCTCTGGAACAAGTGACATTTCTTCGGGCTTAGCTTCAGGCCGGAACTTCTTAAGCGCTGAAAGACTTCCTTCAGGTTCTTCATATGGTCCTCAAATGATTTCCCAACCACAATGATGTCGTCAAGGTACACCAAGCATGTCTTCCAGGATAGTCCCTTTAAAACC